CAAACAAACAAAAAAAACATACATGCAGTTACTATATCTTCATTTATGTTTAAACAAACTAAAGCAAGTTAAAATCATTCTGAACAAAGAATAATAGTATTGCTGAATTTCACATCATGACATTCCATGATCAGCACTGGGTACTATAGTGTCTTTTTTTTTTAAATTTAATGTAAAGAAAGACTAAACAAAACAGAAAATGGGTAGAAATAATACATAATTTCAAAGAAAAAAAAACAGTAAGAAATCCCTAGTTGATGATTTCGGATTGTCTTCTTACAAATAGTTATTCAAGATACTAAAGTGGAGCATATAAAGTAGGGATTCAAACAGTGAGAATATAACCAGTTCTGTTCAACTAACCAAAAAAAAAGTTAGAAATATGATTATCATTCCTATACAGTTAAACATACATGCAGTTATCCATAGCTTCAATTATGTTGAGATTGAATAAACCCAAGCAGGCTAGTATCACTCTGAACAAAGAATAATACTATTGCTGGGTTTCACATTATGACACTCCAGGATCAGCACTGGGTACTTTAGTGTCTCTTTTTCTTCAAAGTATCTGTTCATTTCATCATGTGTCATAAGATCAGTTCTCATAAACTGTTTACAGATTCTACACATGCATGAGTCTTAACATGTATTTCTATCCTTTCTATATTAGCAGGAGAGACAAAACAAAGGAAGGCAAAACAAAACATATTCCTATAAACACATGAAATAAACATATAAGACTGTTGTACAAAGAGTTCTACCATAGTTCCTGTGTTGTCTCTTGTTATCTCCAATAGAATTGGCTATATCATCAGACATAGTATAATTGAATATATCAGTACATAACAGTATTAATAAAAATATAACTATGTATATAGTATAGAACTTCAAAAACCGGCAGTTATCAAACCAGAATGTGTATCATAGAGTCTTGTCATCTTCAGTGTAGTTGCCTATACTCTTAGACTTGATACTATCAATCATATCAGTTTTAAATAAAGTCTTCTCTGCCTCATTTCCCTTATGCTCTTTTTTTTGCCATCAGTTGTCTGCTTACCTTCTTCATTCTGTTTTCTGCTCCATTCACTGAGGCCTCTCTGCCACTGTTCCTGGAATCCTAGTACTTCTCTCTCTCTCTGTAGAATGCCCTGCACTATTCTCTGTAGAATTGGATTGGTGGTTGCAAATTTCCCAAGTTCCTCTTTGTCTTTGAAGCATCTTGTTTCTCCATTAATTTCTAGAGACAGTTTAGCAGGGTATATCAATCTGGGATGGAGGTTATTTTCTTTTAGGATTTGGAATACTTCACTCAAGGCTCTTCTTGACTTGATGGTTTGTGTCAAGTCTGCCATTATTCTGATGGGCCTTCCTCTGTAGGTTATCTGTTTCTTGTCTCTAACAGCTTTTTTTTTTTTTTTTGTCTTTTTTGTTTTTATCGGTACCAGGGATCAAACTCACGACTGCCTGCTGGCAAGGCAGGCGCTTATGCCGCTGAGCTAAATCCCCAGCCCCTAACAGCTTTTAATATTGTCCTTATATTGAATTTCTGGGATCTTGATTATTATATGCCTGAGTGTAGCTGTTTTGGTTGTAGGTGGCTGTAGTTCTGTATGCCTCTTATCAGAATATCATTTCCTTTACCTATGTTTGGGAAGTTTTCCTTAATTATTTCTGTGAATAACCTTTGTAGTTCTGTTGTTTGTATCCCAGCTTCTTCATTCACATTCTTTATTCTCAGGTTATATATCCTTTGTTGTCTTCTAGCGTTTGTATTGTTACTACTTGTTTCCTTGTTATTTTTTAAAAAGTTTTCCCTTTCATAATTCCACATTGTGAAACTGTCCTCCAGTTTGGATAATCTATCCTTAGTTTCTTTCAAGCTGATTTGCCATCTTTCCATAGAGTTTTTAATTTCCTGGTGATCTCTTTGAATCTGCCTCATGTATTCTATAGTTTTTTTTTATATTCTTCACCAAATGGTTCTCTCCTTTCTTTGAATTCCTCCCTTCTTCCATCTGTGTCTGCTTGTTGGTTGCTTAGTATCTCTTTTATTAATCTTTTTATATCTTGCATTACTTGGCTAAACATTTCACTATTCAACTTGTCTATGGGGTCCCGAATATATCTGTTCAGGCCCACTGTGTCTGATATGGCATGTTTGCTGTTCTGATTCTCCTTTGTATTTTCCTGTCCTGGGTCAATGTTCTCAGGGTTGGAGCCTGGGGACCTATTGTTGTTGCTTCCTCTTCCCATCTTTTTTGCTACTTCCAGGAGGCCCCAGTTTCTTTCTTTGTTGGTTACAATTCTTCTGAAGCATGTTGGCTAGATGACCCTTCACACTGCCGTGTGCTAGTGAGTTGCAGGCAGGGACAGCATATGCTGGCTTCTCCCCTCTGGATCAGTCAAGCTGCTGTAGCCTGCACTACTGTATTAATTTGTGCCACCTCCCCTCCCGACCAGACAAACCTCCAAGGCCCCACTGGCCAGTGTGGTTAGTGTGCACCATTGCTGCAGGGACTTGACCTTGGATAGCCTATTGGGTCTCAGCTGGGTCACATGACCCAGGGCTAGCTCACTCCACCAATCCCATTTGGGAAGGGAACAACTGACTGAAGTCACTGCTGCCCCTTGTACTTGCCAGTTCTTCCTGGTCCTAGAATGTTGTCCGCTGGAGCCCCGCTATTTATGAAATGGCTCCACTCCTGTCACTCACCACAGGCCAATGTAGGCACCCTGCCAACTCAGCCCTCTGTTCCGCTTGCTGACCTCTAAACTCAATGTAACTGCACTTCCAGTGAATCAAAGTGGTGGTATCTCGGACGGCTTGGCAAGTCATGGTGGGATCTCGGCAAGTAATGGTGGGATCTTGGCAAGTCACAGCGGGACCTCAGATGGTTGGCAAGTTGCCTTTCTTCTTGGGACAAGAGAATTCATCTCCCTTTGTTTGGGGCTCCTCACTCTGTATTATGTTGAATTCTAAGTTGACTATCTCAAGGAGCTTCGTTAGCCAGTTGTTATCTATCTGCCATCTTTGCTCCACCTAGTCCTGTTCTTGAAGTCATTGCATGTGCTATCTGCAGAAGTGTTCCATTTTATTGTTTCAGTTTCATGACCTATGTTTGGCTCTTTCATCCATTTCGAGTTGATTTTTGAAAAGTGATCTAATTTCAGTCTTCTACTTATAGAAACCCTATTTTCCTAGCAATAGGTGTTAAAGAGAATGTGTTTTTTCCAATGTGTGTTTTGACTCCTTCATCAACAGCTGGCTGTAGCTACAGAGATTTCTGTGTCACCTATTGTTCTATTCCATTATTCCATTGGTTTAAATGTTTGTTTTTTTTTTCCTTTTTTATCAGTATGGGGGATTGAACTCACAACCGCATGCTTGCAAGGCAGGTGCTTATGCTGCTGAGCTAAATCCCCAGCCCGTTTGTTTTTTTTTTATCAGTACCAGCAATCAAACTCACGACCATGCGCGCGCAAGGCAGGAGCTTATGCTGCGGAGCTAAATCCCCAACCCCCTAAATATTTGTTTTTATGACAGTACCATTTTTGTTACTATTGGTCTGTAGTGTATTTTTGATATTATGTATTATATTTTGCTTTAGTTTTTGATTAGGCTATTCTGTATTCCATGTTTCCATACAAATTTTAACACTGTTTTTCCTAGTTTTGTGGTATCCTTTGTATTCTGATGGTGACCGCACTGGAGGCTGTAGATTGTTTTCCATGGCTTGGCCATTTTAATAATATTAGTCTTTCCATTTTCTAATGTCTTCCTAAATTTCTATCTTTAGTGTTCTGTAATTTACATTGTACAGGCGTTTCACTTCCTTGGATGTTTTCTAGGTATTTTTGAAGCTACGATCAATGAACTTTGTCTGATTTTTTTAAATTTTTTTTTTTTTTTGTCTTTTTCGTTTTTATCGGTACCAGGGATTAAACTCACCACTGCCTGCTTGCAAGGCAGGCATTTATGCTACTGAGCTAAATCCCCAGCCCCTGTCTGATTTTTCTTGCTGACCTCTTTATTAGTGTATAGAAAAACTAATGTTTTTTAAACTTTTTTTCTCTTGCTATGTTGCTGAATTTGTTCATATCTAAATACTGTTTGAAGTCTTTAGGATCTTTTAAGTCTACGATCATCTGCAGATAACTTGACACCTTCCTTTCCTATCTGCAGCCCTTGTATTTCTTTCCCTTGTTTAATTGCCCCAGCTAAAATTTCAAGTAACCATGCTGAATGTGGACATCCTTGTCTTATGTTATCTTTCTATACTAATGTCTTTTTTTTTTTATTGGTACCAGGGATCGAACTCACAACTGTCTGCTTGCAAGACAGGCGCTTATGCCGCTGAGCTAAATCCCAAGCCCCCATGTACTAATTTCTTTAGGGCTTGCTCATTTAGACAGAGCCTATTTCACAGTTTCCTAGCCCTTCCAGATGCATCACTTTGGGGTAATCCCTGTGTATTTAGTTATAAGTAGTCTTTACACGAAGTGCTTGGAGTGTAGGAAAGACAGACGTCACTCCAAGTTCAAGACAGGATGCTCTGACATTCCTACTTTCAGGTAGCTTGTAACAAGCCTTCATTTTCAGCTGATTTGTACAAATGAGGAAAATGTTAGGATTTCTTTCTTTTTATATTTGGTACTCGAATTGAACTCAGGACCCCATGCTTCCCAGGCAGGCGCTGTACTACTGAGCTAAATCCCCAGCCCCAAAATTAAGCAGAATTTTAAGGAATCATCTAGCAAGGCTCAGGCTTTATAGTGCTCCTTTTCCTTCCTTACCCCAACACGTAAAAGTCTCTCTCAGATGGTCTCTCTAATAAGTGAGAAATAGGTACGTGTCTAAAACAGTTGATTAATGGAGGAAAAGTATGTTAAAATCTATTCCAGGTCGGGGCTGGGAATATAGCTCAGTGGCATAAATGCCTGCCTGGGAAGAACAAGGTTCCGAGTTTGGTTCCCTATACCAAAAAACAAAACAAAATCCATCCCAGGTGAGATCAACTTTAAAATGCAAAAAATAAAAGCAAGAATACAGGTGATTATCTCAAATACAATAATAAAAAGACTATATAGTATACAATTTACAAAAAAGTAAGCAGGATTAAGCAGATCAACAAAGTAACATAGGTGGGTTACAATGAACTAGTTAATAAGAAAAATGTGAGCAAAAAAAAAAAAAAAAAGAAAAATGTGAGCGTATAAATGGAAATGAACAAAAAATTAATCTAAGTTAATGTATGACAGTTAATGTATGACAAACAGTCATACCTGTTGACCAAAGAAAATGCCAATTAAATTTAACAATTAAACACCAATCCAAAATGTACATTTGACTACCATCTAAAGCCTGGTGCCAACCTAAGGTCAGTGCAACGTTATGGATGAGATGGAGCAGGCTCCTAGTGCTGGGAAACTAACAAAATACTATAATTATAAACCTTTCCAGAAAGCAGCTTGACAGTGAGCCTTAATAGCTTTAACAATATTCAAATACTTTGATCCAGCAATTCTGCCTCAACAATTCATGGTGAAGAAATCATAATCCAGGGCTGTCTCCACAGGAGCACAGGTGCATTTGGCTGTGTGAAACAGAAACCTGGCAGAGTCTTAAACAAGGAGAAGATTCCTCTCCTGGGTATCAGGATGTGCAGAGGCCCGCAGTTGGTCAAGATCCAAGCTCTCAGGTCTTCCTCTGTGACATTGAAAGCAAGTAGGTGTCTTCTTTATGTCTGACACTGGCTCTGGTATACTCAGGTTTCACATCCTTGCTCGAAGCAGGGCAAAGAGGAGGGCAAGGCTCGTGCCCAGTGTGCCCGTCTGTGTCAAACCCCTGGCAGCTTTTCCACACAGGCTTCCATGTGCAACTCTCTAACGCTCCAATGGTTACAGAACCTCTCTCGGCAGAAGCTGGGGAGAGATTTTAAGCTAGGTACATTATCATCTCCTCAGCCAGAAGCATGCTTCCACTAATAAGGACAATGTAACAGGGAGTCTGTCTTAGTAGGAAATTCTCTGTAACTGTCAATCTCAGGTTTTTGAAATTTACAGATCTCGAAAATGTTCACAACATAATACCAAGTGAGAAGCAAGACAGAGAACATACTAATATAACATTAGTTTACTTTTAAAAATATCATTTACATATCTACACCCACACATGGGGAAAAATGCTAATTACCACCAGTTGTGGAGATGTCTGCCTGTAATTCCAGGACTCTGAGAGGCCGAGGCAGGAGGATCACAAGTTTAAGCCCTGGCTGGACAACTTAGTGATATAAGACCATCTCAAAATTTAAAAAATTAAAGGAGCTGGGAATATATCCCAGTCCAAAGACCTTAGGTTCAACCTCCAGTACCATAAAACAAAAACTAAACATTATTTGTAGGTAACATCTACATACTGTAGTCGGTATTTCTAGTCTGAGTGGTAACAACAGATAGAAATTTTTCATTTTATTTTTTGCTATATTTTCTAAATTTTCTATAATTGTGTAGCTGGAAAAATGTTATTTTAAAAAACTCAGGAAAAATATTATTTTACAAAATACTTCATACACTTTCCAAGGAGACCAGGCTGAAATGTTTGTGCTCACTCATTTTCGTCGTCATTGCCAAAAGAAAGGAGGCTGCTATTTTTGATTTGCTTCTGTGAGTTCTTTTTTGGTGAATCTTGCTTATTTCCTTCATCCTCATTTGTCTTCTTCTTTTTTGAGCTTATTGTTAAACCTGAGTATTTTTCATCTGAGGGCCGCTTGACTGGTTTTCGATACATGATTCTTCCATCTGTTGGAGCTGGTTCTTCATCTGAAGCAAAATAAAGGTAAAGAATTTTCTTCTCCCTCATTATTCTACTATTAGTCAAAGTGCCAGGAAAATCTCGCACTGCATTTAAGGCTGTCCTCGAGTCCGTGCAGTCGGCCTTCCCACCGCCCCTTGCTATGTGCTACTTGGGTGTCTCCTGACTCAGCAGAAGTTCCCTGAGCTCCTGTTAGTCACCACGTGGAAACAGTTGGGACCAAACCTGGGACTCTGCAGGTCTACCTGAGGTCTACAGCTGTGCTGTACACCCAGCCCATCAGGCTGTTTTGTCTGCAGTACTGGAGAATGAATCTAGGGCTTTCACACTGAGCTACATCCTCAGCCCTTTTGTCCTTTAAATTTTTTTTAATTTTTATTTTGAAACAAAGTCTCACTCAGTTTCCCAGGTTCCTGTCAAACCTTCCATCCTTCAGCTTCAGCTTCCCAAGTGCTGGGATGACACATGTTTATTGCTGTGTCTGGCTTTAAGGGTTTCAAAAGGGAAACAGTACTTTCCTCTATAGCAATGTAATGTTCAGAAATAATCAAATTATACTACATAGTACTTTTTATACACTGCACCCCAGGTACCAATTACAGCCAACCACAGGAGGCTGAGGCAGAAGGACTGCCATGAGTTTGAGGCTAGCTTGAGTTCCATAGTGAGTTCAAGGCCAGCTTGCACTACATAGTAAGACCTTGTCTTGAGGAAAAAAGAAAAGATACCAACTACATATACTTTGTTGACTGGTTATAAACCTATTACCTATTAAAGGATGCTCTTATTTAAATTTTCACTTAATCCTCAAACAACTAAAAAAGATAGGTACATTCATTGTCTCCATTTTACTGGCAGGAACTTGAGGCTTGGAGATGAAATAATTTGCTCCAGGTTACATACTGTAGCTAGTAAGTGTCAAAGCCATGACTTGAACCAAGGACTGTCTCCTTCAACAAACCACACTGTTACATAAACTACAACCCTTTCATACTCCTTGCTCTTCTGGATCATGAGAAAACCCAGATTACGTTCAGACATACCTGCTTTGGCAGCCTTTATTTCTGCTTTGATTTTCATGACTTCTTCAGCTGTCAGGTCTCCCTTTTTTAAAACCACCACTTGGGGCTGTTCATCTTCTTTGTCACTGTGATCACCCTCTTCATCTGGGAGCTGAGGCTGGATTCTCTAGAGGAAAATGCAAATACAAGTAGGTTGCTGAGTCTGACCCAGACACAACCACTGCTTTGGAAGCAGCTGTAATGATTAAGGTGAGAAAAATAACTATCAACTCAAAGTGGCAAAAAAAAGTTTTTTCAAGTAACTCCAAAGAGCCTACTTCACCATTTCAGGGAACAGGTCTACCTGACAGTCTCCCTGCAGTGCCTGTCCAGTGGGCCCCACTTCCAGCTTGGCAGGACCCCAGCTGGCAGCTACTTGTGTTGGGGCCCTCTGCTCTGGGCAATGCTGTCACCCCCAGCCTACTCAGGGCAGCACTGCACTATGTCACCTCTCTTTGCTTCTCATCAACACTTCTCACCTCATCACCCAGTTAGACCAAAAGTAGTCAGACACCCTCAAAGTATAGAAAGTAGCGAATATTCTTTCCCCTACAGTATCCCTTTAACAGCTTCAACTTAGTGAATATGCTATCAGCTATTTTCCAAGTGTCTACAAATATGTAAGTATAAAAAACGTTCTTGATACAAACATACTATATTCTGCGATTTCTACTTTTCCAGGTTTAAATCACACAATTTCTGAAACATAAAGAACAGTGAATAACATAAGGAAAACCATGTGATCCTACTATAGAGGTTATAAATGCTAACATTTGCCAGTTGGTTAAGACTTTTTTAAACTGCAAGATATCAGAAAAGCCTCACGCCAACTTTTCAGTCAAAAATATTTTTGCACAATACTTTGAATACACATAGGATTATCTGATTTTATATCACTGCCTTGAATTATGCACACAGTAGTCATCCCATAATATATTGTACACTATAAATTAAATTTTGGTTGTTTCTAGTTTTTTAGTACTGTAAGAAAAATCTTATATGCATATTTGCTCACTTTTAGAAACATAAATTCTGAGAAGTGGATTGAAAGATGTGCACACCAAAATGTGTCTGCACATGTGATTTAAACAGCTCGTTATTCCACTTCTTGGAGCCTTCCCCGTCTTCACCAGAGCCTTGCACGACTCAGCCTTGCCTCTCACCACTGCTTTACTCCTCTCTCAAAAGATCCAGACTCCACCCAGGTTTTAATATTTGGTTATCCATGAACATATCCACTCTTTTCCTCCCCTCTTAGTGGAAGCACTGGCCCTAAGTGTCCTAAAAAAATTCACTTCATACATGCTCTACACAAAATGCTATGCCATTACTGAAAGTAGTGGAAAAAGTTTTGGTGTGAATCACTCAGGGTGGACACCTCGGCAAACTTAGCACTTGATTCTCTCTGAGACCCTGTCCTAGACAGGCGTGGCTCTCTCCTTACTGAAGCTTTTCTATTCAGCCCGGCATTCTAACGGTTTTGCTTCGTTTTTTTTTTTTTTTTAATTAAGTACTTTATGGTAAGAACAAAGCATAAAAACAGATCCAAGCCAGGTTGTTTCTCCAAAGAGGTTCCAGGCTCGTGCTTTAGAAAATGATGTCATTTGATCCAGTGGCCTCAGTTGCCATATCTGGGAAACGGGCGACGCTGTCACGTACCCTGCTCACAGGACCTGATACGAGTGAGAAAGAAGAGACAGGAAAGTGGTATTTCCTATCTCCAAGGACCAGGCGCTTGTCTTACGTCAGGTCGTTTCGAAGAACGCACTGCTGGGAAAAGGTGAGAGCTCCCAGATGCAGAAGGCTGTCACATTCTGGGCAGGACAGGGCCGAGGTCCGACGCCCACCACAAGAGAGGTGAAAGGTTGGACCGGTTAATACAGTCTTCTGGAAATGGCGGAAGTCAGCGGTTCTGAAGTAGCGCGACCAGCCCGGGCTCACCTTGGTCTCCACGGTGGGCCCTTCCCGATAGCCGACTCGCTCTTTGAAGCGAGACAGGAACGCGGGCTCGGCGGGCTGCACGTACGACACTCGGTTTCGCTGGCTCATGTTAGCTCAGGGTAAATACAAGTCCTCTGGGCCGCGTCGCATAGTTCGGAGGCGACGGCGCCTACACAACACGTCACGAGGTTACGCCCCCACCCGACGCGAAGGTGGGTCAGGGGGCGGTGCCCGTGCTTGCGTCAACGTCCGAGCGCCAAATTCAAATTGCCGCCATTTTGAGCGGGCGGGTTCCCGGCGCGCGGCACGGCAGGGAGCCAGAGGCGAAGGTTGCGCGGCTCTAGGACCTAGGAAGGCGGCCGCTATGGCACCTGGATGCAAAAGTAAGGGAAGCTTGGCCTCGCCACTCCGTCCCTGGCTCCTGACCGTGGGGTTCCCTACTGGGAGGGAGCGCATCCCTCGGTCCCTCGCTGACTGTAGTGAGCGGGATGCGCCGCGGGGAAGCCCGCGTCCTCGCTGTCTCCCGCGTCCTCGCGGGCTCGCCCCTTCCGCAGGTCTCCGCGTCCCTGCCTTTCTGGAAGAGAAAGACTTATTATCCAAACGCTCCTTCCTCCTTTGGAGAGCCTCTCCTCAGCTACGGGGATTTGCAAGCAGGGTCCCCGACCCCGGGCCCCGGTAATGCCTGAAACCTGATAGCGCCCTGGTGCTGGACCCGGGAGCGCGCTGCCTGTCCCGTGTGTCCGGGCCTCTGTTTACGCGGGCCTCTGTTTACGCGTTTCGTTAAAGAATGAGGCGCAGCGATCGCAGACAACATCCTGTTAGCGATAGCCAGGTGCATGAAGTCTTTCTCGAAATCTTTTACGGTATTGCACTCGCTCTCCGTCCTGGCTGTGAGATGACAGATTGTCTACCTTAGTGCGGTGAATGACACGGTGTGGCAGAGGCTCTGCAGGTGACTTGACTTGAATTCAAGCACTGCGATCTACTAGTCGATCTGATGATCTGATAACAGCGAGGCTCCTGACTATCGGCAGGCCGGCGGTATAGATTCAGCGGGTGTCCTGCGCTGGAGGAAGCAGGGTCCTTCTGAACCAGAAGAAATAAAGGGAGAAGGCAGACATGGTGAACGTTTAAATTGAAAATAAAAATTATTACAGTGAAAGACATTACCAAGAACGATGGACAGTCTGAAGAGAGGGAGAGAATTTTGAGAGGGATTGGTGTAACTTTATTTTTTAGTGTAATAGTTTTTTTAAAAAAATAATTTAGGGGATGGGGATTTAGCTCAGCGGCATAAGAACCTGCCTTGCAAGCAGGCGGTCGTGAGTTCAATCCCTGGTACCGATAAAAATAAATAAAACAAATAATTTAGCATTCATCGTATTTTTAGATGGCTTTCACAGATTGATTAATTGATTGATGTACAGGGAATCAAATCCAAGGCCTTGCACATTCTAGGAAAGTTCCAAGGGAGCTTCTAATGTCACAATTCAGTGACAGCCACTTGATGAACTTTTGTTCTTTTAATCTTTTGTTGATCATTTGTTTAGACTGAACATCGCTACAGCTTAGTAGAGGGAGATAGATAGAGAAGAGGTCCAGGGCCAGGGGTGCCCACTGCCAGGTGTGGGTGTGAGGAGACCAAGGTTAGGAAGCACAGTTGTAACCACCTCTCATGACTTTTCACCTTTTTTCTAGCTGAGGTACGCAGTGTGATAACGTCTCAGTCCAACCAACCAAGGTAAGAAGACTTTGTCTCCCCACCCCAATGAGTTATTGTACTCTAAGAAAATAGCTTCGTTATATGTGTATTATAGCAAACCTGCAATGTGGCTTACTAAATGTGTTTTTTATCCTTTTTCCCTAACTGATATGTTAAGTGACCTAATTGCTATGTTGAGCAATATTCTCCTCTGTAAAGAATTGCAAGAATCTCACCTAATTGATATGTTAACCATTGTTGCCCTCTACAAACTACAGCAGTTGTGCTAAAACAAGCTAACAAGGGTTGTTAATCACTGTTAGGCACCTCTATTCTCCACTAAAGAGCTAAGGAAAACTAGGATGGCCCACTAATTTACACTTGTTTGAAGTAACTTGCTTGTGTGCAGAGAGATTTGCATATGAGTTTAACCCTTTACCTGACCTTGATTCCCTTCCCAGAAAGAAAAAAAAACATAACTGCCGTTTTCTGTTCTGTATGGCGCCTTATTGCCTCCCTCTCCCCTTACCTATCTATCTAGGCTAGGTCATAAAGAATTTGGATTTCTGGTGACCTCTTCCCGACCCGGTGATGATCTGTCATAAAATGTGCCTTAGCTTCAGAGAAATTATAGGAAAATGTTGTTGCTTAACCCTAATGCATCAAAAGGGTTAAGTTCCAAATCCTTATGAAGGCTTAAGTTTCAGCTTCTTGTAACTTTCAACCCCTTCCCACCTGTTAGTGTTAAGGAGCTGTCCTGAGATAATTAGCTTTCTACTTTCTTCTCCAAATGCTATTGCAGATAATTCTTACCTGCAGGATGGGAGTAACTCTCCCGAGGTTGTCAGAACTAAGTGGACAGCTATACAGTTTCCAGATTGGGGTCAACAAGTTTGATGGCTCTGCAGGTTTCTTTGTTTCTCGCCCCGCCCCTTTTCCTCCAGCCTCTTTTTAAAATCCTCCCTTCAGTCTCTAGCACGCAGTCTCCAAATTGGCTCCCGGAGACTCGTCACCAGGCCTGAAAATAAAGCCTTTGCTTCCCAAATTTCAGTCTCTTACTTCCTTGGATTTTATACCGGGGCCCGAGTTATAACAGTTATCTAGTATTTCTAGAAGAACTATGTCGCATAGTAAAAGGACTTGTTTATTTAATCCGGCTGAATGGAGAGGGGAAATCCCATATCTCCCTGCCTCTATTTACAGGCTAAAATGTTGAATAAGTTGCATAATTCTCCTGTGGAATCACTGGTCCTGTCAGTGTTTGTGTCTCCTTTACACGAACTCCTTTTGAGTTTGTTTCTAGTGAAAGATGGGGGAGGTGATGTCATAGAGTAGTAGATTAATGCAGGCCTGGGTCGCATTAGACTCCTCGGAGTGCCCAGCATAGATGGGGTGGCTCTGTCAGGGGCCTCATTATCTGCATGTGAGAGGTGATCTGAGACCCAGGGCCTCTGACTGTCTTCTCTGAAAATTTCTTTGTTACCTGTTTTTTATTTTTTATCTTTTTAGTAACGAAGGCGATGCCATCAGAGTTTTCATCCGAATCCGTCCACCTGCAGAGGGCGTGAGAGCCAGGACAGCGGATGGAGAGCAAAGCTTGTGCCTCTCGGTGCTTTCCTCTACCACCCTGCGGCTGCACTCCAACCCTGAGCCCAGGACCTTCACGTTTGATTATGTGGCCGACATGGACACCACTCAGGTAGAACCAGACTGTGGAAGGCTCTGTTATTTGTAAGGGCTTCATTTTTGGTCTTACTAGTTTGGCAGATTTCTAATTTTTTTTCTGTTTATTCCCAATACTGGGGACCGAACCGAGGAGCACATTACCTCTGAGCTGCACTCCTAACCATAGAGGAAGGGTCTTGCTTAGTTTCCTGGGCTGGCTTTGTACTTGTGAGCCTCCTGCCTCAGCCTCCGGAGTAGCTTAGATTGTAGGCATGCGCCCTCGCTTTCCTTTTCTCTTCCATGATGGGAGTTAGTGGGATGCAGTTCCCAGAGCCACTTAAATGACTGACTGCAGCTGGCCACCTACTTTAGAAATTAGCACCACTGTGATGTTCATAACTATTTTCAGTTAAGATCAATTCAATTAAAGTTCAGTCAGCACTATCCAGTAGGACTGTTCTGCAGTGATGGGAGTGTGTTATGTTTGAGCTGTCCACTAGAGTCCTCAAGCGACCATGTAAGTGTACGTTAAGAGCCAGCTATGGGGGCTGGGGATTTAGCTCGGCGGCATAAGTGCCTGCCTTGCAAGCAGGCAGTCGTGAGTTCAATCCCTGGTAGCGATAAAAAGGAAAAAGACAAAAAAAAAAAAGAGCCAGCTATGGTGGGGCACTCCTGTAATCCCAGCACTCTGGAGGCTGATGCAGGAGGACTGCCGCACATTCAAGACCAGCATGGTTACATACTGAACCCAAGGCCAGCCTGGACTACACAGCAACAGTCTGTTCCCATATAAATAAATACATAAATAAAATTAATTAGAATTAGATAGAATTGTGTCTCATATGCATTAGCCATATGTGGCTATTAAGCACTTGAAACGTGGCGAGTGTCTTTGATAAACTAAGTTTTATTTAATTTTAATTAAATTTGAACTCAGATGATGGCACACACTTGTAAACCCAGCTACTCAGGAAGCTGAGGCAGGAGTGTCAGAGTTTAGGTTAGCCTGGGCCACTTAATGAGATCTGTCTCAAAGTGTGAAATGATGTGAAATAGAATATAGCGCTGCATGTGGGGTGCATACTGGTAATCTCAGCACTCGGGAGGCGGAGCCAGGAGGACTAAGCTGGAGCCCAGCTTGGGCAGTTTAATGAGACCCTGGCCCAAAATGTAAAAAGGGCTGGGGCTAGAACTCAGTGCAAAGTCATACCCTCAGTTCCCGATGCTGGGGAAGGGGGCACTGGGAATGGAGCTCAATACTGAGCATACGCAGGGCCCTGGTTCAGCCGCTGCTGCCTCAAACACTAAAATAAACCACACCCACACAAACTTCAGAAGGCTGCGTCACGAGTGGCTTCTGCACACACATCGCAGCTCTTATTTCCTTCGACATTGGACCGTGTGTGAGAGGGGCCGTCACATCTTTAAATCTTCATTCTTTATCCAGGCGCCGTGGCACATGCTTGTGATCCCAGCACTTGGAAGGCTGAAGCAGGAGGATCGTTGCCAGTTCAGGACCAGGCTGGGCTACAAAGTGAGCTCAAGGCCAGCTTGAACTGCACAGTGAGACCCTGTCTCAAAAAGACAAAACAAAATAAAAACACTTTATTCTTTTCATCTAGAACTATAAACTGAGCCATGTAGATAATTTAAAATTTTCTAGTAGTCCCTGGTGAGGCTTATTTTAAAAACATCGTGTCTCAAAAGGCCTAACTCCTCTTTTATCCCGTTTGGTGGTGCTGGGATCAAACCCAGGAGCTCCTTACTACTATCCTATATCCCAAACCCTTTTTAGTATTCATTCATTCATTTTGAGGCAGAACTGCATTTTTGTGCAGTTCTGGCTGCCTTGAACTCACTTTGTAGTCCAGGCTGGCCTCCACCTCTCGCTGCCTCAGCCTTCTGAGTGCTGGGATTGTAAGCATGCACCACCACACTTAGCATCAATGTAAGTTATTAAAGAGATGGTTTTCACTCTTTTTTTCTAGCTCAGTCCTCAAGATCTGGAATACATTTCCTCTTGCAGCACCTCAGTCTGCATTAGTTTCAGTACTCGGGAGCCACATGTGGCTCATGAACGACATAGTGTTGAGTTCTTGCAGCCAGGGATTTAGCTCCGTGGTGCAGCGCCTGCCTGGCAAGCACGGAGGTCCTTAGTACAATTCCTGGTACCAAAAAAAAAGGAGTTCTTGCATCTTTGATAAGACTCCAAAGATATATATGAAAATGGAATTTATATTAGTTGGTACAAACTTAGGAGAGAAAAACTGAAGAAAATATAGAGCTCTGTATTTTACATCAGTACCAGTATAATTACATGCAAAATGCAGTACAGAATATTGTATAAAGTTTAGATGTACACTTTTAAAAAAATTTTTTATTTTAAAAAATTGAAACAGATTTATAAACTAAACAATATTGATACCTTAAAAAAATGTACAAACTGGGCATGGTGGCACATGCCTGTAATCCCCACATTCTGGGAAGCCAAAACAGAATTTCAAGTTCTCCTGTTTCAGAAACTTGGTAAGACCATGTCTCAAAATAAACAAAGGGCTCAGTGTGAAGGCCCCAGGTTCAATCCCCAATATGGAAAAAAAGTACAAAGGCAGGTGAGGTGACTCCACCTGTAATCTCAGTACTGGGGGGCTAAGGCAAGAAGACCTTGAGTTCCAGACCAGCTGGGATGACAGAGCAAGACCCTTTCTCTAAATTTATTTTTAAAAAGTCAAACATGGGGGCTGGGGTTTTAGCTCAGCAGCATAAGCGCCTGCAGTCCTGTTCGATCCCTGGTACCGATTGAAAAAAAAAAAAAAAAGAAAGTAAAAAAGTCAAACATGGTGGCATATGTCTGTAATCCTAACATTCTTTTTTTTTTTCTTCTTTTTTTCCGGTACCGGGGATCGAACTCACGACCGCCTGCTTGGCAGGTGCTTATGCCACTGAGCTAAATCCCCAGCCCCAATCCTAGCATTCTAAAGGCTGAGCCAGAAGGGTCACAAGTTTGAAAAAAAAAAGTGTAAACTGTGTGTCACATAGAAGCAGATAAAATTAAAGACAATCCAGTCCTCACAAAGGCAACTTTCTCAGGACTGGGATGTGGCCTGGTTTCTAATGATGCGGGTCCAAAAGGACAGGGGTCCATGTTAAGCCTGTAATTTATCAGGTCCTGATCTTGATACCCAATCTCCCAAATGAATGTATGGTGAAGGCTTAAATAAATGAGACAAGTGGTGTGATTTTAGGGCTCCAGGAGGGTCAAAACCCTTTAGCTGAGTTTGAGGGTCTGAGGGCTAAGACAAAGAGTTCTCTGGACGGCCCATTTTTATTAGGTCCTCAACAAAGAGCAAGGAAACTGAGGAAAGTGCAGGCAATGAGCAGGACCTTGGGAGTCACTTCAAGGATGTCTCCAAGTAGTAAATCACCTCAATTTAGGAGAACAATCTTATCTTCCTAAAGACATGGTAGGAGTGAGACAGGAGTAATTCCTGCAGCTACAGTCTCTATCTACTTAATTAGGGTTGGAGCCAACCCGTCTGAAGCTGTGGCCTTACCTTGCCCTTTGAGGTATCTCTGGCTTCACAGGCCACTGCAGGCCTCAGCCAGGACCAGTGATTCATAGAGGTTCACTTACTATGAATCAGCTCCCGTCGCAGGCAAGGGGCTGAGGCCTAGGACAGACTCACAGATAAATTTAGAAAGCTAGTTAGTTAATTTCAAATCCTTCTCAGAGCCACTTTGTAGCGGTCTCCAATCGTAATTGTACAAGGGATGCAAGGACCTGAATCCATTGACAGTTCAGCTGTCTTTGGTGAATTAGCCCTGTTCTGTAGTGGGTATAATCTACATGTCATCACTGCTTAAAAGATCTGAGCTCTCCGTTTTTACTGCAGGATGTGGTTTGGGAAGGGGCTTCTTGGTTCTGAAATGCTAACCTCCTTTGCACTCACCTTTCTAGGAGTCTGTGTTCTCGACAGTGGCAAAGAACATTGTGGAGTCTTGCATGAGCGGTTACAACGGCACCATCTTCGCCTAGTATGTGGCCGGCTGCGTCTGTCTGGAAGGGTACAATGGTCAATGCTAGTTCAGATGTCCTGTTGCTCTTTTAACAAATTATAGCAAACTCAGTGGGTTAAACAGCAGAGGTTTGTTTCTGCAGTTCTCTAAATCACAAGTTCAGCGCTGGTCTCACACCTCAACTAGCGATGGCAGCGCCATGGTTCTTTCTGGAAGGAGCACAGGAAAATCAGCATCCTTGCTTCTTTTTGTTCCCAGAGACCACACACATGGCTTTGCTTATAGCCCCGCCCCTTCCTGCTTAGTCAGGTTGCAGTCTCATAGGTGAGACCTGCCTGCTCACTCTGGGAAAGGAGAGTGCTGTGCTATGCTGTTTGAAGCCTTCTCTGAGGACATGGGGCTGTGTCCTGTGCTCAGTTACGTGTGTTTCCGGTTTCTGTGCCGTGTGTTTCCGGTTTCTGTGCCGTGGTCTGGTGTGGGTTGGTGCTGTCCTTGGGGGTCTAATCCAGTCCACGGCTCCTGTCATTATTCCAATTATTCCCGCCTTGACCAGTGGAATGTCCTTTCAGGCTGTTCTCTGTGCTCCCTCATGTTTGGTTTTTCTTTCTCTCCCCTCCCCCACAGGACTGGAGGTTGATCCCAGTGCCCCATGAGTGCTAAGCAAGCACTCTACCACTGCGCCACAACCCCAGTCCTCCTTATTTTGAGAGAAGGTCTCATTAATTGCCCAGGCTAGTTTTGAACTGCTGATTCTGTTGCCTCGGCCTCCTGACTGTCCAGGAGTCATGCTTTTGTTGCACAGGGTCAGCAGAACTACATGACCCATTTGAGTAGAGGAACAAACTGTTTACTCATGTCTGCCCAAGAGAGCAGAGGTAGTTTCTGTACTTTCCAGAGTGAAGTTTAGAATGACCCCGACATAACCACAAGAGCCAGAGCTTAGCTGTCTTCAGAGCCATTTGCCTTGCAGAGCCTGTGGGCATTACTAACAGTCTTGTGGCGTTCATGGTACATTCACTGCTAACTTAGTGTGCATTGCTCCGGGCAGTGGTAGGCAGGAGGGAGAACATTCTGGGAGAAGGTCAAGTTGTTCACAGGACAGCGTGTTTGCTGGCCTGCCGAGGACAGCCTGTATTGTAGTGTGATGGTTCACAGCGATCACGGGTAGGGAATAGTTAGGGCCACCCTTGTTGGGAAGACTCAGCAACATCCATTTCTCATGCTTGGTTACCCACACCTTTTCTGAGGACATTTAACAAGAAGTAAATTCAAAACTTCGTATTTTTGCTTTGAATCTAAGTGAAAGTCGTTTCACGTGCTGATTGACAGCTCTTTCTAAAACACCATCTTCTTAGTTTTACTTTTGTGTTGCTGTTGTTTCTGGTAGGTGGAATAACAGGAAGTATAACCCTAAATAAAAGAACAAACCTAGAGCAGAGGGGTTTTTAAAAATGCCTCACTTTAAGCAGACATTTCAGTATCTTTTTCCAGATAGCTAATTTAGGAAAGGAATTGTTTCATTATTTCAAGTGGCAAAGTTGGAAACAAAAGTCCAGCTGATTCTGGTTAAATGAGTTACTCCAGAAGCTCCTATCCCTGTGGATACTGTGCATCCATTATAAGCAGTGACAAGGGCATCTGTTTGCTGACTACCAACAAACTGAGATAAAATGAAGGGAAAACAGGTTAAGGCGAAGTATGAAAGACACTGCAAATTCCTGCAAATGAGAATTGTGATAGTTACACTTTTGTAATCTAGAAGCATTTTCAGACAGTAACAGAGGTTAGCTCTTTGGAATGGGATTGAAGGGAAAGAAACTACACTGTTCACTTTTTTACATAAAATAATTTTAAAATAGAATAATTTTCTATAGGGACTATTGATACAAGTATTAAGATAAGTGTAATCTTCTAAATTTTATACTTAATGTATCCAATGTTCTTTTTTACAGTGGGCAGACAGGCTCTGGGAAGACATTTACTATGATGGGTAAGTTAATTAAAAATTAATCTTTTCTGGCTTACTGTAGTCTTTCTGATGACAACATGTCCTACATTTAAGGGGACATTATAACTTCTGTGTGAGATCACGCTCTCATAAGGCTAGGGACTTAAAGAAGTTATTCCATATGCTCAGGATTCTGTCAGAGAGTGAGTTCCTGGATAGCAAGCGACATTTTTGGGCACTAACTTTGCATATTTCCAGCACTTTTTCAATTTTATTTCTTCTTCATCATCATCATCCTTATTAAGACAGATTCTTGCTATGTTGCTGAGGCTGGGCTTGAATTTGTGATCCTCCTGCCTCCACCTCCCAGAGTGCTAGGATTATGGGTATATACCACCACACTGGGTTTAATCATGCCTGTTACTTGAGGGTTAGCACATGCTGGTGCTGGCACGGTACTAGGTGATTAGTGAACAGGTTTTCAGTAATTCTGTTGATGACCATAGACAATTATCATGATTCTTCTCTGCAAAGCACTGTGTGAAGCCAGGAAAGCAGAGGTCACGTGTATCAGTTTGGTATTCCTGCCAGTTTCTGTACCTGGCCGTCTGAAGGATGTCCAGCTGAGTGCCTGGGAGCCTGTGGTGTGTTATCAGAAGGCAGCTGCTGTATCTTATTGCCCAGTGGCTGCCGGGCACTCTCCTTGAGTCCTGCCCATAACAGCCTCTGTACCACCAGCCTCCAAGGACTTCAGTGCAGGCTGTCAAGACTGCTATGCGTCGCCACATTTCTGTATAAATTTGTAAATTGCCTTTCAGGGTTGCCTTATTGGAGGATGTAGGATAGCATACAAATCAAAAGACTTTTTTTTTTTTTTTTTTTGTCTTTATCAGTACCAGGGATTGAACTCACGACTGCCTGCTTGAAAGGCAGGCGCTTATGCCACTGAGCTAAATCCCCAGCCCCAAGACTTTTTATTTTACTTTTTTTTAGGACCATCTGAATCTGATAATTTTTCTCATAATTTGAGAGGAATAATTCCACGAAGCTTGGAGTATTTGTTTTCCTTAATTGATCGTGAAAAAGAGAAGGTAAGACTGGAAAAACAGAAGCATACACCAAAATGTCTAGTTTTGTGGAGTCAGCTCAGGTGGGTGGAGCACTGTGTGGGTGTCTTACAGTATAAACCAGCTAATGTGAAATAAGAAATGTTTCAGTTCTTAAGAGAAAGTTATAGATTCTGGGCCAGGCATGGTAACACACACTTATGATCCCAGCACTTGGGAGGCTGAGGCAGGAGGCTCACGGTGAGTTTGAGGTCAACCTAAGCTACATAATGAATTCAAGGCCAGCCTGGACTACATGGTGAGACCCTGTCGAAAACCACCTGCTCCCACCCCCAACAAATTATAGAGTCTGGGAGTTTTGCTTTCAATTTGAGGTTTTTAGGTTTGTTAAATATGCATCTTTCTTTGCCTGGATTGCTAACTTAAAAAAAGAAAGTACTGTTTCTTAGGCTCTCAATAGATTTCTTTTTGGTGCCAGGAATTGCCTTGCGTGTGCCAGATAGGCACTTATGCCCTTGAGCTGTGTCCCCAGCCCCAAGAGGTTTTTTAAAACAGAAAGTATAAAGAAATTCTCAACCAAAGATAACAGACAAACAAAATCCTGTCATCTGCCTGAATCCAGGCTCACAGGTGACTGCAGGAATCCCCAGACATGCCATCTGGCAATGACAGTCCTGTCCTTGCTGTCCCTTGGCCCCTCTGCCTCCTCACTGCACCTTTGCCTGCAAGGCGTGTGGCTCATGGTCCACGATGGGGTCTTCCCCTCACGTTGTGTTCTCAAAATTATGTTTCTTCTTTGCTTGGTAAATTCCAGGCCTCAGAACCCTCAGTGTTGTGTGTGCCAGTCCTTACCAACAGAACTGGTAAGGAGATCGCTTTACAGCAATCTTTGCAGAGACTGTTCTTACAGTTCAGTTAGACAAATTGTATTGTTAGTGAAATAATTAAGTTTAGCCCTGTGTAACTGTGTGGTTAAAAATCCTGTAGTCTTTTACGTGTATTATCTTCTGTCTTTGAAGGACATGGTACTTACTTCAAATAAACTTGATGAGGAAGTTCATAGTCTCTCAGTGATGGTGACCCTTTTAGAGCCCACACGCAGGTGGAGGATCTTTTTGAAGCTCAGTAGGAGATGATGGAGTTGCCCACCTTTAGGAGATGGCTCCCGGGACCAGTGACTCTGTTCTCCAGTGTCCCATGTGTCACCCTGGCCATTCATACACTTCTCGCTGATGCCCCAGTGTCTCATGCAGCATCCGGGGACAAGCATAGGAATGTGTACCTCCCGTGAGGCTGGCGTGTGGTAAGGGGCTGGGCCTCAGTGGCCGTCTAACACGGCTTCTCCTCCCAGGCCGGCGGGGAAAAAAGCTTCCTGTGTAAGTGCTCCTTCATCGAGATCTACAATGAACAGATCTATGACCTGCTGGACTCAGCATCGGCGGGGCTCTTCCTGCGGGAACACATCAAGAAGGGGGTGTTTGTCATTGGCGCAGTGGAGCAGGTGGTCACCTCGGCCGCAGAGGCCTATCAGGTACCTGTTGTGAGCATGCATGTGATGCTCAGTAGAAAGCATGCTGTCAAAGCACTGCTGTCTCGGAGTAAGAATTACATTGGGTGCAAGCAGTGTTCACATCTACAGTCCCAGCCACTGGGGAGGCTGGGGCAGGAACATCACAAATGCAAGGCCCTTTTGGGCAACTTAGCAAGATCCTGTGTTAAAATTTTTAAAATATTTTATAAGGAGGGGCCTGGAAATGTAGGTCAGTGGAAGACAGCACAAGGCTTTGAGTTCAGCCTGTAGCACTGTCTCCTGTCCCAAAAAATTTCATGAAAGCTTAATACAGAATGTTCATGAAAAGTAGAGAAAAAACTGTCTCTTTCCTGAGATAGAATGGAACTTTGGGTGCTTGATTTGCACAGTTTTGGTGCCGTTTGTCCAAATCGGGACACCACCTGGCCACAACAGTTCGTTCGTTAGTGCCTGTGTCCTCCTTCTTGTCCCTCCTGGGAGCTGCCTGCTGGGATGCAACCCCTTCGCTAGTAAGCTTTTCTTCTTGCTTTCCCTGCCCTCTTTTGAGGAGTCAGCTTCTGAGCTTTTGGTTTAGGACACATAAACCCACTTACAGGAATTTATAAAAATATTCTGTTCACTTTATGGTGCCTCATCTGCCAACTGACTTTAAATAGTTTTATAATGTAGTTAATGTGTGCAAAATATTGCCACAGGCGTGCAGGTTAGTGACCACGTGGGAGCCCAGTAGACAATTGGAGCCCCGCAGGGCGCCAGCACCAGCCCCTTCCCTGTGTGTCCACTCTGCTCGGTCCCAGGCTCCTGCCCCTGGCAGGCACAGTGCTCATCATTTCCTTCTTTTGAATCACACATCTGCATGTGTATTGCTGTTTTCTTTTCCTTCCTTCCATTTTAAAAGCCATGTGATCAAGGGGGATAGCCTTCTATGATTTTTGTTTTCTTTTTTGAGACAGGGTCTCACAATGTAGTTTAAACTAACCTTGAGCTCACGCTGTACCCTAGCCTGACCTCAAACTCCTGGCAGTCCTCCTGCCTCAGTCTCCCAAATGCTGGGATTACAAGTTCCACCACACTGCACTTGACTTTTTTTTTTAAGTCAACTGGTTTATGAAGTTAAGTCTGAAATATATACTACATTATAAAAGTGATACATTTCATTTCTTTTTACTGCTTTATAATCCATTTTTAATTTTTTTTTTTTTTCTTTTTAGTTTTTGAGACAGGGTTTCACTATGTAGCCCAGGTTGGCCCCAAATCCATGGCAGTTCTCCTGGCCCAGCCTCCCTCGTGCTGGGATTATGGCAGTGCGTGGCCACTCCTGGCAGTTAGTCCATTATTCATTCATTCATTCATTCAAACAAACCTCCTGATTCAAAGTTTTAAAACTGAGGCTCCTTCAGTAAGCAATAGGTTTTACATGTGACTTTCATGTCTATAATATATATCACAAAATTATGGTGAGATTTTGATTGCAATTACATTGTAGAGACCAGTTTGGAGAAATTAACACCCTTGCAGTATTCTATACATGAACGTGATATGTTTGTTTCTTTAGGTCTTCAATGTATGTGATACAAGATTTCGTGTTAGGTTTATTCTAATATGCCTTTTGTGTTCTTATTGCTCTTCCAATTTTTATTAAATTACATGTTGTCTGATATGCATAGAAATACAGTTCATTTTGAATACTTGTTATATAATTTAGTTACTTTGCTAACTATCTTACAAAATCAGTGTTATGGGGCTGGGGATTTAGCTCAGCGGCATAAGTGCCTGTCTGGCAAGTGCGAGATCATGAGTTCAATCCCTAGAAACCCCCCTCCCCAAATCAATGTTATGGGTTTTTTGTTTGTTTTTTTGTGGTACTGGGGATTGAACCCAGAGCTTTCACAGCCATTTTCTGAGGTAGGGTCTCACTGTGTAGTCCAGGCTGGCCTTGGACTCACAGCGATCCTCGTACAGAATTACAGCTGGGATCCTTTTTTCTTATAAACCATGTAGCTATATTTTGGTGTTTTGTTTTGTTTTTCTGTCTTTTTCATTTTTTATCGGTACCAGGAATCAAACTCACGACCGCCTGCTTGCAAGGCAGGTGCTTATGCCGCTGAGCTAAACCCCCAGCCCCTATTTTGGTGTTTTTTAAACTACTCTTGAAAGTATCCTATCTAGTTTATTTACATGAATACGATGTTGACATTGTTGACTGGTTTCTATCATCTTTCTTAGTATTTTAGTTTTGTTGTGTTTTTTTAAGACAGGGTCTAGCTTTGTAGTACAGGCTGTCCTTACCCAGTATCCCAAGCTGGCCGGCAACTCACAGTGATCTTCCTGCCTCAGTCGGCTGACTGTTGGGATTACAGGCATGCGCCACCATGCCCAGCTCTTAATGTGGTTTTTGTCTGTCTTATTCAGTGCTTTCTCTTTACTTGCCTCTTTGTTTTTGATTTAGCATGTAATATGATTTGTTTAAAAATTACATTTTCTCATTGACTTGCCTATGTACTTTTGGTGAAAATCATTTGATTTTCTATATCTCTTGACTGGTATAAACTTGTTGTAAGTATTAGAGCTTGTTGTTCAGTAGTAAGTCTTAAGTATGGTGACTCCTCTAATTTTGTTCTTTTTAAGGATTATTTTAGTTACTCTTGGTTTTTTTTATTATCACTTATATAGAACCAGCCTGTCAATTTCTACAATGAGAAGCTGCTGGGATTTTTAGTGGAGTTGTGTTAAGTCTATGAAACATTTTTAGAAGAATTAATGTGTTAATAGCATTAAGAATTCCACTGGTACTGGTGTAATCCTAGCACTGGGGAGGCTGAGGCAGAAGGATTGCCTCAAGTTGGAGGCCACCCTGGGCTACACAGTGAGTTTAAGGCCAGCCTGAGCTACATAGTGAGACCTTGTCTCAAAAACTCCTTACACAACAATGTCAAGTTTTCCAGTCCATGAACATTCACCATGTATTTTGGCTTTGGTCTTTGATATTTATTTGTATTTCAATTTCTATATAAGTATCCAAGCAAGAATGCCAATGTTTGTTTTTCCCTTATGTCGCACAGGTAACAGTGTAATGTGCTACTTTACATCAAATTTTTAGATGATAGTATTTTGGGATTTTTCCTGTGTTTGAGGAACTTCTAGTTTTTGTAATTATATGAATGTCACGATTGATTTAATTTGAAAAGGAAGCATAAAATGCTATTCAAGAAATATAAAAGATAAAAATAATTTCAATAGGGCTGGAGATAGGGGTCAGTGGTGAAATTCTACCATGTAGATAGCCGTCGGCTTGACCCCTACCTCTAACAAGTAATTTTAATTTCATGTTGTGTCTTATGTATGGAGAGGTCTGTAACAGCATTTTGGGTGTATGGCTATGCGCTTTGCTAATGCCTGTATGCATTGTTTCATTTAATTTTCAGTATACTCGGGGCTGGAGGTTTAGCTCAGCGGCATAAGCACCTGCCTTGGAAGCAGGCAGTCGTGAGTTCGATCCCCGGTACCGATAAAAACGAAAAAGCCAAAAAAAAAAAAAATTTTTTTCAGTATACTCTCTCAGATAAAGATAGTGATTTCCTCATTTCCCCCCATCTATTCCCATCTATTGGAATCATCTATTCAAAATGTGGTTCTCAAACCATTAGCAACAGTTGAAAGCTTGTTAGAAATGCATAATCTCAGGCTCCACCTCACCCTGGTCCCCGTGGGGCAGCTACCCAGATGCTCATTTTAGGAATATTAGGACTATGTCTTGGGAAGGTTTGCCTGGCTGCAGATCACACCTTGTAAATAGAGGGAGGGTTTGCACTCATGGTCATCAGATCCAGAGCCTGCAGACTGTCTTCAGGTGTCCTGTTTGCCACAGGAAGTAGGCAGGGAATCATACTTTGTAGAGGGAGAGAAACCCTGATAAAGCTGTGTGGTTGAAGTTAATTTAGAATTTTTTGAGATGAGGATCCTACACTGGTTATCTAGACAAAGAAAGGGGGTCAAGATGATTATGTGATTTACATTAACACATGTAGGGACATGCAAAACCGGTCCTAGGTCCAAAACTTCTAACTTTTTGTTTGTTCTCCTTCCGTAATATGGAGAAGGAGAGAAAATAACTTGAGTATATTCTTTGATACACATAATCCTACTCTTTGCCTTTTACAGATTGCGCACTGATTTTTGTGGCTAATGTGTACCACTTGGTTTGGGGGGCGTTTTTTGAGGCAAGGTCTTCTATGTAGCCTTGGCCAGCCCCAACTCACTGTGCAGTACCACTTGGAACTTGTGGCCATACAATGGCTCTCAAAACTAGGTACAACAGGAAGGCCATAGGTGTTCCCCACCCAAAGAAAAATACATTTGTATGGATGTTGAGAAAGCGGATAATTCTTCATATGTCCGCATTTTTCTTGCTAAATGAGTGATTCTCCTGTGCCTATTTTAAGTTTGCCTTCAGGGTGCCCACTGCAGCCTCTTACCATACACTTGCCTTTGGCCTAGGTGCTGTCTAGAGGGTGGAAGAACAGGCGTGTGGCATCAACATCAATGAACAGGGAGTCCTCCAGATCTCATGCAGTCTTTACAGTCACAGTAGAGTCCATGCAGAAGAGCAGTGAGGTTGTGAATATCCGGACCTCCCAACTCAACCTGGTGGACTTAGCAGGATCTGAAAGGCAAAAAGATACACATGCAGAGGGAATGAGACTAAAGGTAAGCATAAAAGTGTGGTGCTTGATTTGTGTGAATTTCTCCTAAAGTCAGTTCCACACTAAATATGGTGAGAACTGCAAAGAAATAAATTGGTGTCTACAGGGAACAGAGATTTTTGTTATGAAGCAGGGACAATGACCATAAATGGGATGGGGCAAGTCTGTTGTAGCAAGAACATTTTAGTCCTTACCAGCAGAGAGAGTGGTATTGGAAGCACTGAAAGAAAGCAGGGCATGATGGGCTGGTTAGGGAAACTATGGAGTAGTTTTTGCATTGTCATCCTGAGTCTGAGAGATTTGGCTGGAGAAAGAGGATAATGGAATACAATATATGCCCAACAGAGTGAGACCTTTCTCCTCTTTTTATGGTACTGGGGGTTGAACTTGGGCCTCTCAAGTTGCCGAGGCTGAGCTGGAACTTGCAGTCCTCCCACCTCAGTCACCTGATGTGCTAGCATCACTGGCACACATCACCAGGCCTATATCCAGCAGATGGCATCTTGGGAGTTATTGTGTCTGAAAATGATGACCTTAGTACTTGGCATTCCAGCTTGAGTAGGTGGCAAGGAGGGCCAGATCAGTTTGTTTTCATCTTCCTAAACTCTGGGAACACTGACAAGTACTGAACTAGTGAGTGGCTTCACAAAGAAAGAGGCTTTGTGAAAACTCGGACCTTTGAGCTGCTATTGCTGCTTCAGGTGGAGAGAGCACAAAGAGAGGACTGGCAGCGCCACCGATGAGTCAGGAAGACTGGGAACCTGCTGCTAGGCTGAGGGGCTGGCAACAGTGTGAGAGCTGTGTGGTTCCAGGAGGAATCTTTAAACAGGTCCAGATTCTGCTTTTAGGATGTGTATGAGCTGGTGGAGAAGAGTCAGTCAGAAGGCTGACGAGAGACTTACTGTTTGCATTAAAAGTGAAGTCTACACATTCCTATAATCTCAGCTATTTGAGAGGTTGAGGCAGGAGGATTGCAATCACAAGGTCAGAATGAGCAATTTAGCAAGGTAAAAAAGGTGAGAGACTGTAGCTTAGTTAGTAGAGGTCTTCCCTGGCCTGCACGAGCCCCTCAGTTCTGTCCCTAGCACTGCAAAAGAAAAAGAAAAACAAAAATGAGATTTGAGCCTCTTGAGCTCTCAGGGAGTTTTAAACAGCTGAAGGCTTGTGTTTTGCTGCTGATTTCCTTGGATGCTGGGGATGGACTGCAGAGCCCTGCATGTTTTAGACAAGTACAGTGCCACCAAGCTGCATCCCTGGCCCAAGGCTCATGTTTCTATTGAGATATGAAGCCCAGTCGGGACTGGGTTCCAGTAAACCCACTGTGTGCTGGGAGTACATCAGCCCAGAGTGCCATTGAAAGAGGTACCCAGCCAGTCCGCTGTGGGCATCAGCTGTGGGCTCTCAGGATCTGCGCTGCCTGGGAGCCGTGCAAGGTCATCCTGAGTCTGATTGTCTTGGGGAAGAGCTAAATGCAGAAGCTGAAGGACAGTGTGTACCAGACACCTTTCCACGTCATTCTCAAGGTGCAATGTGCAGCAGATAGGGTTAGCGGGTAGTTGAATGGACTCTTTTTTAAGCTCAAGTTAATTGTCTTTAATTGTCTTTGAGTACTGTTGTCCCTGAATTGCCTTTCCTTCCCTGCTGTCACTTGCTAGATCCATTTTAGTTTAAAACACCTAAAAGTAACAAGTGTTCCTAAACTTCTGTTCTTTTCCCCAATGCCGTAGGAAGCAGGTAACATAAACCGATCATTGAGCTGCCTGGGACAAGTGATTACTGCACTGGTGGATGTGGGCAATGGGAAGCAGAGACATGTGTGTTACAGAGACTCCAAGCTTACTTTCTTACTGCGGGTAATGTGGGTCATCCTCGTGGGGACAGATCTCAGCACCGGGGGCAAGAGTGTACCCATTCTTTCTTTTCTTTTTTTTTTTTTTTTTCGTACTGGGGATCGAACTCAATAGTGTGCCTTTTATTTGCACACAAAGAACTTGAGACTTTTTACCCTAAAAATGTCATTCATATCGTTGGACAGGACTCTCTTGGTGGTAACGCCAAAACAGCCATAATTGCAAATGTTCATCCCGGATCCAGGTGTTTTGGAGAGACACTATCAACTCTGAATTTTGCTCAAAGAGCCAAACTGATTAAAAACAAGGTATAATACCTGTGTATATACTATGCTGTGTTAGGTAAATTAGGAAAATACTTAAGCTCTAAATACCTTATTTTTGTGATTGCCTTAATGTTACCAACAACTATGTGAAATATTTCTCCCCCAGCACCCACCATGCTGTGTATTGAACCTAGAGCCTTCACGTACATGTAACTTGAGAGCTAGGTTATGTCTAAGGGCATTATTGTTTTGCTGCTCTGTATTAAGGCAGAGTATTTCCTTTGCTATTGGATTGGAGAGTGAATATATTTGGCTACACAGTGCCAGCTAATCTGTACATGTGCCTGCGTCCACCTTCTCCTTGCACACATGTGACGTGTTTCATAGGGAGGGAGTTGCATGAAAGTACTTTGGTAGAACCAACACACTTTGCTTTTCAAGTTGTTTGCATTGCTAGGTGTTCCATGCTTTATTTTGTATGCAGGAAGCTTCTTTGATGTTTCAGTAAGAAAACTTCTGTGATCCCTACACGGTAGCTGTTTTGTGTTTCCTGGATAAATAGGCTCTGCTCCAGCTGCTCCACAAACCAGGAGCTTTGTATGTCTCACTGTCAGCAGTCAGTCTTCAGCCCTGCTGCCTGCCAGGGCCCTGCTGATGGCTGAGCCACTCACACCTTTCCATGGGGACAGGCAGGACCTGAGACAAGAGCACAGACCTTGGCCTGTTGGAGTGTCTGTCCTTGCTGAGTGCTTGGGTGTATTGTAGCTGGAACACTGTGTTTTCCCTTTGACCCAGTTGGTGTTTCGCTGTTGGCACTTGTCCTTACCCTTGTATATTTTGCAGCTCTTTTTAAAATGTATTTCCAGTTTGGGATTTACAGTAAAATTGACAGAAAGTGCAGAGAACACCCATATACTCCCTGTCCCCACCTGTGTGCAGCCTCCCCACAGCACCACAGTGCTGTATTTGTTTGTGGGCCTTTTTATCTCTCAGAGGTCTTAACAAGACCTGTCTTCCATAATAGGAAAATGCACAAACCAACCCTGCCTTGCAGGAAGGCTCTTGTCACAAATATCTAAGACCTGCAACTTACAGAGGGGAGATTTGCACATTGTGGCTCATGTGTTTGGTCCATAGCTGGCTGACTCCAAAACAAAAAGATATGTTGAAAAGCCCTGGGTGGAGGAAAGCATGCAGCTCTTGGCAGCCAGGAGACAGACGCAGGGGAGGGAGATGGGCCCTTCCGGGCCATACCCCAGTGCCCTGTGTTTCTGACCAGGTCCCAGTCCCTAGCAGCACAGTTAGCCACGGCACCCCCACTGGTCAGCCGTGCTCCAGACATCCCTCCAGGAATGTGTGAGGCTTTGGGGCTGTCTGGACATAACCAGGGCTGTTAGGAATCGAAGGTCAGTGTCTTTGAAGAGGGCTGTTCGTGCCAAGTAATGGGTGCAGCTAGCTCTGCAGGTCTTCATATGCCTACCAGCTGGGCTCCTTCAGCCTTGGGAACCAAGGCGGAGGAAACGGCACCCAGGCATGGCCGAGTATTGTTCTGAGAGGGAAGTGGTCTCGGGGCAGCATGCTGAGGTCTGCAGGTCGCAACAGCAGTGAATGCCCTAAAAGGTTTGCTGTTACTGCTCAAGGCCCACAGCCCAGGAAAGGAAGCCTCCTGCCTTTCTCACATACACTGACTCCAGTCTTTTGGCCTTGGGTGAGATGGAAGCAAATTGGTGTGATGTCCATCACTTTGAAGCGTCCACACCTGGGACTGTGCATCTCAGAAAGCAGCACCCTAATGTTTAGTATGCTCTGGAACAGGCGGTGGTGAATGAAGACACCCAGGGGAATGTGAGCCAGCTCCAGGCCGAAGTGAGGAGGCTTCGAGAGCAGCTGGCCCAGCTTGCTTCTGGGCAGAGCCCCCAGGACAGCTTCCTGCCCAGAGGTAGGGGTAGCACAAGGCCTTCAGCAGAGAAGCGAAACAGAACTGCTGTGAATAATCAAAGTTCAGAAATAATCCTTTTCTGCCTTTTCTCTTTCTTACTGGATTAATTCAAGAGAAGACCAAGTACAAGGAGTGTTTCCTGGAGGCTATGTTACTGTTTAAGAAATCCGAACAGGAAAAGAAGGTAGGAAACGAGTAAGTTAAAGGGGCTTCAAGGTGTTTCAGTGTCGGTGTTAGTGCCCTATGGGTTGAGACAGCCCAGGTTAATAAAGAAGACTGAAAATCCAATTTAAGATTAGATCATAATCTAAAATTGAAGATCAGATTCTTAGTATTTGTCCCTGCATTTCTAAAAATCAGGGAGGCTTATTTTTCATGTTTAACCATACTATGAATTTCTTAAGTCTCTGGTAGGAAAAATTACCCAGTCAGAAGATCTCATCCTCAAAAAGGAAAAGTTTATTCAGTCTTACAAAATGATCGTGAAGCTGCGTGAGGCCTACATCGTGCGCCTGGAGAAGCTGCTCAAGGAGCCCCCGGGCAGCTTCCTGGCCGAGGAGCAGGACCGGCTGCTTTCAGAACTGCGGGCTGAGGTTCAGATGCTGCGAGAGCAGGTGAGTGCATGGCCTGGAAACCCTGGAGGAGGGCGCCTTGGGGCACACGCCACCTGCTCTTCACCTCGGCAGGCCCGTCTGCTTGCTCTTCTCCACATCGGGGCTGTCCTGTGCTTGGTTCCTTTCTTCCTTACCAAAGCAGTTGCACCGGAAGGAAACAGAAGAGCCCCTGCCCTGCTGTGGCCAGGGCCCTCAGCCTGTCCCCTGGTGGGCAGCTGTGCTTCAGACTTGAGCCACTGAAGTTTTGTTCTTGTTGTTTTTCCCTTTTTCTGGGGAGAATGAATACATAAACCAAAGCACCTAGTTAAAAAATATTGCCAGCTTTTTGTGTCCTTTTCCAGAGTTTGTGGCACATGTTTAAACACAGAATACATGTTTTTCTCTTTATTTTTTACACTGCTCTGCACTGTGCCTTTTTTCAGTAAAGATGTCTGAGGGGCATTCCCTGGGGGGAAGGAAGGCTTCGCCGTCTTTCCGATGCGTTGGTTTGGTGTGGACTCTGCCACACTGTGTACACTAGTGCTGGTTTCCCCAGGTGTCACGGTGGCGGAGTGAGGCTGCGTAGCGTGAGCAGCGTGTTTCAGCCTGACCCCAAGTGTTGCTTGCTTTCACAGTGGTTGTAGCAGGGTAGCAGCTCAGTAAGTTATGTTTGTCAGTGAATAATAGCTGTGTTGTTCCTGCGTGTCACAGATAGAGCACCACCCCAGAGTGGCGAAGTATGCCATGGAAAACCATTCCCTCAGGGAGGAAAACAGAAGGCTGAGATTATTAGAACCCGTGAAGAGAGCCCAGGAAATTGATGCCCAGACCATTGCCAAACTAGAAAAGGCTTTCTCTGACGCATCTGACACAGAGAGAGGTGACAAAGGTGAGGTATGAGTCCTCTAAGAAGGGCTGCGACCCTGGTCACTATGTAGCCTGAGCCATCCTCCTGCCTCATCCCGCCCCACCAGTACTGGGATTCTAAGTGGAAGCCGCCACAGTCCAGGGCATCGTTGGTGCTTTGCAAGTTAGCTTTCCTTTCCACCTTGGGCCGTGCGCACACTTCTTACACAGATCCTTACTGTTTCCTGTTACTAAACGGAGTTTGTTTACTATTTTTTTCCTTTAAAAAAAAACCACAGAATGGTGAATCATGTCAGCTAATGAATATAACAAGGAAATATTTGTGTATTTCTTTTCTTACAGTACTCTGTTTTGTTGGCCTTTTGCCTCAATAGCATCTTCATTTCCTACATTCGAATGATACTAACGTTAACTTCTAAGAGCTAACTTCTAAAGATCCTAAACAGTGCTCACATGCTGCTCCACCTGGGGCTCAGTGGGCTCTGCCGCTCCCCTTCAAAGCAGGCCTTGAAGTCTGTTTCTGTCTGGTAGATGATGCCAAGTTCTTATGAATTGCCGCCCTTGCTGCTTGCTTTCTTTAAATAGCGCGTCATCTGTTCAGACCGCTGGCTGTCGCTCAATCCTGCAGCTTCAGCACGATGGTGTTTCTACAGGCAGCATCATGCAGGCAGCACATCTGTCACCGTTAGCTCTTTGTCCCTATGGAGGAGCCATTGCCTCGACTCTGCCTGTATTCTGTAACCTCTCTGCTTCTTGACTGTGACTTCTATTCTTGGCACACTGTGCCTGGTCCTGTGTCTCCTGACGAGGTTCTTTATTTTAGAGCCCATATTCCAACTTCCTTCTTACTTACCTGCTTTATGTATCCAGACTGATAGCTGTCAGAGCATTGAGAAAATGCAGTTGATAGCCAAGCATGGTGTGGCACCCCTGTAATCCCAGCAGTCTGGGAAGCTGAGGCAGGAGGATCACATATTTAAGCCCAGCCTGGGCAACCTAGCAAGACTCTTATCTCAAAATGAAAATATTACACAAAAGGGTTGTGGGGTGCTGCTCGCTGAGATGGCCTTGGGTTCAGTTTTCAGTGCTAGGGGCATGTGTGTGTGTGTGCATGTATCTGTGTTTTGTTACTTTCTTTTTTCAAATATAGATTGTTTCCATATAACCAGGTCAACCAGAATTTTCTCCCAACGCTCCGAGAGAACCAAGTTCATTCACAAATGTAGAAAAGTTAAAAGCACAGCTCCTGCAAGTTCAGACAGAGCTGAATAATTCGAAGCAAGAATGGGAAGAATTCAAAGAACTAACCCGGTAAAGTGTAAATATGTGTGCACTCACCACCTTTTTACAGTGCTGATTTGTATCAGTGTTAATGTTCTGAGTTTCATTGGACCTTTTACTTTGACTATTAAACTCTCCTACTAAACAACTAACTTGTTTGGCCTGAAGAAAAGGACCTTTTGTCTTTCACATCTTTGTTGTGTGTCCAAGGAAATGTTTTAAGCAGTACTCTTTTGTTGAGATGAGTGTCCTTGAACTTGCATAGCAAATGCTTTGTCTCATTACCACATTTTGGGGGCGGGTATTAGGAATTGAACTCGGACCTTGTGCTTGCCAGGTATTTTGTTTGTTTTTTGAGACAGGGTCTCACTAGTAGTCCAGTCTGGCCTTGAACTCAGTAAGTAGCCCAAGCTGGCCTCAAACACATGATGATACTCCTGTCTTATCCTCCTGAGTGCTGGTATGGCATGGGCCAACATGCCCCGCTAATTACCACATTTAAATCACAGTTATGAACTAAATTGGGATTTTTAATAATTATAACATAATATTCTGACTTGATGCTCATTGTATAAAAAAAAAGATAAGCCACGTTGATATAATGAAGACTAATCCTTTTCTGAAATATAAGGAAGTGTTTGCTTTAAAAATGATGCAAATGGCACCCTCGTGGACCTCTGGGCTTTTACATTTGCATCTTTTAACTGAATACCTTAAATAGTTATCAGTCCCTGAGCCGTATTTTACCAGCCTGAGAATGACCATGAAAAGGTAAGAATCAGAAACAATATCTCTGATTTAAAGGGCTATAAAGTTATGTGTAAATATAAGCTGTAAAGTGCTTTTCCAATGTTTGACATTATTACCTGAAATACTCAGTTTTACAATATCTCTTAGGAAGAAGCAGCTAGAATCGGAATCAGAGATTCAGTCTTTGCGAAAAGCAAACCTTAATCTCGAAAACCTTTTAGAAGCAACAAAAGCCTGCAAGCGGCAAGAAGTGTCTCAACTGAATAAAATTCACGCGGAAACACTTAAGGTGGGCTCTGTGTGGCTTGCGTGCCTCTCTGTGTTAGTAATGGAGAGCCTGCATGGGTTGCTTTCAGATACCAGTGGCATCCCTGACAGGCTGGGCACCAGAGTGTTGGAACCCAATTCCCACCTGCCATGGACCTTGGGGTTTGTTAGCCCCTGAGCCTCATCTTTTTCCTCAGTGGGGGGAGAAGTGGAGGTTAATCGTGGGGGTTTAATGCAGTAAGTGAGGCCCTAGAGAAAGAAGTGCCTGGTGCGCAGGAGCGCTCTCCGTGGTGGCTGCTCCTGTAGCATAGTGTGCACAGAGCTGGTGGTGCAACTGAAACTCAAACCCAAGGGGATCACACAGATTTGCACAGGAGTTTCCTCACAAAATCACCATCTCCGTGAAAGAGAAAATAATGTCATCTGAGCATGTGAGAGCAGGGCGAGGACCATGCAGGGTCCTCAGGCTGAGACAGCTGTGTGGGTGCTGATGCTGGTGAGTCTGGCATTTGGACCAGATTGCCTAGGGGTTAGAGGAACCTACACGTAAAACATAGGTGTGTGTTCATGTGTGCTGGCTGCCTTAAGCAGCTACACTTTTTGTGTCACTTAATAGACTTTAAAAATAAATTTATTTATTTGTTGGAAAAGGTGGTTTATTAGATTGCTTTGGTTTTTTTTTTTTTTTTTTTTTTTTTTTTTTGAGGCAGGGTCTTGCTATGTAGTTCAGGCAGACCTTGAACTCACTATGTAGCTCAGGTGGGCCTCAAACTCATGGAGATCCTCCAGTCTCAGCCTCCCATGAATTACAGGTGCAAGCTACCATGCCTGGATACCTGATTGAAATTTAAAAGTATGAAAGTTTGTCAATGGCAAGTCTCTCTCCTTCACTCACAAGCTCTCTTTGGAAGCCATTGGTGTCAGCAAGCTGATAAGACCACCCACCTGGTCTTACAGTTTACACATGTGGCTGTACCATGTACACATCATTCTGCAGCTTTGTTTGGTTAATATAGTGATATGTAGTTTGTCCCATTTTTTTAAAGAGGGAAAGTCTTTAAGTTAGATATCAGCTTACCAAGTTTCATTTTTTAGATCCATACTGGACTTTTGTTTGGGATTGTGTTAGACTCTGATGGATTTACTTCATTTGGATCGTTTTTATTCTGTTTTTCCCTTTTTAATTTATAGGATTTTATCTTCTGTGTTCATAAAATTGCTAAATATGCTGTTCTTTTCACATATGCTAACCTTTGTTTTTTCCTTTTCTTTTTTTTTTTTGCAGATTATAACTACACCGACCAAGGCTTACCAACTTCGTTCTCGATTAGTACCGAAGTTAAGCCCTGAAAGCGGGAGCTTTGGCTCTGTGCACACTCAGAACTGCAGTGAATTAGACAATGATATATTAAGTGAGCCCATTCCTCCCGAGATGAGTGAGCAAGCTTTCGAAGCCCTTTCTGAAGAGCTTATAATGGTGCAGGTAATGCTTTATTTTAGAAGAGAGCAGTCACTGAAAATGGACACTCCTTTGTCTATTCTTTTAACTCCTTATGATTTATAGTGTTGTCTATTATTTTAACTGCTTATGATTTACATGTTCAAACATACTTAGTATTAAAATCATGTATTTTTAAGTGTGGGTCTGTAAGGGTCGTTGGCTTAGAAACTAGCTCAGTCTTGTTCCCTTAATTCGTTTTGCTGTCTTAAGCAAATCATTCTCTGCTTTCCATGGGCTTTCCTTCCTTGTGTGTAAGATGACCACTTCATCGCTGGCCTCACATTTGAAAACTGATTTGTAAGACAGGTCTCCTAAAGGAAGTTAAAATATTTGACAGACTCTTACCAGAAATGCAATTTTAGACAGCTTTTAGTATATGTGCTATAACTAGTAAGGCTGCATTTTCATGGAGTTCTGTTGATTTGATAATTTAAAACATTTTATTTCTACCATCCAGTGCAACTTGAAGTGCTCTGTCCCACTTTGCTTTCTTTTGTGGTACCAGGGATCTAACTCACAACCTCACACTTGCCAGACAGGCACTTATGCCGCTGAGCTAAACCCCTGGCCCCTCTGTCCTACTCTGAATCCCAGTAATTTGCCCTTACTAAAGAGTGGAAGCCTTCTGCAGAGGTAACCTGTGCAGCTCTGCTTGAAGGCTCAGGAGGGCCTTCTTAAACTTGCATCTTAAATGATCCACTTTGATGAACTACACATATAATTCTAAAGCAGTAAAACAATAGCCATTGGACGTTTTCTGCCTCCACCCAGTCCTTCGCTAATGTTTGTCTGTGTATAGTTTTGCAGTGTTGTTTTGTTGTAGTAGCTTGTCTCTTTAACAGAAAAAGAAATGTGAACAATAACTAATTCCATGAAAGGAATTTGATGGCTGAAACCTCTGTTGTAGGAACAAATGAGTGCTCTTCAGGTCAAGCTGGATGAAGAAAATCATAAAAATCTAAAACTTCAGCAGCATGTTGACAAACTGGAACACCATTCTGCACAGATGCAGGAGGTAAGCACAGGCGCATGGCACAGAGTGTGTAAAAGACACCCTCAGTGTCAGAGCACGGTGGGACTGACATGTCCTTCCAAAGCCTCAGGCAGCACTGACTTTGCATAGTGCTCTGCTATCAAGGCAGGCATGCACTGCCTGAAGTGGGGCAGCTTTGACCAAAGTGCACATGGATGATCGCTTGCTGGGTGTTAGGAGAAAACCAGGGGCTGGGGATTTAGCTCAGTGGCATAAGCACCTGCCTTGCAAGCAGGTGGTCATGAGTTCGATCCCCTGTACAGATTTAAAAACAAGGAGAAAACCAGGTGAGCTTTCTGTGCTCTTGCCATGATCCAGGACTTTCTTGGCCATGTTAGCATAGTTCCTAAAACAGCCAAGTTTGTTCTGGTCAGGAACCAGAAACTAACCACTGAAACAGAAGCACTTGATGATCTGTACTGTGACTTAGAAGGCCAGCACTCTTCTCCCCATCATCCTGTCTCTTTCCCCAAAGCTTTTCTCATCTGAAAGAACAAGTTGGACCAACCAGCATCAAGAGCATCTCCTGCAGCTCAGTATCCTGGAGAAACAGCTTCGAGACTCACAGACTGAGAATGACCGTGAGTGTGAATAACTGGGGTCCCGACTGGGATACTCTACCTCAGGGTCCTTTTACTCATTTAGCTTAATGTCCTTAGTTACTTTCCTCATTGTGGGACAAAGTACCCACACCCACAAGGTAAAGGAGCAAAGCCTTATTTTAACTCCAAGTTTGTAGAGGATGCAGTCCATAGTGGACTGGCCCAAAGGCAGGGTTTGGGAAAGTACAACAGAGGAAAAAGAGTTCATGGTTGGGCCGGCTGAAAGCAGCCTGGCTTCCTTTTCCTTCACCTTTTTATTCCTCCCAGGCTACAAGCATATTGGACAATGCCACCCATACCCAGCTTGGGTCCCCCTCCTCAGCAGAGCCATCATCCATACCCAGAACTATCACACTCATGATCCAATCCCTCTCCAAACCCCACCTACAAGTACCTGAGGTTTTGGGGGAACATCTAACATAAGCTATAACATGATCCCTCTGTTTTTTGTTTTTTTGTTTTTTTTTTTTTTTGGTTAGCAACTTTGTTGTTAGATATGACATAAGTGTTTGCTTTAAGTTGTAAATAAACTGCCTTTAAAATGAAATGTCCTAGCTGGGCGTGGTAGCATACACCTGTAATCCCAGCACTTAAGAGACTGAGGCAGGAGGATTACTGTGAGTTTGAGGCTAGTCTGGTCTACATAGTGAATTTAAGGCCAGCCTGAACTATACAGTGATCCCTTGTCTCCCAAAATAGAAGAAATGTCTTGATGTAATAGGATGAATGTTTTAATATTGATAGAAAATCAATTATATAAATTATATACATAAATTACATATACTATATATTTATAAATTAAATATATACTATATTTATAAATTATATATACTTTAAATTTAAAGTATAATTATAAAAATTATAATTTATATATATAGTATATATTTATAAATTAAATGTATACATTATTTATATACATTTGTAGATGTAGGGGTATCATTTGCCAGGTTTTTTTCCAGTTCATTTTCCTGTCATCAGAGTATTTGCAATCATTAAAAAGCTAAGACAAAACAAAGCCATCCTTTGACTAAAAACCTCCCTAATTCACTTTCCAGGTGGAGTTTCTTTAGAAGACTAAAAATGTTTAAGCTGTATTGTAAAATTCTGATAGTTACTAAAGATTGTCACTGACTAAAATTAGGTGACTTCATAAATGTTACATCTTGTGGGTGTTTTTCTTTTTCCTTTTCTTTCTTTTTTAAAATTTTTTTCTTACATAAAGAGTTTTGAGGCACATTCTACAGGAGCATCTAGAAAAGTCAGGTGTCCTGCAAGTGAAAGCAGACATTAGCTCTTCTTTTTCTGTAGAAATGTAGGAAGCACAGGGCGCTGGGGACAAGAGAAGGCAGCAAATTTCATTACCCCTGGGTACCAAGCTCTTCTGCTTCGTTCCTGATAGATGGTGTCAGGTAATTGATTTATCTGCTTTCTAAAGCACCTGTAAGGAAACCCGCTGAGGACTCCTTTTGATTTTTAGTTTTGAAAAGCGAGGTGCGTGACCTGCGACTTGTCCTTCACTCTGCTGACAAGGAGCTGTCTTCGGTAAAACTGGAGTATGGTTCCTTCCGAGACAGTCAAGAGAGAGAGCTCGGCCAGCTGTCGGAGCGGCACCTTCACACACAGCTGCAGCTGGACAGCATCAGGTAGTTTCCTGCCACTGCTGCCACCGCCGCTGCCGCTGCCATGGTGTCTGGGTGGGCAGTGGTGATGCGGGGTGTGGGGTTAGAAACTTGGTTCTCGGGTCACTCAGCGCAGGTGCACCCTCACCTTACACATGGTCCTGCACCTCCAGATCGAAGCTTTCTGCACTGTGGAATAGTTTTGTGTGATGTTTTTAAAAAACTCATTCTCTTAACCTTGTTGGCTCTTAATTTCCTTGTGTTTACTTGATAGAGTAGAACTAGATTTTAAAATGTGAAGGATCCACTGTTTAGCTGTGTCCTTAAATCCTGTCTTAGAAGTTTTGAGTATACCCCAGCTGTGTAAAGATACTAGTTACAATTTAATTTTTCTCAGTCTCTCTGGTGTTGAATAATTGCTTATGAGCTGCTTGTTCTCCATCGTGGCACGGCCTCTAAAGAAACAGCATAACACTGCAGTTTGTTTCTTGAATTATTTTGTTTAGTTTATCTGTACTTTTTACATCCTAAGTACATATGCAGTGGCAAGCAGAAACACTGAAATGACACCCAGGATCTGGAAGCAGATTTACTTTACATTAATGGACCCTGATTGGGATCATTCCCAAAACAGCCCAGGGAGGGAGGCTTCCATGGAGTTGGTAGGGGAAGTGCAGAGATGAGTACTTGGCTGTCTCTGATCGGTTCCTGTGGTGTACATAATGGAGACCAGCTGTTTCTGAGAGACAGAAGTGAAGTAACAGGGACTTGCAGCACGAGCTGTTACCCAGGCAGCTGACAGACTGGCTGAGGTGGAGAGTAGGGAAGTATTTTCTATTACACACACACTGTACAAGTTCCCTCCTGAGCATATATCTTTTAGTCAGGAATTTGTTCCACTCTGAGATTTGCTGTTCCTACTGAGTTGTCTGGTGGGTTCTAGTGTCTGATGGCTCTGTGTGTAAGCCAGGACATCTGTTTGGGTTTTCTGGCCTTGGCTGGTTCCAGATACATGGGTAGGACACAGTATGTCAGGAAGGGAATCAGGGATGAAAGCTGAAAATGTAGTAGGTGATCCTTGCCAAAGCGTTTCTCTTTGGCTGAGATCAAAGCCATGTTCACCATCTTGCAAAATCTTAGTGCTGAGAAAGAACTCTTAGAAATTAATAACTGGTGCCTAGCTAGAAACCCATGAGTGAACCTAGTCACCCTAATTTGCCAGCCATTAAGCATGTCTGGTTGAAGCACAGGGCGAGTCTGAGGAAATGGTGGCTGCCTATTGACACCCCTGCTACCCCACTGGCCTCTCCATCCAAACCCCCCGTGGACCTGCAGGGCCACGTGCATGTCGTGAATCCTTGCACGAGGCCACGAGGAGTGTTGCCTCAGTCTAGGCTGACGTGTACCAGCATTGGTCTGTCAGTGCCATAAACTGAGCTATAGATACTCTGACTCCAAAAATATGTTAGCTCTTTATACTCACCAGTGTCCAATGTTTCCCTGGTTAAGATTAGAAAATGAAAAACTTCTCGAGAGCCAAGCCTGCCTTCAGGATTCCTACGACAACTTACAGGAAGTAATGAAGTTTGAAATCGACCAACTTTCAAAAAGCCTCCAAAACTACAAGAAAGAAAATGAAGCTGTGAAGTGTGACCTGAATGTGAGTCCAGAAGGGGATGGCAGCGGGGAACGAGTCCTGGGTCTGGACTGATGTCTTGGCAAAGGGCACGGAGCATCTGACCTCTGTTTGCTGCCCTGTGCCAGCCCCTGAATCAGCCCCAAGTTGCTGGCCTTGTGCTGGCACGTACAGTCACCATCGGTCTAATCTAAGGTGTCTTTCAGCGTTTGACTGAGCTTTATGAAGCAGAAAGAGAGCGCAGCAGCAGGTTGGCATTACAGTTTGAAGAAGATAAAGAAAACAGTTCTAAGTAAGTGCTGCTGGCTATAACACTGTTCGCTGCTGTGCTCTCCTAAAGTGTTTGTCTTTTGCTAATTCCTGCTGAGACTTACTTTGAGCCTGGGATATAGCTTAGTGCTAGAGCACCTGTCTGGTGTTCATGGGGTCCTTGGTTCCATCCCCAGAATGGGGTGGGGGTAGAAAAACTGAATGAACATACTCAATTGCTGCTTCCATTGAATGAAGTCAGGTTAAAGGTGATTCTGCTATTCCAGAGAAATTGTGAAAGTTCTTGAGGCTGCTCATCAGGAGAAACAGAAAGAGATGGCCAAGTCTGAACGTCAGGTATATGTCTTTCTATTCTGACTGCAGAATTTGAACTTGATAGCTTTTATTCCAGATAGCTAATGAGGTTTACTAGAAAAAGCGTTTCTAACTTTTAGAAGTTTCACCTCGTGTGGAATTTTCGTTCTGTCATTGCTGTTGTTACTTATTTGATACTAGAGATTAAACACAGGTAGTTTGGAGTGTTCTACACTCCCAGTCCAGCCCCCACCCCTTTCTTTTAAACTTTGAGACAGGGTCTTGCTGTGTCAGGGTCAGGCTGGTTTTGGACTTACTTTGGAGTCCAGGCTGGACTTGAACACGTGGTGATCTTTCTGGCTTAGTTTCCAGAGTGTTAGGATCACAGGCATGTATCTCCAGCCCTGGCAGGATGGTGGTTTTTTGTTTTTCTGTCTTTTTTGAGACCAGGTTTCGCCATGCAGTTCAGGATAGTCTCGAACTCACAAGGATCCTCCCACCTCGGCCTCCTGAGTGCTGGGATTACAGGCATGAGCCACCACGCCCGGCTCAGGATGGTGTTTTTTAAACTTTTAGTTTGCTAACTCCTAGGTCACCGTAATCTTAGGATTTGTTGGTTACTTGTAAGAGACCACAAAAATCATTGTCATTCAAGCAATTTGTTATTTGCAAATATTACTCTTAGCTCAGACACAGTAGTATGAAAACAGGTAGCAGCCTTTTTAAATGTACGTGTAGTTAACTTTGTGATATAATTTTTGTTCTAAAATACTTGTTTTTCTCTTAGATGGCAGAAATACAGAAACTGGAAGAGAGCTTGCTTGCTGCTGAGAAAGCAACCAGTTCCCTGGAAAAGTCTAGAGATGCTGATAAGGTGGGTGGGGCGCAGCTCCCTCCCTCCCTAGCTGCTTCAGGCTGCAGGCTCTGGCCTCATCCTGCCCCTTTTGCCTTTGGGCCAGTTCTTCTTTGTCATCCTGGGGTGCTGGGGAGAGAGATCTATTTAATTACCTTTCCACATCAAGTACGGAATGTGCTAATGCTTAGATAGCACTGCGTAGAACACATCCTCTGTTTATTAACCAGAGGGCTGATCCTGTCTCACTGACTCTTTTTCCTTTTCTTTTTGCTGTAAGGTCTCATTATGTAGTTCAGGCTGACCTCACACTCACAATGATCCCCCCCAGCCCTGTCTCATCATGCTTAACTCCCATGGTACTAATTCTCAAATCCTTGGTATTGGCGTTTGCCTAGAATAATAAAAGTAACGTGCAGGTTGCCAAAGTAAGTGCAGACCTTTATTTATCTAGATTTTAGCTGGGGATTTATCTCAGTGGCACAAGAGCCTGCCTGACAAGCAAGAGGTCATGAGTTTGATCCTCCATACCAAAAACGCCCCAAATTTTACTCATTTATGAAACCAAAACAACGAGCCCAGTGTGGTCATGCCAGCCTATAATCACAACACTCATAAGGCTGAGGCAGGACTGCTGTGAGTTCAAGGCCAGCTGGGGCTACAAAGTAAGACCCTGCCTCTAAAACACCCTCAAATAAATAAAACTAAGCAACTGATTAAATCAAGTACAGTAAAGCCATTAACATATAAGTTGGTATTAATAATGGAATGGGGAATATTTTACTGTAATAAAATTGCTCTTTTTTTCTCTACACTGGTGTTTGAATCCAACACTTATTTTTTATTTTGTTGAGACAGAGTCTGTAAGTAGCTTAGTTGGGACTTGAACTGATCTCGTGCCTTAGCCTCCCAGGCTGCTGGGTTAACCACACCAGATTAAAATTGACTTCTTGTGCTGCCATTAGGAAGGAAAGATGGCTTGTCATTTAGGAATGATCTTAAGTGTTTGACATGAAAGGATGCTCCTGTTCTCCTCAGGAAGTTATAGCTGACCTCACAAACCAGATCCAGGAGCTCAGAGCATCTGTGTGTGAGAAAGCTGACACCATCGACACCCTGAGGGAGGAGCTGGAGGACCTGGTTGTAAGTTCCTTCGCCGAGAGGGGGAGCTGGAGCACTCTGCAGGCCCTGGCAGAGCCAGGCAGCTGGTGCAGTGGGACAGGCTTGCCGCAGTGCCCGTGCACCCGTGCGCTCTGCCTCCCAGGGTTCCCTGAGCACCCAGCAGTCTTGGAACTACTGATTCGAACCATGAAAGAAGCAGGCTGGGTGCTACCTGTGAGGCTGCAGCTGGCTTGGTGCACCTCAGTTGTTTCAGGAAAATGGTAACCTGATGGTTCTGCTCACATGCGGCCCTGGCAGGTTCTGCATGGTTCCCGTCCACCATGGCACTGACCCCTAACATAGCAGCGCGTGTCTCCTATGCGAACCCCTGTGCTCCTTTTCTCCCTTTTGCACACGCACCAAAGGTCCTCCAACCCCCTCCCGACACCATGCAATCAGATACTCTCCACCCTCTATGCCAAATAATCCTCCAGTCCCCTCCCAGCATGGTGACCTGTCCACTCACGTACCCTCTTCCTCATCCCAATCCCATAAAAGCGACTCCCCAGCTTTGTCTCCTTCTAGTGTGCTGCAGCCCTCCCGCACTGGCAGTAAAGGCTTTTTCTTACCTCTGTCCTTGTGTCTCAACTGCACTGGAAAGCCTAACACAACCCACTTCAGTTACATCCAGAGATAGCAACTAAAGAGAATGGGCTTATTTCCCCAGTGTTAACCTGAGTGACTTTCTGAGAGCCACCACTTCTGTCTCCCTGGGTATGCATTGGTGCCCCCTCTGCTGGGGTCATTGTGAAGGTCCTCATCTGTGTCAGCACCTCGCCCTAAGCGGAGCAAATTCCCTAAGGTATTGTCCTGAGGAAGGTGACAGGACCCAGTGTTTTCTAGTTACCCTGGGTCCATTCCTTCATTCACAAGGATTTATTGTGTGTGTTAATCTGGTTACCACCATAGAACTCAGACCATGCTTAAGTTATTTTAACCTACAAAACAACAGCCAGCTCCCACATCGTGACTTTCTTTCCTATAGTGCAAATACAACTCTGCTTTGGCCGACAGAGAAGAAAGCCAAGAGCTGATCCAGAGGCAGGAAGCTGAAATTCTGGACCTGAAAGAAACTGTTAGGCTGAGAAAACTCTCTGATGACATCGAGGTGAGTGTTAGCAGCCACTGTTTGTGTGCATATTTTTTGTCAGTGTGCATATTTGTGCATGGAGATTAATAATGAGTAAGTAGAATAGTTAGAGTCACTTTTCCCAAGAGAGGCCAAGCAGTGAAGACAGACACCAAAGTCACTGTGTCATGGGCAGTCTGTTTTCATTCACGGTGCTGCCGCCAGGGAAGCTGGTGTCCATGACCCGCCTGGGGGTGCTGCAGTGAGGAGCCTGATTACTCGGACGGAGGTGGCAGCAGATCCGAGGGGAAAGCGCTGCTCAGCAGTCTTGAGTTCCTGGCATTCCTTGTGGTTTAGATGAAGTGCATCTTCAGCTGTCCTAGTTGTGGGTGTCAGTGTGCCTGTTTTAACTATTTTAATAAGTGATATCATACTGTCACAGGGCTCAGAAGCAGTGCCGCTTCCCTCCTCCTCCTGCCAGGCCTGTTGTTTTTGCTATGTCCTTCCACGGACGTAGATGGATCTCCTATACGCACACACAGATGATCATCCACAGTGTATACTGTTCTGCATTTGATTAAGAAATGAGAATTTTTAGAAATCCATGCTCCCTATAAAACAACAAATGCTTAACATGTCTCCTTGCTGTGCCTGGCCTGGCTTGGGCATGGAGGATGAGCAAAACACCTTTCCCTGTGCCACAGCCTGCTCTCTGGCCCGTGTGTCATGACGTAAGAGGTGACAGGAGCACAGAGAAGAAGGAAGAAGAGGAATTCTGCCTTGCCCGAGGGGTCCAGAGAGCTTCTGGGCACAGTTTTGAGGGCAGCATTGGGGAGAGCCAGTCCTGTGTGCGCGTTTTGAGGGCAGCATTGGGGAGAGCCAGTCCTGTGTGCGCATCTTGAGGGCAGGGACAGGCCTTTAGGAGACCGAAATGGCACAGACTTCAAACTAGGCAGAAGACTAAGAGGCCTGGGGCCAGAAGCGCTTCCAGGAAAGAGCAGTTGTTGAGGAGCAGCTGGCAGAGGTCACCGCCCAGCCAGGTCTGGGCTGTGAGGGAGGAATCAATCGGAGGGCATCTGGCTGCCAGCCCACAGGCCTAGGGGTTCTGTGCTCCTCCACAGAGGAGCAGAGAAGCCCAGGAAAGCGAGGTCTCTGTGTGTGTGCCCCCTTTCACCTTCCAGACCCCGGCAGGGAGCCTGGCATGGTGTCACACGCTGGCATCCCAGCTCCCTGGACAGCTTAGGCAGGAGGATCTCATGTTCAAGCCCAGCCTGGGCAGCCTACTGACTTAGGGAGACCCTGTCTCAGAACAAAAAGGTCTTCACCTTTCAGAAACTGTACATGGTAACAACTTGTGAACTTGTATTGGATTATCGTAATATAAAATGCTTCCTCTCTGGGGTTGTCCGTACCAGAGGGACATGCTCTGTGAGGATCTGGCTCATGCCACCGAGCAGCTGAACATGCTCACTGAGGCCTCCAGAAAGCACTCAGGGCTGCTGCAGTCCACGCAGGAGGAGCTGGCCAGGAAGGAGGCCCTGATCCAGGAACTTCGATGCGAGGTAAGGGCACAATGTGTGTTCCACTTGGGGGCCTGAGGACCTGCCAGTGAGGTGGTCATGAGTCCCTGCTGTGGTGGCTGCTGTGGGTGCCACAGGGAGGCCCAGGGTGTTCAGAGGGGCAACTCCAGCCCAGCTGACTCCCTCCTGGCCCCGGCCTATCCCCACACATGGGGGAGGTTCCTGTCACAGCTCACCTGCAGCTCACCTTCCTTATCATCTCTGGATACTGCTTTTTTACTATCTCACTGCTTTGTCAAGTCCTGAAAAAATAATGTCAAAAGTATATTTCTTCATTCCTGAAGAAGCTGTGTGTGTGTGTGTGTGTGTGTGTGTGTGTGTGTGTGCGCGCGCGTGCATGCGCAGAGCAAGAGTGCACCCTAAGAAACACTTGTTTTTAATTGATAAATAGCAGTTGTGTACCTTGCTGCATTTCAGTGCTGTGGCTTTGTGTGAGTTTATATTAGGGATGGTGAAGTGAGCCCATAACCTGCCACCTCACACACACAGTTCGTTTGTGGTTTGAATATTTTAAGTCCATCCTCAGCAGTTCTGAAATATACTTACACGTTTTTTTTAACTTTGCAAAAACTTACATTTCCTGTCTACCTTTTGACCATTATCTCATCCATGTCTTCCATCTGGAAGCCACTGCTCTGCTTTCTGCTTCTGTAAGTTTGCCTTTATTTTTTTGTACTGAAAATCGAACTCATGAAGTTTGACTTTTTTAGATTCCCCCCACGAATGTGTTGGTCAGCTGTGACTTACAACTGATAAAATGACAGGTGGGAAGGAGTCCTGGCTTGTTCCAGCTCCTGGTTTCAGTCCTGTCATCAGCTGGCTCCATTGCTTTTGGGCCTGTGACAGCTGTGCAGAAACCCCTCGAGGGTGAGGAGCAGCCTGTGGTGGGCCCCCTTGAGAGTGTGCCCTGTTGCTCTGCAGTCCCCTGCACCATCTCTGGGAGCGCACTCTGAGACGCCATGATGTGCTTTCCCATTGCCTGTATGTTTCCCAGTCTGCCAAACTGGCTGTCATACGAGCCACCACAGAGAGAACGTGTGTGTCTGTCTGTCATGCCTTCCTTCCATTAGCACGTCATCCTCCAGTTTCTTCCCTGCTGTGCAGTGATGGAGTCCGTTGCTTGTTCAGGGCAGGCTGGTGGGCATTCATGGGTGTTTGTCCCATTGTCTTTACCATCCTTCTGCCGATGGCCATTTTAGGTCACTCCTTGACTGGCCTGCAGCAGACACAGGGTGCTGCTGTGTGGCCTGGGGCAGCTGTGTGACTTGGGGCTTGTGCCCCAGGTGAGGCTGCTGGTCCGATTGGGGCTCCCTCAGCCTCCCACAGGGCAGTATAGTCAGCATCCAGCCATCTCTTCTCACCCCACCAGGAAGCCGTGCTATGAGGGGAGCCCCCCCCCCATTACCGTGGCCGGGGGGGTTCCATTTCCTTGCTGGTGGTGATGGGAGCTTGTCTTTTCTACAGGGACCGAGCATCCTGTTTTATCTGCTGACTTATCCCCTGCGCTTTTTCAATTTTCTAGCTAAACCAAAAGCAAGAGGAAGTGGAACAGAAGAAGAATGAATATAATTTCAAAATGCGGGAACTGGAGCGCGTGATGAGCTCAGCTGCCGAGTACCCCCAGGTACTTCCCAGAGACAGACAAAGAGTGCGTCTGGAGAGGAGGACAGGATGGAGTGGTGCAACTCGTGAAGGCCGGACTGCTGTCTTTTCACCAGCAGTGTCTGCCTCCTCCTCGTTTGTGCTCTGTGCATGGGAACTGAATGATTGGCTGCATGGGCTTGGCCGGGCGTGCAATGAGTGCCGGGTGCCTGGCACGGTCACTCAAAATGCTCCTCCTGTGCGTTAGGTGTAGAGATTGAAAATGAATTCTCGGGGGCAAGCAGGCAGTCGTGAGTTCTATCCCTGGTACCAATAAAAACGAAAAAAACCAAAAAAAAAAAAAAAAAATGAACTCTCTATAGCCTTGGATGAGCAGATATTTAGATGGGATGTGATTTTATTTTAGAGCCCTCAGACGCCACCTCACTTTCAAGCACATTTGGCAAAACTGCTGGAAACGCAAGAGCAAGAGATAGAAGACGGAAGAGCCTCGAAGACCTTTTTGCAACAGCTCGTAACAAAGCTAAATGAAGACAGAGAAGTCAAGAATGCTGAAATCCTCAGAATGAAGGTACCTGGGTAATTCCTTTTCAGCCTTGGAAAGTTTTCAAAATAAGCAGAATCTTCATGGTTTCTGAGAATACAGAATTCAAAGGGTGCAGAACTGCAGGGTGGACACTGAAAACTTCTCCCTACCTTGACCCCGGCTTCCCAGTCTGCTATACCTGAGGCTCCCGGAGGAGCTGGCTTCTTTCTGTTTCTGCAGCTTTTCATTACACATGTAACCAGTCTGTGAGCATCAATCTCATGCGCCCACTGGTGTCGTGGTGTGGCCCACTGCTCAGAGAGTGGGCCTGTTTCCTGAAACTTTACCTGCTGGCCTTGCCTGACTTCAGGCCCTCTGTCAGCTTAAAGGCTAGTGCGTCTTGTCATCGTGCACCTTTACACTTGCTTCTGTCCTCGTGTCCTTCTGTTTTTCTCTTGTACCCTTCTGTTTTTCTGTTGCGCTTTCTCTTATCCATGTGAGATCAGACGTGTACTTGTCTCTGGTGCACCCCGCCTCTGCGTGCGGCTGGGTGTGCATGGTTAGGCTGGCATTTGGAGAGGACCGAGTCAGGGTGCAGGCAGGATGGGTGCTCCTCAGGTCGCCTCTCAGCTGGGCAGTGCTCTGCAGAGCACAGTCTGAGCACTGTGACCTGGGGACAGGAAGCACTTAGTGTCACTCCTACTTTTCCTGCTCTTTCTTCAAGAAACTCTCAGCAGGTTATGCTGGATGTGACTGTTACCCAGACTCACGATCGGAAGCAGGTGGGGAGCGTCAGGGGTGCAGGCAGGCGAGTGGCAGTGAGCAGCTGAGCAGTGTTTCAAGCGAGTGTTGGTTTCTTCTGGGTGGCAGGCTCATGCTTTTCCAGTTCCACAGTTCTGATTATGATTTTTAAGTTGAGCTATGGGGTCAGTTTTTTCCTTGCTTATTTTAATTGAATCTGTTAAAAAGGATCCCACAGTTGAGAAATTTCCCAAGGTCCCTCATAGCAGAACATGAATGAATTATGTGATACCCCGTGGTGCTCCACGTGAGGAGGAGCTGGAAGAGGCCACACATCCTTCTCGTGGCCTTGGGGGCAGCTCACACCCGCCATTCTGAGTGTTCCAACAGGACTTGCTCTGGTGTCTCTGTAGGAGCACTTGTGTGAGATGGAAAAGCTGCACCTGGAGAACCAGCAGCTGAAAGAGAGAAACTGGCTCCTGCAGGGGCAGCTGGATGACAGGGAAGGAGAGAGGGACAGCAGGTGAGTGGGACTTGGCTGCCTGAATGTAGCCAACGAGTGAGGCCTGAGGTGGTTTCTGAAGGACTCTGTGCCCCCGCAGCTGGAGAGTGGGTGCTCTCTCAGGTGCTGTGGCTTCCCCAGCTGGAGACGGGCATCTGGGGTGGGGTGGGCTCAAGGCAGAGCCAGAGCCCCGTGAGGTCTCAGCACGGCTTCTCTCGGCTGCAGTTACAGTGGCAGACAGAGTGCCAGGCTACACATCCAGGGCCCAGGTCAAACTCTTGTCGTGTGAGTTCTCACCCTGGGGTTTTTGGTTTGTTTTGTTTTTTTGGTACTGGGGATTGAACTTACAACCTTGTGCTTGTCAGACAGACACTTATACCACTGAGCCAAATCCCCAGCCCACTCTCATGCTGTTTTTTTCCCTATAATAAGATCAGCAAATTGTCTGTCATGGTGACACACACCCTGGGAAGCAGAGGCAGGGGGTTAGAAGTTTGAGCCCAGCCTGGGTGACTTAGTGAGACCTTATCTCAAAATAAAAGCATTTTTAAAGGGCAAAAAAGAAAAACATACCTTCCTCATAAAGTGATTTAGATTTAGAATAAGGATGTATGTAGCGGGGGTTCAGCTCAGGGACAGCTAGCTTGCTGAGCACAGACTGGGTTTGATCCCCGTCACCACAGCCAGCCAGGGCAGAATCGCTGTCCTGTACAATCATGCAAGATGGTGAACTGAACTAGGGGTTGGGCCCTCTGGGATGGAGGCCCCAGTGGATGCCCCCGCCAGATGAGGAGCGTCTATTGTCTGAGATGACAGATGATTGCCAGTGCCTCAGTCCTGCCTCAGAAGCCACCATGAGATGCACCACCCCTAACCCATTTGGTCAGCTTCCCCCTGCTGGGCAGAACCTTGTGGCACCATCACCTTAGAGGATCGAGGTTTATTTGGCTCATGGTGTCACCCATGGCTGTCACGTCGCATTTCTCAGCTGTGCCAGCAGACCCCATCCCCAGAGGCAGCCTTGCTCCCCTGGGCCTGACTGCCTGTGATGAGTGAGCGGCGGCTGCTGAGTGACCTTGACAGTGCTTCTCTACCTGTCCCCAATCTGTGCAGCAATTGGAATCCCCTGGAGAATCAACAGCTGAAGAAGGAACATGAAGAAGAGATTGTCAAAGAAAGACTTGCTAAAGTACGACTTTTGTTTTTTTTTTTTTAACATGATGGTTTAAGAAATGTTTTTGTAACTAACATTTTTGGTTGTGCATTTTAGAAGGCATTTTACTGAAATTTTTGTCTTTTCTGTGTTCGCACTGCTGGGTGTGATACTGTCTGTCTGCATTCAGACACAGCTGAAAGCAGGAGTGAGCTCTGCACCTCCAGCTCTCCATTTAGAACGTGTTTGGGGTGCAGTTCTCACCACAGGCCTAGTGGGGGTTGGGGATGGGGTCAGCTTTGAGCTTATGAACATGGGGGACCCATTCCTTTCAGTCTCTTTTTAGCAATGTTGTTAAAGAACTTAAATCTTTTTTTTAATCTTATAGAGCAAAATAGCTGAAGAAATGCAGAAAATGAAAACAGAGTAAGTGTGCTATTTTGTAAAGAATTCTTGATTACTTTTTAATTCTCCTTTAAAGGAAAAATATATCCACAAGGTAAGTAACCTTTCCTTCTGTAGTACTATGTGAACAGACAAATGTTTACAAAATGATCCCTCTAACGCCATATGCTCAAGGGAGTCTTTGGCTAGAGCTGCTCTAAAAGGAAGCCTTCAAGAGACCGAGTGTGGAAAAGCAGGGCTCCCTCTGAGCCACTGAGAGCCGCTCCTCACCAATCAAGAGGGCAGTGTAGCTGACCAGTTGCCCTTTCCCTCAGACTTGAACCTGAAGCCTCTGAGACCTGTAGATCAGTTCCCTGATGCCTTCTTGTCTTGAGCTAGGTTTTTTTTATGCTTCCCAACCCATGACTTTATTTATACAGTTTTCATAATTATCTATCCTTATAAATTGTCCCATCCTTTCATGTATAAAGGACACACTTTTCTGTCTCATTCAAAATTAGTAAACTGATAGAGCTATTAACAACAAAAAAGATAAAATTAGAAAAATGTTGGAATAAGTATTCAGAGTCCTCAAACATTTTCAAATATTTTATTTCTTAAAAGAACTTGAGGGGATTTAGCTCAGCGGCATAAGTGCCTGTTTGGCAAACGCAAGATTGTGAGTTCAATCCCCGGTACCAAAAAAAAAAAAAAGAACTTGAGGTGGGCATGGTAGTGCATGCCAGTAATCCCAGCACTCCAGAACTGGAGACACAAGGCTCACTGTCAATTTGAGACCAGCCTGGCTACATAGTGAGTTCAAGGCCAGCCTGAGCTACAGAGCAAGACCCTGTATCCAAAAAAAATTGAAATGTCATTTAATCATTTTTCTTTTGGTACTGTGGATTGAAACTGGGTCTTTATACCGAGCTATATTCTCATCCATTGTTATGTTTTGTGTTGTGTTGTGTAGTTTTTTAGGACGAGTCTCACTAAATTTCTCAGACCAGCCTCCAACTAGTAGTCCTTGTGAGAGCTGGAGTTATAAATGTCACCACACCTAGCGATCATGTGTTTTTTTCCAATTTGTGGTAGTACATGTTTGCAGTGCATCATGATTACATCCCTTATGAGGTGAAATATGTACACATCTTTTTCCATCCCTTCCTCCTCCCCTCTCTCCGTCTCTTGGTCCTCTTCCATTTGCAAAAGATCCATCTTCCTATTTGCTGTTATCTTTTTTTTTTTTTTTTTTTTTTTTTTTGTCTTTTTCCTTTTTATCAGTACCAGGAATCGAACTCACGACTGCCTGCTTGCAAGGCAGGTGCTTATGCCGCTGAGCTAAATCCCCAGCCCCTGTTATCTTTTATTTTATCTTGCATATTTTTAACTATAATTTTAGTTCTAAGGTCTGTCATTCCTGCTGTAACTCCAAACATCTTAGCTCCATGAGAGAATTACAGGTGCAGGAAGGTAGTTTCCAAGGGCTTTCTTTGGCTGGAAGTTCTCAAGAGTCAGTTCGTGTATTGTTGGCTACCAAGTGCACACCGAGACAGTTTCGGCTGAGGCAAAGGCAGCCTGTGTCTTCGAGGGAGTAGAGAGAGCCACACTCAGCTCAGACCAGTCTTCGTCCACCATGCACTTGGGAAGCAGGCGCTCCACTTTCCACACACTGGCCACTCCGCCCTGTCCCCGTCTCTTTCTCCTCTGTCTCTTCCTCCTCTTGTGTGATATTAGTGATTAAACCTGCTTGGGGGGAAATATGTACTTGAGTGCCATTTTGGAATTATGTTCCTTTGGAATACCCTAAAATGCTATTTATTCTTCCAGTCTGAGAAAAGTCCAAGGTACCCTGCAGAGCAGAGAGCTGGACTGCCTCCGAATGGCCGAGGAGGTTGAGCGCATGCACACACTGGAGGCTAAAGCGTTCCAGGAAAAGGAACAGCTGAGATCGAAACTAGAGGAGATGTATGAGGAGAGAGAGAGAAACTTTCAGGTTTGTCAGTGAGCCGGATTTCTCATGGTGGTGCTTGGAATCCCTGAGTAAAGGTGAATTGGCAGGAATCTCCTTCCTGTGAAAATGCGTTCTGGGATGTGGTCTTCGGCCTAAGTCCTCCAGCCCCAAAGGAGAGGGCTGTAGGGGCAGAATCTGCGCTGCACACACCCTCGCACCCTGTGCTCCTGGGAAGAGGAAATCATGTGGGTTCCAGAGACTGTGAGTTTCTGCATCTCACCTCCCGCTCGGGGTGTTTGTCTGCAGGAGATGGAGATGCTGAGGGACCAGGTGGAGTTCCTCACTGAGGAAAATGGCAAGCTGGCAGGCCACCAGAACCCGCTGCAGAAGATTCACTATGTGATCCGCCTGAAGAAGGTGCGTGCCCGGGCCTTGCCCGGACACCTGCTCTCATTTAAACGTGCCACTGTATTGAGGTGAAGTAGAAACCAAAGGGCTGAATGGCCTACTTCAGGGCATGTCCTGAACCCAAGAATCTGATCTTTACTACTGTTAAGTCCAGTAGCTCATCATAGGTACCAGACTTCTATTTAATGTTAGGCAGTTTACAAACTGAAGATTCTAGGCTTAATTTAAAATATATGCTTATTGAAAATCAGGAAGAATATCTCCTGTACAAATTAGAACCTTAAATGTTTTCTTCTCTCTTCCTTTCTCAATTACTTATAGGAGATCGAAAAGCTGCGCGCTGAAAATGCAGTTTTAAAAGAAAAGAAAAAGACTGAATCCTAAGGAGCCCGGTCAGCTCTGTGGGCCTCGCCTTGTTGGAAATGTTTCTTTCTCCCTCACTTAGTAGTGAGAGCTCCTCATTAACCCAGGAGCTGAGAGCCGAGGTGCTGTCCCCATCAGCAGGGTGCTTCTGACCGTCAGCAGTCTGCTGCGAGCGCTGCATAAAGACGGGAAAACCTGTTTGTCTTCTGAAGTTAAAGGCCTGTAGTTAAGGTCTGTAGTGGATATTAGTCAGATCAGTTTTTCTTAAATTATCTCCATGGTTCTCGTGGTGCTGACAATACTCGGTGGTTCCAGAATGTGGGAGGGGTGATGGCTGAGTCTGTGGCACACTCATCACTCTGATTGTTTGTGTACTTCCCTTTTGTTTCCGTTTGGTTTGGTTTTTCACAGTGCTGCGGACCCAACTCAGGGCCTCGCACACAGCAGCAGGCAAGCACTCTGCCTCTGAGCCACCTTACCGCTCCATATTTTTGTATTCTTAAAAGTATTTTCATGAGCATTTTCTACAACTGTAAATATGGACTTTTTTGAAATAAAATCTTTGTTAAATAATAAAGCCACTCATGTTCATTCACTTGTTACTCCGTATGTCACTGGGATGGTCTGAGGGTCCCCAAGGTGTAAGTAAGGAGTCCATCCTGCCCTTGTGCAGGGCAAGGCTGCAAGTGTGCCGGCTTCCACTGCAGTAAGGGTTTTCCGGACAGGGCAGCAGGTGGCACAGGAAGATTCACCAGAGGCTTCAGGATGCATTTGAGAGCTAAGAGCAGACACTCAGAGAAATGACATTATCAGAGCCGGACGTACTTTAGGGACCTTGGGAGTCTCCAGGATGGGCAAGCAGGATGCCTATTCCTGTGTCCATGGGGTGAAGTCAGAATGCAGGCCACCTGCGTGGGTTTAAATTGGGCTCAGCTGCCCAGCAGCGCTGCTGCTACCTCTGGTGGAGAAAGCACAGTTACAGGTGGGAAGGGCATGGGTTTGTTGTTTGGAGGCTCTTGGAAGGCACTGATGGTCAGCTGCACCCCCCAGCCTGGTAACGCAGGCCTGCAGTAATCCTGGAGGGCCCAAGGGACAGCTGGCAGGGAGTGGGTGGCCCGTGCCAGAGCCTGCGCCCCACCCTTCAGAACCTGCCTGGTTCCACACCAGTGAAAGGTCTCAGATGTTTACACAGAAGAGAAAATCAAGTGAAAGCAGTGACCCTGAGCCAGCCGGTCCCCATCCCCCTTTCTCCTGTGCCCTGCTCAGCAGGGCAGGCTCCAGTAAGAACACAGGGCTGCCGCCTCCGCCCTGGCCTCCTGGGCACAGGAGCAGCAGGGTTTTAGTGTCTCTCAATGACCCCCTCCCTCAAAGCCCACCAGGAACAAGATCCCCACAAGGAACCGCACCTCCATCATCACAACAGGATTGTCACCGGTCTTTGAGGACCCCTCATGGGACACCCAGGATTAAGCTTGACTTTTGCCATCTTAAAGTCATGACTCACATGCATAACAACGGGAGAAACCTACTTGGGTTTAAGTAGCATCCCCAACTGAGCCACCAGGAGTAAAGACTCCAATGAACCTCCCTCAAAAAGAAAAGAGAATCATCAGGTCCGAGCTTTCCACTCCAAGGCTCCTCAGGCTTTGCCCTGCTCAGCAGCAAGCAGCCAGCTCAGAAATTCTGCCGCTCAATCCTCTCTAGGGAAGTGGTGACACATGGAATGGAAAAGGTTTTACTTTCCCAGAATAACATGCTGTTTTTCGTTAGGTTTTAAATGTTTAGAAAAATTCTTAAGTAGTCTATATTTAGCCAAGCTCAGTGGTGCACACCTGTAATCCCAGCACTCAAGAGGCTGAGGCAGGAGGATCACTGCACCTTTGAGGCCAGCCTGGGCTACAAAGTTCAAGACCAGCATGAATCATATAGTGAAACCCTTGCATTAGAAAAGACCAAAAAAAAAGTTCATATTTACTTAGATATGTTTAAAATTTTGTTTTAAAGCTCTAGTTACATAAGTACTATTTTCTGATGTCATACAGTATAGTGCAGTGAGTCATGATTGTCTTCAGATAGTCAGGTATTGGTCTTGACTTTAGTGAACTGTATGCTGTCTCCAGTGCATGCTCACACCAGTTTACAGGAAAAGAGCTCTCTAATATTTGCTTGCTATACCTCTCTGGGAGAACCGCATCACTCTTTCTGATTTCTTTTCTGTCTGTCTGTAAGCTTCGTCACTACTGTTTGTCAGGGTGATAACTACAGATTAACTACAGATAACTACACAGGAGTAGAGCGGATTGCAGACACTGGATAAACTCCGATGCACAGCCATGTTCTGAGTCGCCGACACTGCTCACCTTTGGCAAAAAAAAAAAAAGTTTATGACATTGACCCCAGCTGTCACATTCCCTCCAGAGAGGGCAGTGTTCTGACCCACAGCCACCACTGGGGACTTGGCACCAGGGGCTGAGGCTGCAGGTGCTAACCAGTGATGCCTTCGGAAGGGAGGAAGATGCCATCGGAACCGGAGCAGAGGTCAGGGTCAGCTGGGGTGCAGGCAGGGCTGCAGAGCCACACAAGGCTTCGCAGCAGGATTATTTGTTGGAAGCTAGAGGCCCATCTTGCGGTGTAACCGTCTCTCACCACTGGGGCTTTCTGAATTGGACTGCCTGAATTTTAATATTTTTAGCTCACGCTTCCAATGTGAGACGCCAGCCAGCTCTCATGGCACCTAGAGGCAGTCAGGACAGGGCCAGAGTGCAGCAAGGGGGCGTTGTACAAAGTGGGGCTTTCACAATCAGATTCTTTTCTTTGAGAGATGAGCAACTTCTCAAGGGTCCTTCATAGCTGGCACGCCCTCAGTCAAGAGGGAGCGACAGGAAACATGCAGGCATCCCTTTTCACAGGAAAGTGACGAGCTGAACACTCGGGAAGCTGGCAGACAGGCACTATCCCCATGGGTGCACCCAGCTGCCCCTCACCCACACTTGCACCAACAGGCTATTGAGGCAAATGGGCCCTTCCCCCTCAGAGCTGGCACTGAATACTTTTTTGTTGCACGGAAACACGTAGCCGCCTTGGGTTTGGTCAGCGGCACCAACGAGCCTGCGTGCATGAACCCAAGTGGCTGGGGACTTGGCTTCGGCTGGCTGTTCTGTCCCCACTGGGTCACGGGGTGTACTCGCACTTTGCTGTGCCTGGGGCTGCTGCGTGCTGTTCCTACTATGAAACACTAATGGGCAACAGAGTGGGGCCAAGCTGATGCAGTGCCTGTGTTTCTTTGGTACCGGGAATCAAACTCAGGACCTTACGCTTGCCAGGCAGGCGCTTGTAGTGTGTCTCTGAATGCTTCCCTCCCTCAGAGGAGCCCGGGAACAAGATCCCCAAAGGGGCGTGGGGAGTGACAGCATCTTGGCCCAGGCCCACGTCTACATCCGCAGGAGGCACAGCGACAGGAAGCACATTGGCGGCTGCTTGGGGACAAGGGTGGTGAAGCCTGTGTGGCACAAAGCTTTGGGGTACGGGACCAAGGAACTTCAATTTAGTGAAGGGGCCAGGCCTCGGCTTCCCGAGCTCAGCCCAGCACAGGAGCGACGGTGACAGATAACAGCTGAACTTTTTTTTTTTTAATTTAAAGAAAAGGAAACAAAAAAAATACATGGAGATAAAAAAGGGTAGAAATAATATAAAATTACAGAAAAACAAACGGTAAGAAATCGCTGGTTGATGTTACATATTGTCATCTTAGATATAGCTGTTCAGGTTACAAAATTAAAGTATTTAAAATGACATTCAAAAAGTGACACTGCAAACAGTTCTGCTCAATGATCGAACAAAAACAGCTGAACTCTTACGTTCTCGCAGGTCTGGAGCCAGCAGACCAAGGCATAAGCAGGGCCAGGGAGCTCGCCGGGGCCGATGCCAGCCAGGAGTCACCCCCACCTCGGCTAGGCCACACAGCCTCCCTCCTCCCGCCGCATCATTCAGTGCGGTCCCCAGGGGCTCGAACCCAGAGCTCCCCTGGGTCGTTCCAGGCACCCACTCGGCCCTGAGGTCTCACACCCATAACCTAATCTAATCTGATTGCATCTGCAATTCACCTATTTGCAAATCAGGCCGCTGACAGGTAGGAGGTTACTGCGGCACAGACACCTAGGGGAAACTTAAGTCGGCGTCTACCGGGGATGCTCCACACGCTATGGCCGCTGGCCCGACGCCTCCCTTGGCACGCGAGCTTCACGGCGACAGCGGGACAGGGGCGATGAGGCGCGACTCCGCCCTTCATAGTTTCCAGCTCTCCTGCGACCTGCGCAGGCCCTGCAGGAGCCTGCAAGCTCTGGCGAACTGCATCGCCCCCTGGCGAAGCGGGGCTAAACCTCTGCCTCGAGAGGCGGATCAGAGGCGCCATTAAGGCCGGGCCCGGGCGGGGCCATAGTCAGCTCCACCCAACAGCCGGAGCCCCGCCCACACGGCCCATGCCTCAGAGCCCCGCCCCAAAGTGGCTTCGCGTCACGTGAGCGCAGCGTCACGTGAGCGTCGCGTCCCGGGCAGTCGCCGGCACCATGGCTGCGACTCCGCTGCTCGCCGGCGGCGCCGTGGCCGCCACCGCTTACCCCGACACGCCGGCCGCGGTCCCCCCGCGCCTCCAGGCTGGCGCGATGCGGCGCCGCTTCTGGGGCGTGTTCAACTGCCTGTGCGCCGGCGCGTTCGGGGCGCTGGCCGCCGCCGCCGCCAAGCTGGCCTTCGGCAGCGAGGTGGAGCCCGGGGTGCGAGGGCGGGGGCTCCAGGGGGCGGGGCCCGGGGTTCCGGGGGCGGGGCCGGGGTCCCCCAGCGGCCTGCGGCGGGGCGTCGGCCGGCGCGGGAGGGAGGGGGCTTCGGCGCGGGGCCAGGCCCCTCCCTCCAAGCGCCACATTTGCCCTTTGCACGTTGATCGCGGGCAGACCTCCACCTCCTATCTCATTTTAAGCCCTTAAATGGGCATCTGCCTTTCTCTGAGCGTGACTGTGGTGAGAAACCTGTTGCGCATCTTTACCTTCTTCCCCCATCATCATCGTCATACGTGGGTCTTCTGACTTGTCTAACCTGCTGCGGGAAGATTGGTTGTCAGGGTAACGCGAGGGAACCCTGAAAGATGTGTCATTCACTTCCTGAGCAGAGCAAACTCTCGAACTGCTGCTACCGTGCGTCCAGCTGCACTTTGAGCCTCTCCCCAGGTGCACACCGACCCTGCTTGCTAGAAGCTCCCACTGCGCCTGCAACCCAGGCTTGGGCCCTGCTCAGGGCAGGAGATGCGTTATTTGGGTGCCAGCCTGTTGCGGCAAATGCAGTGAGAGCTGTCGATCTGAAAGCCCTCCACTGGGCAGAGTTCTTGGTGTGTGGGCCGTGAGGTTTCTTAGTCTTCGTTGTTATGCTCTGGGTTTCATTATTCTTTATGTTATATGAGAGGCGGCCACTGGCCCATAGGACGCCTTTGTGTAATTAAAGAAGGCTGGCTTCCTGTCCTCAAGACACTTGGTATTCAACTGCTGGAAAATCGACAAGAAAGAAGTGTAATCATGGCCAGTGTGGTAGCACACGCCTGTGGTGTAATCTCAGGAGGCAGAGGCAGGAGGATCACAAGTTTGAGGCCATCCTGGGCTACAGAGTGGGTTAAAGGCCAGCTTGGACAAGACAGAGTGAGAGCCAGTCCAAAAAAATGAGTGGATGGACCCAGCCTTGGGAGATGGCCGAGTCCACTGGCAGGTTCTTCTCTCACAGCTAAACGAGCTCTGTGTGCCTTTGAGCAGGGCCTTCTAAAGACCCTCCCTTCTCTCAGAATTTTCTCACATTAAAAAGCAGGAGACGGAAGGAGCCGGGGATTTAGCTCAGCGGCATAAGCGCCTGTCAGGCAAATATGAGGTCATGAGTTTGATCCCCGGTACCAACAACAACAATAAAAAGCACGCTAGAAACAAGGGAAGCACATTTGCTGCAGGTTTTCCTAGTGATGCCTGAGAGGACCAGCAGGTGGCCCCACGTGGCAGTGACCCCAGGCAGGGCTGGGTCCCAGTGAGGAGCTGCAGCACTTGAGGGAAGTGACATGACACCTGTGGTTCTTCACCTGTCATTCGGGTAGACAAGGGAAGAGTACACAGCACCAAGGGGTCTGAGATGCCCTGAGGGGCTGCCCTTTGGGGTGCAGCCCTCACAGACTGGCTTCAGGAGCCGGCTGTGGGCCTTTCTATTCTGCCCGATCCCAGAAGTGAAGTCCCCCCACACCTCAGGTTGCTGGAGGGGTATCCTGGGAGGGTGGCTGCAGTGGCGCTCTCTCCTGCAGGTCCACATGGGCTTCTGTGTCATGGGCATCGTCATGATGTTCAGTGCCAATTCTCTGATGTGGACCTTCTTTAGCCGGGGCCTCAGTTTCTCCATGTCGTCAGCCATCGCATCGGTCACAGTGACCTTTTCAAACATCCTCAGCTCGGTGAGTACCCCGAGGGCATGGTGCCTCTGGTGTGCTGTCCTAAACCTGGGTCCTGACTACGCTGCCAGGAGAAAGGACCAGAAGTGACTCGGAGGTGGGCTGACCTTTGGTAGCTGCCTGGCTGCTTGGGAGGCGGGAATGAAGCCTGACCAGAGAGAGCCTCTTCCTGGAGTCCCTCCCAGCCCGACGTCTCCCAGGGTCCCCCCCCCCCACACCCAGGGTCCCCCCCCCCACACATTGCTGGTGTCCTGGGCTGGGAGGGAGCCTAAAGCTGACCGTGAGGCAGCAGCGTCCTGACCTACCTTCTGCCTGCAGGCCCTGCTGGGCTACGCGTTGTACGGCGAGTGCCAGGAAGTGCTGTGGTGGGGAGGCGTGTTCCTCATCCTCTGCGGGCTCACCCTGCTCCACAGGAAGCTCCCACCTGTCTGGAAGCCCATCCCACACAAGCAGCAGTGACCCTGCTTGGCACTCGGCGGAGGAGACTGGAGGAGGAGAAGTGACACTGGGGTCCTGCCACGGGTGGGTGTGTCCTGTGCTACTGCTTCTGGCCACCTGGGTGTGTGGCCTCCTGACTGTCGCCACAGAGAGGCACCAGCCAGCCAGGCCTACTAGACAGGCCTGGGCCTCCAGCCCAGAGGGTGGCAGCGACCCGCCTTGCACAGAGCACCCGCAGGACTGTGCAGCGCCTTGATTCTCGGACTCCTGGGTCATCAACAGGAGGGCCAGTAGATGCTGAGGTCCTGGGTTCTGGGCCACACGCTCAGACCTGAGACCATGCTGAGTGACAGAGTGAGTACCACACTGAAGCCCATCACATGCCGCCAGACAGGGGCTTCCTGACTTGGTGCGCATGTGTCATGCCAAGGGGAGGAAACCTGGGCTAATAAATAGTTTTGTAAATTAAAACCACCAGGCACAGAGCCTTGGTCCTTTCTGCCCTGTGCCAGGCTGGTCCTGCCTAGTCACCTGGACGTGTGCCTGCTCCAGGAGGAAGTCGGCCCTCATGGGCCCCTGAGAAGGGAAGGAGGCCCAGCACCTGCTCCGCCCTTTCCTGGGAGGCCACTGGTGCCTGGGGCACTGGTCACTGGGGTGTGCAGTTCCCCTTGGCCTCGGTTTTAGTGGCCTGTTCTCCTGTGCCCACACTCCTCGGTTTCCACCTTTGCAGCTTCACTGTGCTGTGCTCAGCTGTGCCAGCCACCAGGGGTGGGCTCTCTGTGCCCTGCAGTGTTTCCTCCGGGCCTGATCCCCAGGCTGGAGTCACCTCAACACCTGTGCTCCCAGGGCCTTGGCCACACCGGCCCTGCTGCCGAGCTCTTGTGTTGCGTCCCCTAACCCTCTCTGGCAACAAACTCTTGCTCCTACTGCGAAACCCTGTTAGCTCTCACAGGGGCTGGACCAGCCCCACCCCGAGGAAGGGTCTTCCTGTTCCTGTCATGGATTGGCATGGCACTGGGGCTCAGGCAGGCAGTGCCACATGGCCACTGAGTGCCAAGAGACCATGGTACCCATCTAACTCACACCAGTCCCCTGCTGAGCCACTTCCCTCTGCCCAGAGCCCAGAGAGGCCTCGAAGGACAGTGATGTCTTGTCACCAGCCACCTCCCTGCTTCCTGGAGCCAGTCTGTCTCCAGGGGTGACAGCAGTGAGAAGGGCAAAGGCCACCCTGCCCTGTTGGGAGTCACGTGGTGGGGGGCACAGGAAGATTCCTAGAGGCAGGGTGGGCTGCCCTGGGCAGTGTGTGACAAGGAAAGCAGGAAGTCCCAAGGGGACCAAGCTCCCGGCCACGCGCCCTGGATACAAAGGTGACAGGTTCACACTTCCTGAAAAAAAACGCCTGTACGGCGATGGGCCTGTAATCCCAGCACCTGGGAGGCTGAGGCAGGGGGACCGCTGGCTGACTCAAGGCCTGCTGAACTACCTAGAACTTGGGTCAAAACCAGCAACACCCACACCCCTGCAGGAAGCCCATAAGATCTGGGATGATGTATCCGAGATGTTGTTTCAGGGAAGCAGAGCAGGCCTCAGCCCGCCTCTGGTCACATCAGAGGGCTGGAGTCATTCCCAGATTTCCGATCGCACTTCAGAGGTTTGTGCTCCATAAACCTCGGGTCAGTATTTGTCTCTGCAGGGTCCCTGGGTGGTGGCTGGAGGTTGGTTTTGCTGGTGCTGGGCTGGGCAGTTTGGCGCCAGGTCATGCAGCTGGGCTCCGATAGGGCAGTAATTGCTTTTTCGTTGTTGCTTTTTATTTTACTACCTCTTTTTTTTGTCTTTTTGAGACAGGGTCTCACTATGTGGTTCAGGCTGGCCTTGAACTCACTTTGTAAGCCAGGATGATCTCAAACTTTAAAAGATCCTCCTGCCTCAGCCTCTGAGTGCTGGGATTACAGAATTGCACCACCATGCCCAGCTTACCTCTTTTTTAAAAAGTATGCAACTCAGAGCCACAAGGTTTTCCACCAAGATCCTGCTAACTCCATACCTTTCCTCCAGCCTGCAGTCGCTACACCTGCCTTCCTTCTCCCCCTGTCCAGCCACCTGGACTGCTGTCTACGCAGCCAAGGACACATGCTGCCTGACCCAGCTGTTCTCGCAGGTGCAGTGCTGTGGAGCACACCCCACACCGTGTCCTTTCCATGGCTGGTGGCATCCCGCTGAGTGCTGGACCACGCCGCTCTGCCCGCTGGCAGGCGATGGGCATGAAGCCGCTGTGATGGCTGTCACTGCTCACGGTCTGGGCACATAAACAATTTCGGTGTCTGTGGGTACCCATCTGGAGGAGGGATCGCTAGGCCATGGATGGCTCTGCCTGGCTCCTGGAGGACCTGCCCCCGACTCTGCGAGGCAGGCACACGCCTGACGTCCCAGCTGTTCCAGGAGAGCGAGTGTCCCATCCCCCGCTGCCCACTAGCCACCCTGTACTGTCCTCCTAGCCGTGTCTCCCCGTGTTCCCAGTTTGCGTTTCTGTAGGGGCTGACTTGTCCCGCATGCATGCTGTGCTCTCTGGGTGGCTGTGTACCTTCTTAGGGCTTGGGGCAATATCTGAGTCTGGGCCCCATTTTTAAAAATGTCAGCTGGGGAACCTTTTTAAAGTGATGCTGCAGTCTCAGCCTCTGCCAGAACCTGGGGCTGTGGTGACCCCACATTGTGCTGCAGGAAGGAGCGGAGTCTGCACCCCACCCCAACTCAGGAAGTGGGACCAGTGCTGGGGAAGAGGAACTGGCAGAGCTGGGTCCCCACACCACAGCCCAGCGCCAGGGCTGGTCAGCCGGAGGAGGGCTGGGGTCCGACCACATTGTCCCTGACCCCGCACACCCCACCAGGAAGGACCCTTCCTGCTGGCCTCCAGGTGCCGGCCCGTCTTCACTCGGCCTGGGGGGCCTCAGACCGTGTGTCCCCCTCTTCCCTTGCTGATACCTTGTCTAGGCTGCAGCCAAGAGCAGCACATTCTGCCATGTGGGAGCCTTTGCCCTTTAGAAGTTATTTTTAAATTTTGGTACCAAGGCCTTCACCCTTGGGCTCTGAGATACATACCCAACCCTTTGTTTAAAAAAATCTAACTAGGGGTGAGCTCAGTGGCAGAGTGCTTGTATAGTACCTGCAAAGTCCTGGGGTTCAGCCCCAGCAGCAGCAGTAGCAGCAAACAGCAGGTGTCAGGAGAGCTGGGCGTGGTGATGCACATCTGTGATCCCAACACTTGGAGGCTGAGGCAGGAGAATTGCCATGAATTCCAGGCCACCCTGGGTTATGTAGTGAGACCCTGTTTCCAGAAAACAAAACACAAAAAAACCCACCAAGAACAGCATGGGTGAGCTTGGAGCACTCAGAGCCCGGTGCAGTGAGGAGCGGTCCTGTCTGGCAGAGCCACCAAAGGGGAAACACAGTTTCCATGGAAACCAGCAGGCTGGCCTCTGGGTTTTTATCCCAAAGACTCAGCATTCATAGTAGCACCCTCTGGGGTGCGCTGAGCTGGGGTCACAACATCCTTTCACCACCTGCCTGCCTTTCAGAGGACTCTGCTGGCCACATGTCCTTGGGCTGCAGCCAGTACTCAGCAGTGTGGGCTCAGGGAGGCAGCCCCACTGTCCCCTCACAGTGCCTCTGTGCAGGCTGCACCCCTGGGGCAGCCCCATGAGGAGCAGGGACCCTGGGCTGCTGCGTGGTCTCTCTCGCCTCCACCCCTAGGATGTTCCCTGCCTCAGCCCCAGGGAAGGACACATAGGCTTCTGGGATCTCTTTGTAGAGCTCCTGGAAGATCACAAATTATTTTTCTACTGGGAATTAAACTCATGACCTTGCACTTGCCTGGCAGGTGTTTATGCTGCTGAGCTGCATCCCTGGCTTTAATTCTTCTAGAAAACTACTGATGCGTCAGGAGGCTGACATCCCCTCTCTGTGGCCAGGAAGATATTGTGGCTGTGGCAGTTCAGTAGGGACACTCCACCTGTCCTTGCAGGCCAAGCGGTGTCTGCATCCTTTGAGCCTGGAAGAGGAGGGTGACAAATGGGGATGGGACGGCAGGAGGGGACACAAACCCGGGGGGAGCCAGCTGCAGGCCATGCTGACCAGACAATAGCACTGTGCACATCCTGGGAAAGTGGGGCTTAGAGGACTCAGTTTCCCCACCTTCAGCGGGCAGTAATGGGGGAGTAGGGTAGAGGTGGTGGCCTGGGCCGTGCGGGCGTCACTCTGCCCCTGGCAAGGCCCCCGGACTGGCCTGTCCGAGGAGATGCCTGGGTTTATGGGGCCTCGTATTCTGTCCTATAAAGCTGTTTGTTCTGTGCCGAGCTAGACTTGGGGTAAACAGAGCTGGGTCGGTGCACAGCTGACTGCACATAAAAGCGGGTGCAGGTATCACGCGGCATCTTTACAACTGAGGGTGAATGCGGTGCCAGGGCAGCCGTGGCGCCAGGGAAGCTGCCCAGGCCACCACTGCCGCCATCTTCCTTAGAGTGAGGGGAGTGCAGGGCTGGGGTCCCCAAAACAGGGTTCCAAGGTCCTTGGCCTGGCCCTGTGACTACCCCAGCCCGTGGCCCCGCGGGGATCCCCCCTGTTGTCATGCAGGGCTCCCGGAGTCTCCCTGCCCTTGTCACCCAGACCTTACTAAGCTCGGGCTACCTGTCCTCGCCCTCCATCACTGGCTGCATCACCCAAGGCCAGGAGGTCCCTGCCCTTTTCCAGGCAGAGCTTCTGTCCCCAGTGTGAGGGGTGAGCGAGGGTCCCTTTGGGTGGCATTGTGACCAACACTGCCCACATACCCAACAGTCTGGCCCCTGTGTGGCCCAGACCTGGTCACTGTGGCTTAGGCTGGAGAGTGATCGGGACCCTGGGTTGGTGACAGTCACAGCACCACCCGCAGAGACGGGGCACTGACTCGAGGTCCCAGGAGCCCCACAGGCCTCTGATGGCTCTGTTCTGCAGAGGCCCAGCCCAAAGAGAGTGTGACCCACTGCAGGACACATGGGTCTATGGCCTTTGTGCCCAAGGAGACCCCAGGCCTGGTCGGATCTCAGGGTTCGCTTCCTCTCAGTTCTGAGCCATGAACTAAGTTTTTACTGAATTCTGATGGCACAAAGGGCAACACAGAGCCATGTACGGTATCCCCTCCTTCAGGACAGGACAGGGCCAGTGAGGCCCTTCCTTCCTCAGAGATGTGTGGCTGGATACTTCCTTCCGTCCTTCTCTCCATCCCTATCTCCTCCTTCCCACCTTCACTTCCTTCTTCCCTTCAGCAGGGTCTTAGTGTGCATCTCATGCCGGCCGTGAACCACCACCCGCCTGCCTCGGCCTCCCCAGTGCTGGAATTACAGGCCTATACCGCCACACCTGGCTTCTATGGCCTGTGTGCTGCTGTTGGGGAGCATGGCTGAAACTCTTCTTAGGACGTCAGCACCCAGGATGCCTCTCCTTAAGCTCCTGGCTGTCACCGTTCTGCATGGTGCGAGGGCTCCAGTCAGACCCTGCTCCTGCCGTGGGCCTTGTGCTACTGTCCTCACCAGCTCCTGTCAGCAAGATGAGCATCATTAAAAACAAACCCCATGGGTAGCCAGGCGTGTAACCCCAGCATGCAGGAGGCTGAGGCAGGAGGATTGTCATGAGTTCAAGACCAGCCTGAACTGCATAGCAAGACTCTGTCTCAAAACAAACAAACAGACAACAAATGCCATGTGGATGGCTCGGGAGAGCAGCACAGGGCCAGCCCAGCCCCAGCGTCTCCCCCGAAGGTCCTCAGCCTCCCAGGCCCAGCTTTGCTTCACATCACTAAAGCCTAAAGCAGTGCAAATCCTGCAGCACTGTGCCTGGAGCTCCTATGGGGCTGGCAGGAGACCCGGTTGGCCACTCTGGCTGGTGGGAGCTCCTGCGCCCCAGATCTGCTGCTTCACAAGGAGCCAGGGTCTGGCCTGCCACTCTGCGCCCATGTCGGGGGTAGGGGTTGTTGCTTTTGCCCATGCAGCCTCTGGGCAGATCCAAGGATGCTGGTGACTGGGACCCCTGGACATAATGAGCCACATGACTGCTTTATGTGTTCAAAACAGAAAGCAAAAGTGACGAGGGCCCCCACTCTTTTAAGGTAAGAAAAAGAGAAAACGTTCACACCAGTGCCTACGTGTGGTGAGGTCCCGGGATCCCTCGCTGGGGTCATGTGAAAGACCAGGCGCCACTGCCCCACCCCTGACTGAGCGGCTCATCCTGGTTCCTGATCCTGGTGCGATAGGGACACTTATCAGGCCTTGTCATCCCTGCTGTGCACTCCGGGCACCGCCCTTGGCAAGCCATGCTGGCTCACTCTGAACCGGGCAGCATAAAAGGGGCTGCGTGGCCCTCTGGGCAGCGACTCCCACGGGCTCCGAACCGGCAGGCTCCCAGCAAGGCTGCGTCCTCTGCATGGCAGACAACAAGCAGGAGACCATGGCAGAAGGTGAGTGGGGGCGCCGAGCCCTTGTCCTGGCTGGCCGCTCTGTCCCCAGACACCTTGGGCATCGCCCAAGCCTGCTCTGTGCTGTATGCATGGCTGAGCTCAGCCTACTCCTTGCCCTGAGGTTGTCATTCGAGGACCGTTTCGGAGTCACCACCATGTGGCATGGATCAGAATTCACCCATGCCCGGCACCTGCCTCCAAAGTCTGGCTTTTTCTTTAAAGCTTTTCTTTTAGTTTTTATCTTTTTTGTACTGAGGATCCAACCTAAGGGCATTTGACCATGGAATCACATGCCCAGCCCCCTCCATTTAAAACACTGTTGGCACAGGGGGTTGGACCAGGGTCTTTGCACTGCTCCCCACCTCCAGCCTCTTCAAGTTGTATTTTTTATATTGAGACTGAATCTCTCTAAGTCACTGAGTTGCCCAGGCCGGGTTCAAAGTTGGGATCCTCCTGCTTCAGCCTCCTAGGGTGCCAGGTGACAGGCGTGGTCACTGAATAGACCGTATGTCTGTCTCTCTGTGGCAGGGTTTGCTCAGTGGCCACCTCCCTTGTGGAGCACTGCATGGTGGGCAGAGTGGCTGCTGGGACACTCGGGGTGAAACCAGGCTGCTCCCGAGGGTGTGCACGTGTGTGCGAGTGAAATGGGGGTCCTCTCTGGAGCTGCTGGTCCACAAGGAGCCAGGCCAAGTCTTGGTCAGCAGGGAGGCCACACTGACCGTGGGGAGGCCTAGGTTTCTCAGGCGTGAAGGACACCGATGCGGTGACTTCTCCAAAGAGCCGAGGCCTCTGTGAGAAGGGGGGCGGGGCCTGCAGCATCGCAGTCTAGGGGCTCTGCAAAGTTCTGGTGCCCCACTCATGCATGTCAGCTGCCTCCTTGCTGGGCACAGATTGGGCTGCTCCCAAGGCTGAAAGTCGAGGACCACACCTCATGGCTACCAGTGTCTGGGTCTTGGGGGAGGCCAGGGGCCCCCTGAGAGGCCCTGCGAGGGCTCATCCCTGTTGCCATCCCTGTCTGTCCTCCATGGAGGCTGGGACCTTGAGGCAGGTGGCAGACAGGGCCGCCGGTGTAGAGAAAGCAGAGCTCACAGGAGAAGAGGAGAACATGCCGCACGGCACTGGGTGTTGGCCAGCGGTCAGTGGTCAGCGAGGCCCATTCTGGAGACAACAGAGGCACTGTGAGGACAGTCGTGGGGTGGGGCAATGTTTCAGAGGAAAACTCAAAACAGAGAGGCAAGGAGATTCACAGAAGGGCTCTGGAAAAGTTTAAAAGACCTGTGTGGCGGCCCAGGATGTGACTCCCAGCACAGCACCTGCCTGGCGAGCACAAGGTTGTGAGTTTGAGTCCTGGTACCAAAAGAAAAAAAAGACTCGTGTGGCAGAAGCTTTAGAGTCAGAAGACAAAGAGGTGTGAAAGTGGCTTCAACCCTGCAAGAAGCAAAAGCTGCCACAGGCGAGGGCACACACCTGGGATCCCAGCAATCTGGGAGGCTGAGGCAGGAGGATTTGAAAGTTTGAGGCTAAATTTAGTGACTCAAAATAAAAAGGGCTGGGAGAGTAGCTTGGTGACCAGGGATTGGTGACCTGGGTCGAATCCCCAGTGCCAAAGAAGAAGGAAGAGGAAGAGAAGCTATTCTGAGGTACAACTTAGCCATCTGGAAACAAAAGTACAAGGTCCAGGGCTGCGGCTCAGGGTGTCGGCTGTGGCCTTGGACTGGGGAGCCCCTGGGCGTCCATCTCCCCGCTTCACACCTCCTTCTGGGTGCTCCCCCACCTGCTGGGCCAGGGATAGTGCAGTCTCCTCCCTGCCACCCAGGGCCGAGGGATGGAGAACTCCAGCTCCTGGAGTCTCAGTCCAGAGGAAGGACAGGGACCCAGGGTCCTCAGGAAGGCTCCTCTTCCACCCCCTGCCCCAGCAGAGCTGCAGATCCGCCGCGTGGACTTCATGAGGCGTGACAACACCGCGGCCCACCACACGGCTGAGTTCCAGACACCTGCCCTGGTGCTGCGGCGGGGACAGGCGTTCACCCTGCGGCTGAAGCTGAACCAGCGGCTCCGGTCCCAGCAGGACACCCTGACTCTGCAGTTTAGCATGGGTGAGGCTCGGCCTCCTCTACGGCCTAGAGTAGTGACCCCAAGGTGGCCCTGTATGGCTGGGCCAAGCTCAGAGTGCCTGTGCCTCCCTGGCCTTAGTTTCCCCATCGGGAGGCCCGAGGGTCATGAGCGCCCCATCCTTAGGGATCCAAGTGTTTGGCCCAGCAGGGCAGAGGCTGGGGAGGGAAGCAGCCCCCAGTTGCTTGGGAGAAATCTGGAAGCTTCTAGAGTTGAATCACAGGCTGTGGTGGGGTATGGTGGCTCCCAGCATCCTGGGAGGCTGAGGCAGGAGGATTGCAAGCTCAAACCCAGCTAGGGCATCTTGGCACCTGAGTGACCCTATCTCAGGACAAATGCCCAGCTTTAGGAGGAAGGATGATGGGAATCAGCTCGTCCATGGTGAGTCAGAAAGGCAGCAGACAAGGAGACCCAGATGGCCAGGCCCGAGGAGGTAAGGGGCGCGGAGCAGGCCCAAGCCGTCCTCCCTGCTTGCTGTCTGCAGGCCGGCAGCCTTGCGTGTCCAAGCACACCCTGATCTCGCTGGACCTGCCGTCGTCTGCCAGCTGCCACGGCTGGAAGGCCAGCATCCGAAGCGAGGCAGGCTTGGAGGTGAGGCTGGGCCGGCACCTGGTGGGTGGCTGAGCCCCTCCGCCCCTGCACCACCAAGCCTCCCTCTGTCAGTGTCTGCCTGCAGAAGGCTCCTCAATGGCTGCTGCCTGGTGCAGGCGGTGCAGGCCTGAACCCACAGGGCTTGCTTTTTGCACTTTAGGGGTGGCGGGGTGTAGGCTTTGTCACAGGCCGTCCTCAGGGGGCTGCGGTCAGCTGTCTTAGCCACGTTTCTGGTTTTTGTTCTTTGAGGTTTTATTTGGGGGATGGTTGTGGGTGAGGCAGGGTCTTTCTATGTAGCCCAGGCTGGCCTTGATGTGACCCAGTCCTCCTGCATCAGCCTCCCCATGTGTGAGCATGCCCAGCATGGATTATTATGGTGATCTCAGTGTGTCGCCCTCATATTTCTGCCACCATCTGTCCCAGAGGACTGGGTACCAGCCTGGGACACTGGAGCAATGACCAGGGTCTCTGCAGGGCTGGGGGGACTCACCCGGCCTGAGGGTTCTGTTTCTCAGAGAGCAGCCATCTCCCTTTCCTGACCGCCCAGCCTGGCTGGGCTCCAGCCAGCAGTGACCCCTGGACCCAGGCAGCCGGGCAGCTGGAGGGGAATGGGGTGAGGGGGTGAACCCTGAGGCTGCCCGGGATGCGCTGGAGCCTCCTGCTCGGCCCTGCCGCTATCCTGGGTCTGCGCTCTGGTGGCTGGGCCATGCCTGGGTGACCTCACCAGAGTGTGAGTGGTGGAGGGACACCCATGTGGCCATGCTCCCCAGGTGGTCATCGCCGTCACCAGTGCCCCTAATGCCATTGTGGGACTGTATTCCTTGGAGTTGAAGAGCGGGCGGCACCTGCTCAAGCCAGAGGACAGCATGGTATACTTGCTCTTCAACCCATGGTGCCCAGGTGAGATGGGGAACGTGGGGACTCAGGGATGCAGCCATGGGCCGCTGGGGTTGCGGTTGGCGGGGTGATGCACCCTGGCTGGGGAAGGTGACTGGGCAAACCCTGGTGCAGACGTCTCTACGCTCAGTCTTGTCTGCTGGCCACTCTGTCCCCACCTCTGCCTCCCACGCTGGTCACTGTCTGGCCTGTGCCAGATGTGCAGGGAACAGTGACCACATCCTTCACCCTCCCTCCAGAGGATGCCGTCTTCCTGCCCTCCGAGGAGGACCGGGCTGAGTACGTCCTTAGCGACACGGGCTACGTGTACATGGGCTCCTTCCGGCAGGTCAAGGAGAAGCCCTGGAACTTCGGCCAGGTAGCGTGGCCCCAGTGGGCAGGGGTGAGTGCTGGGAGAGGCTGGGGCAAGGCAGGCGGTGTCACCCATGGCGGTCCTGAGAATCACCCCACCCCACCCCATCTGGCCCCCACTTTCTTTTTCATTTTTTTCGGTTTTTATTTTTTGTCTGTTTTGAGACACCATCTCAACACATAGCCCAGGCTGGCCTTGACCTCACAGCAGAGGTCCTCTTGCCTCAGCCTCCCCAGTGCTTGGGTTACAGCAATGTACCACCATGCCTGGCAATCATCATTTCTTTTTACTTTGAGACAGGGTCTTGCTGAGTTACCCAGAATGGCCTTGAACTTGCAGTCTTCCTGCCTCGGCCTCCTTAATAGCTAAGATTACAAGCGTGTGCTGCTGTGCCCAGCTGTGTACTTGCCTTCGATGGCTGCACCCACAGGCGGTTTCCCAGCAGCGGTGGGAAGGGCAGGCTGGCAGCATGCATGGACAGAATACCCATGATTCTCTTCCTCCCTGGGCAGTTTGAGAAGAACGTCCTGGACTGCTGCATCTTCCTGATGACCCAGAGCTACCTGAAGACCATGGACATGCGGGACCCTGTGATGGTGGGGAGGAACATGGGAGCCATGGTAGGTGTGGGAGGGAAAATGGGTGGGAGCAGGGGCAGGTGGGGTTTCCAGGCCCCACTGGACCTGGAGCTGGGGCAGCATATGGGGACTGCCATGGGCCAAACCCCAGCCTTAGGTTTGCTTCTCTGAGCCTCACTTTTCTCACTGTGAATTGGTGTCAGCATGTGAATCCTGTCCTGGGGCCAATCGGGGTGAGCCTGTGGCTGTGGCTCCCATGGGAACTTTCAGGTTTCAGGGTGTCATGGAAAACCCCATTTCCTGGAACCCTATCCTAGGCAAGTGGATTTCAGGTCACCTTGGGCCGGTAGGTGCCCAGAAGTCAGTTTCCCAGAGTGCAGCTTGAAAGTGGCTGGTCTCAGGAGCTTTCTATACACCCCACTGGTAAGGAGGCCATGCCTATAGTCCCAGGATTTTGGAGGCTGAGGCAGGAGGACTGCAGCAAGTTGGAGGCCAGCCTGAACTACATAGTGAGACCTTGTCTCAAAAACAACAACAAAAGGGGCTGGGGATTTAGCATAGTGGCATAAGTGCCTGCCTTGCAAGCAGGCAGTCGTGAGTTCGATCCCTGGTACCGATAAAAAATGAAAAAGACAAAACAACAACAACAACAACAAAAAAAACCCAAAGGCCTATTTTTCAAAGCATCTAACACAAGGAGAGGTGGAGCGCTGCTTTATGTTTATGTTTGATGTTTTTGCAAAGCTCTCTGTGGCCTGTAGAATCAGTGAAATTCCCTGTCTGCTGGGATCGCAGGACAGGAAACAAAAGAAGGAAACCTGGCCTCACGGGGATGTGTAGAGCGAAAGGCAGGAGCGCGTGTCCACAGCCCTGTCAGGGACTGCGAAATACTGTTACTGCAGCCATGTTCAACCCATGGGGATTCATTTTTTTTTTTTTTTTTTTTGAGATAAGGTTTCTCTGGAGCCCAGGCTGGCCTTGAACTCACTGCCACCCTCCAACCGCAGGGCACAGCTTTTTAATTTAAGGTGATTTTTGTGCGTGGGAGGCACTGAAATCTGGCCAAAGTGTGGGCACTGGGGCCATTCCCAGTCTGCCTGTGCCGCACACCCACTCACAATAGCTGTGCAGGCGACAGCACCTGGGGTCACTGAGCCCGGATCTCTGTGCCCCTGGGCCTGCTGTCTGCTGTCCCTGGCTGAGCTTGCCACCTGTAGCTGGTGGCAGATGCACCTGGGCCGGGAGTTCTCAGGTGCAGGCTGGGTGACCCGGCCCGCGGGTCAATCCGGATCCTCAGGGCAGTTTCCTGGAGAAGGAATGGGGATTAACACAGATAGAGAGACGGAGACAAGTCGAGAGAATCCGATCAAGCCTCATTTATTGATAAAGTGGTTGCTGCTTTTATAGGGCAGGGGTGGGCTGGTGGGACAGGAAGAGGCTATGGGGTGATCTCTGATGGGTCATCGTCACGTCCGTGTACGTGACGTGAGTAGGAGAGGATTATGGTTAATGTAGGTGCATTATGTGCCCGTATGAGGGAGAGGCGAGGAGACAGCAGCAGGGCGGTCGCACCGCTCCCTACAGCTGGGGCCTGTGCTGGGCACACAATGGGATCTCAAGCAGTGGGGCCCTGTTCTCTGACCGCCTGCCGCGTGCCCCAAGCCCTTGGTGCCTCCTGCTCTACCAGGCCTCGGCCAAGTGAGGGGTCTGGGGTCCAGGGTGCAGGCAGCACCAGGCTGCGACCCTGTGCCTCTATAGGTGCTGTGGTGCCATCACCTAGGGGCATGGGGCTCATGCTGCCTGGTGCCCAGCAGCCTCCTCCTGGTGGCTCTTGTGGGCACTAAGTTTGGGAAGCAGGAGAGCAGCAAGCTCAATCTGGGGACCAGAAACCAGGCTGCAGGCCTCAAGCCAGTTCCCTGATACCAGCCGCATGCCCACTACACCGGCCTGGCACTGTGCTTCACTGCTGGAGTCACCTCCAAACCAGACTCCGAAGATGAGGCCCCCAGTGTGGAGCCTCTGAACCCCAGGTGGTTTTGGTGGCCTTGACTGGAGGCGTCACCCCTTTCACACAGGTCTGCTGGGCCACTGTGGGTTTCTGACCAGCAGGCAGAGACTGAGGTGGGGCTGCTCGGAGGGACAGCCCACCCCACAAGGGACAGATGCAACAGCCAACACATGTATGGCTACAGCTGTGTAACAAGTCACCCAGACCCAGACACAGTTTTGGAAGTAATGTTGTTGTACCATGGGGCTCCAGGAGCTCCGAATCCCTTTGTAGCAGCCTCAGGTCTCCTTGGGAGGAGGGAGAGAGAAAGGGATGCACAGGGCTTGGTTGAGGGATGCCCCTTCTGCCATATTTATGGGCTCAGCAGGGAGTGGCTGGGTGCAGGGAGAGGATTCTGCCTGGCTGTGGTCAGTCCTGTGAGCGTTCTTTGAGGACCTCTGAGGCCTGCGTGTCCTGTGAGCCCCCAGGACCCCCTAGGCAGGTGGGGAGCAGAGAGGGGCCTGGGATGGCTGGGCGGGTGTGAGACCCCACGGCCAGGCTGCTCTATCGTCTCTGCGCCTTCTCCTGCTTCTCTGGTCTCCAGGTGGGGCTGTGACCTGTGAGTCCCGAGAGGCCGGGGCCACATTGCCGGGTACCCAGTTGGCGCCTCGTGAATAGAAATTGCACGAACAACGGGCCAGGAATCAGATGAGGCCATGTCTTTATCACTTCAGCTTGTAATTTTTAAATTTAAATAAAAATTTTTTTTGGTCTTTGTGAGACAGAGGCTCACTATGCAGTTCGGGTGTCCTTGAGCTCACTTTGTAGCCCAGGCTGGTCTTGAACTTTCAGTGATCCTCCTGTTTCAGCCTCCTGAGTGCTGGGATCACAGGTGTGCGCCACTGTGTCCAGTTTTACCCCTTCACTTGTAAACACTGATGCACAGGGCCATGCAGCTTGCAGAGGAGCTTGGTGTTGTGCACAGGCCAGGAGGCGGCTGTGGTCGCCGAGACGTTGTTGTCTTGGGTTTTCAGAGGGCCGCTCTGGCCTGTTTGTAGCACAGCCTCCTTGGAGTTACACTGAAGAACCAGCCTAGGGTCCTCAACTGACTTTTCCAGAGCCGAGTAGAGAAGCCCAGGCACAGTGTGTGCCTGGGGAGGGTGCTATGTGCTGCCTGCTTCGTATTTTGTTTTGCTCTATTTTTGTGGTACCTGGGGATTTGTACCCGGGCCTTCACACTGAGCTTTTAAAATTTCTAATGTTGAAACAGGGTCTCTCCAAGTTCCCAGTGCTGGGGTGCAGTAGTGGACCTGCTCTGGGAGAACTGTGGGTTTTTAAGCAGAGAGTGCGTCCCACTTGCCCGGGACTAGGAGGGGCTCTTGGGGCACTGCTTTCTCTCTGGTTTTAATTAAGTTGCTGGGTATGGTGTCATCTTGGCACTCAGAAGGCTGAGGCCAGGAGGATGGCTATGAGTTCAAGGCCAGCCTGTACTACATTCTAAGGCCCTATCTCTCAAACCGTGGCCCCTCAAATCGAGTGGCAGGAACAGTCTGAGGCTCTGCCAGGTGGGGAGAGATGCAGGCCATGGACAGTGAGTTTAGAAGCAGAAGAGTGTGTGGCTGGCCCAGGCTTTTCCAGGTTAGAGCAGGGCATTGTCATGAACAGCATTTTACAGAGGAGGAAATGGAGGCGCAGACAGCACAGCCTCGGCTCATGCGTCGGGCACACTCCTCGGGGCCCACTGGCCAGGCCATATCCTGTGCTGTCCACTCTGGGGCCTCTGACTGCTCTTCTCCCGGCAGATTAACTCCCAGAACAAGGATGGCGTGCTGGTGGGGAACTGGACCGGGGAATACCAGGGTGGCATGGCGCCCTACCTGTGGACAGGCAGTGTGCCCATCCTGCAGCGCTACTATAGCACCAGGGAACCCGTGTCCTTTGGCCAGTGCTGGGTCTTCGCGGGCGTCCTGACCACTGGTAGGTGAAGCTGTAGCAGGATGGAGGTGCGGGTCCCTGCAGTGGCTGATGCCCCGCCCCCCTGCAGTACTGCGGGCGCTGGGGATCCCCGCACGTCCGGTGACTGTCTTCGACTCTGCCCACGACACGGAGGAGAACCTCACGCTGGATGTGTACGTTAATGAGATGGGCAAGACGGTGCCCAACAAGACGGACGACTCCATCTGGTAGGGCCCCCCTTGCCCCGCCCACTCCTAGTCTTCTAGTCCTGGCCGGAACCCTGCACCCCACCCACCCCACCCCAGATGCTGTTCTGTGCCAAGGTGCCCCACTGCTATGAGTTTGATCCCTTGTACCACACACACACACAAAATGCAGACCACTGCACACCTTTAATCCCAGCTCTCTGGGAGGCTGAGGCAGGAGGATCCAAGTTTGAGCCCAGCCTGGGTGACTCAGCAAAACCTTGACTCAAAAAATAAAAAGGGGCTGGGGAGGGCAGGACTGGGAAAGAAACAGAAAGAACTCTTCCTGAGCTGCTGGGCCCAAGATTGGGCCTGCAGACATGAAGACCAGAGAGTCCGCAGGGAATCTGCATGCCATCCCAGGAGACCACCCTGCAACTGCCTCCCATGGCAGCACAAAGCTCTGCCACCTTTGCTCTCAGAGCACATGGCCCCTTGCAAGCTGAAAGTGACCAGAGGAGGGGACATGGGAAAGTCAGGCCCAGAGCATCCTTGGGCCGGATGGGAGAGCTGGCCACGGCTGCTGTGAAATCCTAGTGTGTGTGCCAGGAGGAGAAAAGGAAGGGAGAAAAGGAAACAGGCGGAAAGGAGGCAGCAAGACAGGCTCCTGCAGCCAGGCATGGCGGCTCAGGACTGCACTTCCCACCAGGAGGCTGAGGTGGGAGGTGGCTGCAAGTTTGAAACTGGCCTGGGCTACACAGTGAGACCCTGCCCCCAAAACAAAAAACCCGGGTCTCATCCAGACGGGGATCTGTCTAGAGAACTGGCTGGTATGGTGGTCAGGTGAACTGATCCACACCAGCATTGTGATGGGCGGTGTGCACAGTTCCTGGAGTCTGCTGAGCCTGCCCTGCCTGCTTGCCCCAGCTCCATGCTGGTGACCAAGCTGCCCCTGACCATCCCCGCTTGGCCAGGAACTTCCATGTGTGGACTGAGGCCTGGATGAAGCGCATGGACCTGCCCCCGGGGAACGATGGTTGGCAGGTGGTGGATGGCACCCCACAGGAGCTCAGCCAGGGTGAGGCCGGGCCTGGGGGGTGGGTGGGGTGTTGCGGTGCATTTCCGGGGTGCAGCGGCCACTATGTGGCCCGCACTGGCCCCGGATGTGGCCCGAAAGGCTGGGCCCACTGCTGTCTCCCACTCCGTCTCCAGGGCTCTACTGCTGTGGGCCGTCGCCAGTGGCCGCTGTCCGCAAGGGCAACATCTTCATGGGCTACGACACCAAATTCGTGTACTCGGAGGTGAACGCCGACAAGCTGGTGTGGCTGGTGCGTTCGGTGGATGGGCGTGAGAAGGTCAGCCTGCTCTCGGTGGAGACCATGAGCATCGGCAAGAACATCAGCACCAAGGCGGCCGGCCAGGACCGGCGCAGCGACATCACACACCAGTACAAGTTCCCTGAGGGTAGGTAGGCAGGGGGCCCGGGGAAACCTTGTGGACGGAGGTGGTGCACACCTGCCAACCTGGCACTGTGGGAGGCTGAGGCAGGAGGATGTGCGACCAACTTAGTGAGCGCCTGTCTCAGAAGAAAAAGCAAAATGGGCTGGGGATGGAGCTCAGTACGAGGGCCTTGGGTCCAATCCCCAACACAGAAAAGAAACCAATTCTTATTTGAGAGCGTGGCAGCGTCTGACGGCAGAGTCCCCGGCCAGGACGCTCTGTCCCAGCCTAGGCCCCTGTGGCCTGGAGGCCCCTGCTTCCCACACGTGGCGTGGTCTGGAGACAAGCAGCACCTTACAGAGCGCAGTGGAGCAGGAGCAGCAAACCTGCAGCAGGAAGCCAGCGAGGCAGGACGGAGCCAGCCGAGCTGCCCTTCTTATCACCAACACTCCTGCTTTGCAAAGCTGCTGGGACCTTTATCTGTGTCCTCTCTCCAGGGAGCTGCTGCCCTCATGGTGCCTTGAGCATATTTATTTATTTCTGAGATAGGATCTCACTCTGTAGCTCAGGCTGGCCTCAAACTCAGGGGATCCCCCTGCCTCAGCCTCCCGAGTACTAAGATCACACGTGTGTACCACCACGCCCGGCTCGTTGAGTGTATTTAACAGAGCTCATGTCGAGGTTTTGTCTCACAGGTCCCATCCAGGCTCCTTTGGGGAGAGTTTCTGCTTTTTCTGTTTTTGGAGGTGCTGGAGATGGAACCAGAGCCTCTCGTGGGCTAAGCAAGCACTGATCACAAAGTCAGCCCACCTCTTGTCTTATTCTGAGACTGTCTTGCAGAATCACCCAGGCTGGGTGCTAACTTGTGACCTGCCTGCCTCAGCCTCCTAGCGTGGTGGGGTCACAGGCGGGGACTGCCCTGCCTGGCTCTCAGGGGTGTTTCTTGTTTCTCCTGATTGGTGTTTTTCCTCCGTGTGTTGCTGCAGTTTGATGCTTTGAGTATACTGTGATTTCTCACTGAAAGCTGCTTCTAATGAGTACAGTGGGGAAGCTCATGCTGCTGTAGGTTGGGGCCTCCAGGTCATTAGGTGAGGGCTGTCACTTCTCAGGGGCTCTGCAGACCCCGGGCCCAGGGAGTCTGGCTGGCCCCGAACCCAGGCTATGTCTCCTCTTCAGCTCTTCCTTTAAGCTTTTGGTCAGTCGAGTTACTGCTGCCTCGGGGGGCTGCGGTGCTCAGTGGTCACTGCCCTCAAATGTACCAGGGAAAATGTGGTCTGCGAGGCATGTGCTCTGAGCCAGGTCAGATAAAGACGCCGCTCTGGGGACTGTGGTTTCCAGGGAGCTGAGGCCCAGGTCAGTAAAGACAGTTCACTCCCTGGCCACTGGGCTGCAGCCCTGGAGGATGAAGAGGAGAGAAGAGAGGGCAAGGGAGGAGGAGGAGAGAGGCGGGGCCCCTGGCTTTCATTCTCCTGAGGTTGAGGCTGCTTTTTCTCCTCGGTGGAGGCTGCTCAGAGGGTCGCCAGCCTTTAGTTGATTTCAGGAATTCAGAGATAGCTAATTTTAATCATGTCTGCCAATTTCCCAGCACTTTCTCGGTGTGGCCAAGTCTTGAGTCTCCCTTCCACTCTGAAGGACGGGCCAGGGACACCTCTGGGGCAGGCCTGGAGTCCAGCCCCCGCAAGAGCAGCTGGCATGCTCAGGGGGCTGCTGTGTGTTGCACAGGCTCCGCGGAGGAGAGGGAGGTCATGGACCACGCCTTCTCACTGCTCAGCTTTAAGCGTGAGCACACGATCCCCACCAAGGAGAACCTGCTGGAGCTGCTGGTGCAGGAGGAGCCGGTGGTGATGGGTGACCCCCTCAACTTTTCGGTGACACTCCGGAGGAAGGCCGCCACTCCCCAGACGATCACCTTCTCGGGCTCCTTCGACCTGCAGTCCTACACTGGCAGGCAGCTGGCACACCTGGGTGTGGTGCAGAAGACCGTGCAGGTTCAAGAACAAGGTATTGGAAGCAGGGCAGAGGCCTGGCCTGGGACGGGCAGGATCCCCACCTGAGACCCCTGTCCTCTCTGCAGTCTGTGCACTAGCAAACAGGTATGTGTGTGTATAAAACCAACACACATTTCTCAAGGTCCCCCTTTGGGGGTTCCAGGAGACCCAGGACCTTCGGGATAAGTATTTTCTAGCCAGGGATGGGGATGCATGGCCATAACCCCATTCTGGGAAGCTGAGGCAGGAGGACTACAAGCGGCAGGCAGCCTGGGCAACTTAGTGAGACCCTGTCCCAAAATACAGTAAGAAAGGCTGGGGACACAGTGAAGGACTCCTCGAGTCCAGCCCCTGAGAAGTGTCTCTTGGGGTAAGACCTCACCCCAAACTCCACTGTCACCTGAGGGTTTGCATGTTTGGAGCACAGTGCTGAGGGAGTGGACACTCGGCAGCTGGGGACATCTGTCCCTGGAGTACTGACCACACCAGGAGTCCCAAGCTGAGCCCAACTTCTTACTTCATGGAGAGGGGGTCAGAGCCAATCTCACCCTGTGCTTGATGACAAATGTCACCTCTCTCCCACTGCATGGCTCCTTGGCAGTGTCCAGCGTGGTCCTGACCTGGGAAGCCAGCACCTACACTGGCAGCCTCGACGCCTACGAGGATGAGCCAGTCATCAAAGGGTACATCATGGCCGAGGTCATGGAGACCAACGAGACCATAGCCACAGAGGTGTCGCTGTTCTTCCAGTACCCACAGCTCACCTTAGAGGTGAGCTGGCAGCCTGGGGCAGGAGGGCTGAGCTGGGCTCTGGTGGGGGATGCAGGGGTGTCATCCAGAGTGTCACCTGGCAGCTGTGGCATGGATGGTGGTCAGCGACGTGGCAGTGGTGGCCTACTAGCTCAGCTGCGGAGGCTGGAGTGCTTGCTGGGCCCAGGATGAGGAATGGGGTTCCCCCCTGAAGAGGTGGTGGGGAGCCTCTGCTGTGACTTAGTGGTCCCCATGCCTGGCATGTCTTGGGGTCAGAACCGCCCCCTTAGCCTGGCCCTCTGTGAGCTCAGCCCATGTTGTTTTGCTGAGAAGCCTTCATGGCCCCAAGGGTGTACTGGATGCTGGGTGCCCGGATGAAGGTCACAGCACCAGATCAGGCCGGATGACAGAGGAAGAGGCAGGGTGGGATGCCACCTAGGTGTCCAGGAAGAGGTGGCACAGCTCCCAGACCCAGGCTCTGATGGATGATGGGCAGGGCTTGGGGACGGCTTTATCTTTGGGCTGCTCTGAGGGTGTCTTGGCTTGAGGAGCACACACAGGAGCTGAGCCCTGGAAGCCAGGTGAGGGTGCCGAAGTTTTTTATTTTGGTGAGGAGGGGTCCTAATGAAGGCTGGAAGAGGTCAGGCTAGGACCTCTGGCTGCCAGGGGACTCTCTGGTTTTAATTCCCTTAAGAAAATACCTGGCCAGGTATGGTGGTGCATACCTGTCATTCCAGCACCCAGGAGGCTGAGGCAAGAGGATCTCTGTGAGCCTAAGGTCAGCCTGGGCTACACAGTGAGACCCTGTTTCAGAAAGTGAATAAATGAATGGATGAACAGAAAGTCTGACAGAGCTCAGGATGTCAGGCTGTGGATACAGACAGAGTTGCCGATGATACCAGAAGCTGGGACAGGTGTGAGTGGCAGAGATTCTGCAGGGAGCTCAGGGCTGGGGGAGCCTGACTGCAGAGATGAGGTCATGGGTCTTGACTCGCATTGCCACTCTGCCGGCTATGACCCCGCATCTCCCTCCCGCAGCTGCCCAACACTGGCAGGATGGGCCAGGCACTCGTCGGCACCTGTGTCTTCAGGAACTCCCTGCTGATTCCGCTCACAGGCGTCAGGTTCTCCGTGGAGAGCTTGGGCCTCTCCTCCTCGCAGAGCATTGAGCATGGGTGAGTGTGGAGCCCTGGCGGGCGGGCAGTGTCCCGGGTACCGTGGCAGTGCCCCTGCTTCCCCAGGAGGTCGGGGGCCACTGCCGCTCTGTGAATAGACGAGCGGACCTCTCCACACGCTGCCTGCTCGCATCTTGTTTCTCCTGGTGAGTCACGCCTCCCTTCACATAGTAATTTGATGTCTTATGCTGCAGTGTTAAATTATCACCGGGACCGTTCATCACAGTCAACCTTCTTTTTCCATGCTGGGGATCGAACCCGGAGCTCTTCCAGAGCCACACTGCCGGGGCTCCAGACTCAACCTTTCTTCCTTCTTTCCTTCCTTTCTCTTTTCTTTCAACACTTACCTTTAGAACTTTAAAAAATTTAGCTCCATTAAAATTTTAGCCAGGCATGGTGGCCTGAGCCTATAATCCCAGCACTCAGGAGGCTGAGGCAGGAGGATCACCATGATTTCGAGGCCAACAGTGGGCTACACAGTGAGTTGCAGGCCAGCCTGAATTGCATAGTGAGATCCTGTCTCACAAAATTAAAACGAAATAAAACAAAACCTGCCGTTCCTGAGTTTGGGGACACAGCTTCTCCAGCACTGTCAGTCAGCCCCGTGTCTTGGCTTTCTGGGCCCTGGGTGCTCTCTTCATCCTCTTTCATCGAAGCAGATGTCAGGGAGGCAAATTACCACCCCCAACTTTCTGTCCAAGGAACTTCTAGGTTCTTCCCACCATAGCCTTTGAAAATTGTCTGGTGCAGGCTGCTCTTGTAGTCAGGCTGCTTTTCAGGGCACGGGAGGGTTTGTGCACTGGCAGAGCCTGGGCACCCTGCTGGTCTGCACACCTAGCCTTACAGGGGTGAACGCTGACTGCTGGCAGCCAGGGTCCAGGGCTTCTGAGGCCAGGCCTGGGGCCTGGGCTCCTAGTCTTCCTTTCCAGGTGTCCACAGCTAATTATCTGTCTCAACCTTGCAGTACGGTGGCGCCTGGTGAGACCGTGCAGTCCCAGATAAGCTGCACCCCGGTGAGGTTGGGGCTCCGGAAGGTCATTGTCAAGCTGAGCTCCCAGCAGGTGAAGGAGGTCCACGCGGAGAAGGTGGTGCTCGTCACCCCGTAGCTGCTGCATGCGGGCATGGGCAGGCACCCCAGGCTCGGCCGCGCTTTCAGCACTTCCTCTGCAGACTTAGCTGTAGATCACACACGCTCACGCACCCATGCACGCACACATGTATGTAAGCACGCATCCACTCATTCAAGCATGCAAGAGCGGAGTCGGAGCCGGGGGGCAAGAGAGAGGCATTCAAGGCAGCCACACCTGCTTAGCCCCAGACCCCAGGCCCAGCCCCAGAATTCCCGGCGCATGGCCTCCGAAAGCAGTGCCACGGCATCGAGATTCAGCACCCAGTGCCCAGGGCCAGCTGTGCCCCCAGAGCTGTCCCTTTGAGCCTTGGGTTTGCCAGGGCCCGAGGTGCATGCTCCAGGATCCCACTGGAGACCCTGGGGCCAACTCTGCAGAGCCACCCTGGGACAGCCCGGAGTGGGGACAGGCAGGAGGCCAGCACCCTGGATCGGGCCCCTTCTTGCCGCCCACTGCTTCCCTCTCCTCCACCTCCCAGCTGCTTCCCCTGATCGCCGCCTTTGATTAAACTCCGACTGCTGCAGGATAACCAGCTGGTCCCGAGTCACTGTTCTTTATGCCACTGAGCTGCTGGGCATCCCCGGGGAACTGTGTCAAGCACCCCAGGTCTGGGCTCCCACCCTGTGGGCTCACTGAGGGGCTGTTTGCCGCCAACCCAGGTTACTCTGTGTCATTCTGAGGACATGTGGGTGGGGTACCTGTCTCCTCCCCTTGCTGGCTCCCTGGTTGAGAACCCCAATCCTGATGGCCCTCACCCCAGAGGTCCACTCCACTGGGTGAACCATACTCGGTCAGCAGGGTCCAAGGGGACTGCCCCCACACGGGAGCTGTACATGGAACCACCAGGTCAGTGCAGCATGTGGGCCCCAAGGGGCAAAGGCTCCACACAACCACAATGGGTGTCACACACTGGCATGAGAGAAAGTGGCTTCTCGAGGTCCCCCAGGTGAACCTCAAGGCAGGCACTGCCCAGGGCTTTGGACCAGGATTGCCTGAGAGAACAGGGGACTCACTGCAGAGGCAGGTAGCTCTCTTTATTCGGGAAAGAGGCGAGGCTCAGTGGAATGTTATGTGGCAGCTGCCACTGCGGAAGGAGGCCACGGTGTCCCCCGAGTGGGAGCATGAGACTTGAGTCAGGGGACTCCCCTGTGACCTTGGGGAGGGGGCATCATCTTCCTAGTCTCCTTTTCCAGAGTGACTTCTGTGGAAATGCAGCTGGCCCACGCAGCCCTGTCCTGCACATTTCCCAGGACCCAGGGTTGTGTGCAGGCCTCCGATCCTGGCCCGCACTCCCCACAGAGTTGACGCCAGTGACAGTGACCAGGACCCCTGCCCTCTCTGGGCACCAAGGACTGCTTCTCCCCAGTGTGCGGTCTTTTCAGGGCACAGCTGGCATCCAGTCATGCAGGGCTGCTGGGTGAGGGGCACTGAGGACACCACAGCCAGTAGACACCTTTCCCATAGCTGCCAAGCTGGGCGGGAGCCAGCTCGGCTCCTCGAAGGGCTCACGGACACTCAGGTGCTGTGGATTGGGAGGACAGAGCCCCCACCCTGTCACAGGCAGAGCAGGCATGCTCTGGGCCAGGGTTAGGAAGGGGTAGCCCTTGCCAGGGGGCAAGTAACCACAGATCTGGGGGGCCGCCAGGGGACAGAGGAGCTCAGAGAGCTTACCACTGCCAGGGAGCTTCTGGGAGGCTCGGAATGAGGTCTGAACCCTCTGAAGGTCACCATCGCCTTCCTTTCTCGAGGTCCTGAGGTGATGTCCCAGGCAGTGACCCACACTTTCTCCTGGAGTAGGGAGGGGCCTGGACGCAGAGGTCCAGCTCCTCCAGGCCTGCCCCAGCCCCTGCTGGGGACATGGGCTGGACAGGGGCGCTGAGCATGGAGTGGGTCCCCTACAGTAATTATGCAGAGAGGGGCCTAAGGCAGCCATAGCAGTGGCTCAGAGGCACAGGACAGAGATCACAGGAGATCACAGGACCTGAACCCCTGCACACAGGCCAGAGAGGGGTTCCAGCAGCCAGGGCCTGTCCCCTGGCTCCAGCTGTGTGCAGGGCAGGGCCGTTTTCCCTTCTTTCTGGGGTGCATGACCCCTCTCAGGGAACCAGGTGACCTGCAGTGGGTCCCACTCAGCTGGCCCCTCAGAGGGAGGCAGCATCTGGGGTCCTGGATGAGATCCTCCAGGGTCCCCTGTGGTGGGGGCTGTGGCCAGCTGCAGGCTGCTCCAGCTACCTCGGGGAGGACCTGGGGTCCAGGGCTGTGGTGATTCCTGCCTGTGTGTGTGACCGTGTGGTATGAGTGTGAGTGTATGTGCCTGTGGGTGCGGGGCCCTCTCCCCTGAAGGGTGGTGTGGCAGGCCATGGGCCAGGGTGCAGCCTGGTCTCCTATTTCATGCCCAGCAGAGGCTATGGCCCCAGGGGAGCTGGTGTCCCCAGGAAGCCTGGGCCTTGGGGTGCGGGTCCCCTGCTGGTGAGGCTGTGTGGCTGTCTTTTCTGAGCCCTGGTGTCGCATGAACTCGGAGAAGTCGCAGCTGTGTCTGCTGTCAGTCCTGCACTGGGCTGTGGGGAGGAAGCAAGGAGGACACAGGGTGGGGGACCCTTCGAGTGGGGCACTGCAGTCACACCCCGAGAGTGCTGGCAGCCACCTTTAGTGTGTACTCCAGCCCAAAGGCAGTTACTCGTCTATCACCTCCACATAGTCCTCCTTCCTGGTCTCCGGCGGCGGCTCCCCAGTGGCCTCCACGTTATCTGCATCTGACTGTGAGGCCTGCCGTACTAAGTCCTTGTCCAGGGGGATCTCTGGCTGCTTGGAAAAGGGGTTGCACCAGTTGAGGGAGAAGTCTCCACCGAAGGTCTCCTTCACCGGCTGCCAGCTGCATGCCTGCTGCCGGGGCTGGTCCTTGCGCTGCAGGCGCTCGATGCCCTGGGGGGACGAGAGGCCTTGGTCAGCACATCTGTCCCCATGGCCCCTGTGGATGGGCCTGGGTGGGGACAGGAGAGCAGCACAGCAAGCAGGCCCCCACTTCCCGCTGTTGCCAGCTTTCCTCCCTCAGGAACAAGGGTCCAGTGGGGACATCCCAGCGGCTCCAAGTCCCAGCCTGGGCCACCCAGGTGCCAAGACATCCCCTTCCTAGGTTTCCGGCTGCTCCTGCCTGGCAGGGCAGCAAGCCTGGAATGAGGCAGCCGAGCGGGCAAAGGGAACGTGCAGGACACGATGCCATGGGAGAAGCAGGGCCACATGCAGGGGCAGCTGGGCGGGCATAGGCTTACGGCGGGTACAGGGCCAGCGGCAGGGCTGATCATGCAAGGGACACCGTGAGGCCTCTCCCCAGCTGCCCACTCACCTGGCTCTGCGTGTTGGCTGTGACTCGGCCACCAGGCCACAGAAAGAGTGTGTTGGGTAGGGGGAGCCCCGAGGGGTTAAGGACACAGCCAGGCAACCACACCCTCTCGGGGGCGTGCCCCCTGCATGGCCCCCGCCTGCTCCATGTCTTCTGCACAGAGAGGACTGGCTGGAAGTGTGGCGGGCATTCACCCAGCTCCAGTCTACCTCAGAAAGTCTTTTTTTTTTTTTTAATTGGTACTGGGGATCGAACTCACGACCACGTGCTTGCAAGGCAGGTGCTTATGCCACTGAGCCCCAACCTCGGAAAGTCTTGTGCACCTGCTCCTAAGTGTTCTGTTCCCCCTAAGAGCCTTCCTGGAACAATCCTTTCCGTATGCTCACAGAGAAACTGAGGCACACAGAGTCTCAGACATTTAAATTTCTTGAAAAAAAAAAACCCTGGAAGTTAAAGAATGGGATCTCTGGACATGGCCTTATTAGCCACCAAGGGACAATGGCAGCCTCACAGGAGGGAGACGCAGATGCCACCAATGATCGATCGCAGCCAGTACCACCAACAAAGCCTCTACCACTCTGCCTCCCGACGCGCCCAGGAAATAACATGGGGGCAGTGGCTCCAAATGCCTCCCTGGATCTACAGAGACATCTAACGCGAGCCAAGGTGTCTCCGAAGAGTGCCTGGCCTGTAGTTGCACAACGGACGGGTCCAAGGGTGTGAGGAAACGGCTTTGGAGTCGGACAAAGCAGCACCCGCACTGCAGCTCCAATGCAGTCAGTGTCCAGGACCCAAAGTCAAGGGTGGTTCATGTCAGGGCTGTGCATTTCACCTCCACTCAAAACAAGGTCAACGAGGGCCAGGGCCGGGGGTACAGCTCAGCGGCACAGCGCTGCCTGGGAAGTGCGAGGGCGTGCGTTCGATTCCCGTACCAAACACACAAACAAAATCAGGTCAAGGTCATGAAAACTGGAGAAAACCTAAAGAACAATCACCTGGAAAGGTGACTAAAGCCATGTGAGGAAATGATGTTACATGGGGCACTGGAATAGAAAAGGGCATGAGAGAGAGAACTGGAGAAAGGTGAATAAGTTACACAGAGTGGTCAAAAGATACAGTGGTTGAGGGGCTGGGGATTTAGCTCAGTGGTATAAGCGCCTGCCTTGCAAGCAGGCGGTCGTGGTTTCGATCCCCAGTACGGGGTGGGGGTGGGGGGAAATGGTGGTCTAATGTTTTAAAATGCACGACAGTAAGACACATTGCCATGAAGCCCCTCAACATGTTCCCTCCCTCCGCACTTCTCCCATGTTTTCCTCACTTTCTGCAGCAGCTCTGGTATCCTCTTTCCTAAGGCTCTTTACAAACATGATTGAAAATACGGTGACTGACACTGTTGAGCAACACCCAAAGGAAGGTGGCTCATAAAACACGACACTGGGGCTGGGGATTTAGCTCAGTGGCCTAAGCACCTGCCTTGCAAGCAGGCGTTTGTGAGTTCGATCCCCAGTACCGATAAAAAAAACAAAACAAAACACAACACTGGGTCGTCATCTACCTCACTCACCGATGTGGCACAACGTGCCCTTCAACACTGCCCAGAGTAAAACGACCATGAAAGGATTAAATGCCTTGAGTTAGCTGAGGACCCCAAGGCAGCCAAGACAGCATGGCTGGGTTAGCCTCTCCTGCTCCTGCCATGAGGGCGGGGGTCCAGGGCCCCACTTTGCTGAGGAATCAGTGCTGCTCAGGTCACTGATACCCATCTTCAGGGAGGCGAGGGCCAGCAAAGGCTTCCCTTCAGGAGATGTATTGCCAGCAGCTTGTTCTGCAGTGAAGTCTCTTTCTGTCTTTGCAAAAGGGTCTTGCTGAATCCCTGGGCTCCAGCAATCTTCCTGCCTCAGCCTCAAGTACCAGGACACAGACACATGCCACTGTGCTGGCACCTGGCAAGTTCTTCTTTCCTTTCTGCAAGGTGACTCAGGTTGGATCCATCTTTAAAAGTCCAAGGGACAGCCCTGTGGGAGCTGGGCCCACAGACAGGAACCAAAGGCCAGGCCGTGAGCCTTGTGGCCATGCCGGTCACCAGCCCCGGTTGTCATGCCCGCCTGGGGTCTCTTGCTTCCTCTCTTGCTGCCTTCTGGGCTGGTTCTGCAGTGGAGGTACCCGTGGTCCAGAAAGCTCGCCCAAGAGGATGATGGAGAACGTGCACTGGGCCTGTTCTATGACTTTCCCTTGTTGGGGGAGGGGGCTGGGTAGCAGGGGACCCACTCGCCTCCATGGTGGCACAGACCCTGCTGCACCAAGCCAAGCACTGGGGCCAGCGAGCAGCAGGACAACCTGCAGGCATCTCCTGCTGCACAGCACTGCTGGGAAGGTGCCCTAGGCTCAGAGCGCCCCACTGCCTGAGAGGGCTGGGCTGGGGTTCACTGATGCTGCAGGGCCAGGACCACCTACAGTAGGGGCAGCTTTCTGCACTCATGAGATCCTGCGCCGGAGCAGAGCCCTGGCCCAGTGCATGCAGAGCCCAGGCTCCAGCCCAGCCCTTGGAAACACAGGGCCCTCATAGGTGGGACCCCCACCTCTCCTGGCTGGCCCACCTTTAACTGGGTGGGGGATGCTTCTGAAGAGAAACCTAAAACCCACGCACCTGGGGGAGGGCCTTGTGTGCTCCAGCTCGAGGGCAGGCTTCCTTGAGACAGCGACAGGCTGATCTGGAACTGGCTATGTAGCCTAGGCTGGCTTGGAACTTGGGACAATTCTCCCACCTCAGCCTCCTGAGTGTGTGGGATGGTGGTGAAGTAAATGCTCATCTCCCTCCTTTGGAAGCCTTCGGACCAGGAGGGCAGGTGTTGCCAAACGGCTGCCCATCCTCTTGATCTCCCAGGAAGGAAGTCCTTCAAAGGGCAGGGGAGACACAATACATGTGTTCTGCACACAGAGCAGCTGCCGAGCCTGATGTGGCCACATTGGGTCCCGGCCTCCCTGCTCAGCCTGGCAGCCGTGAGCAGGCCTCCCCACTTCCGTCCCTGGAGGCCTGGTCCTTGGCGGGCTGCCCTTTGTGTGGAAGCCATGGTCACGGCCTCTGTAGTAGGTGGCCATGCTGGCGTGGAAGCCAGGATGGGACACGGTACATCTCTCAGGCCAAGGGATGGGGTCCACCCCATCCTCCTGAAAGTGGGAGGAACAGTCACAGGAGGCCTGAGGCCCTCTTCTCAGGAGAGGGGTGCTGGGGGGCTGGGGGAGGAGGAGCTGCATGGATGAGCAGGGAGGAACAAGTCAACTCCTGGCCGTGACACAGGCCGAGAGGCTCTGGATGGGTCACCTGAAGGATACCCTGAGAGCATTGCTTCCACTGCTTGGCGCTGGTCCCCGCTGGGGGTCCCCCTTGGGGGTACTGCACAGCTATCCACACAGGCCCGGGCTTTCACACTGCAATGAGACTGAACAGGAAGAAAAGCTCACAGAGAACCAAAGCTGTGCACTCGATCTGAAAATGGCCTCAAAAATCCAAAAGCTGCACCCCCTGCCAGCTTGTGGTCGGGTGGGGACAGAGACATTGAGGCTGGGCGGGTTGGGAAGGTTTTTATTTATTGCATTGCTCCATGTGGAAGCACGGGCTGAGCAGAGGCGGCAGGGCGTCCCCACCTGGGACTGGGTCGGCACTTTCCACACCTGGGTCTCGGTGGGATAAAACTTACCCTCCCCCTTGCCCCCACCCTGCCAGAGCACAAACAGAGGTTTGTGGCAACTGCTTAAAAAAACCCAATCAGAGTATGAAGTCCAGGGACCCACCAGTTGTCCTCGATTTCAGGGCCCTTTCCCGAGCTGGTGCCCTCCTCTTGGAGGAGCTGAGAAGGAAGTGTCCCCCAAGCCCAGCCAGGGGACTCTGTCGCCGACCTCAGGGACGTTGCCTGGCCCGAGCCAGGACGAAAGTGGCCCAGGCCACACAGCCGGACTTGGGTCTGTTTCCCTCGGGAACAACACTGAGGGCCGGACGTCTCCCAGGGAGGGGACCAAGGGGTAGCAAGGAAGGATGTGACACAGGGACACGGGCTTGTCTGAGCTCGCGTGTCTTCCCTCTTGATTGTGTAAGGCATTTTGAGCTAGAACTTCCCTTCCTGTGCTCCCAAGTTGTCAGGGGCCTCACTGCCAGCATGGAGGACACAAGCCCAACCCCTTGCTGCTCCCAGCCCGGCCACGAGGCAGGTGTGGGCTTGTGGAGCAGGAGCCGGGAATCACCATTGCCAGGGAGGAGGCCGCCATCCCGTCCCACCGTCCAGGGCCCCGGGGTCCAGCGGCGTCTTCCGCAAGGTCTCCGGTCCCCTGCACAGTGGGCAGCGCCGTCTGCCCGTGTGCAGCAGCCACATCTCGCTCAGTTAGTACAAGTGACAGCGCTCCGGGACAGCACCTTCGAGTTAGTCACACCAGACAGACAGCAGAGAGGAAGCCAGAGACCAGGGATGACTAAGGGAAAAGAGCAGTTCGGTCATCGGAAAATCAAAAGGGTGATTTTTTTACAAAAATAAAACATGGGGAGTTTTTGTTTTTGTTTTGTTTTTGTTTTCTGCAATGCTCAGCCGCTTTACTCGAGACGGTAAAAAAAAGTTTTAAGAGGAGTCGTTTTGCTTTTCGGTCTACACACTCGTGAGAATGGTCGGGAGGAAGTGCTGGAGGCGCTGTGGGGCGCCTGCGGGCTCAGACCACGTACTGGTACGGGTCCGCCTTGCCTTGGTCCGGTGTGGCAAAGGGGCTGGCCCAGCCCAGAGAGAAGGGGTGGCCGAACACTGCTTTCATGTTCATCCACTTTGTTTTTTTAGCCCATCTTCTCTCTTCCTTTTTCAACTGTTCTATTCCCTGAAAACAAGAACAACCACACTTCAGTCAGGACCCCACCGCTGGCATTCGGGGAGGGACCGCCGTCACCTCCAGGTGCCCAAGGAGCTGCTTCCCTACGAAGGCAGCGAGGCCACCTATGCAACACTCGTTCTTCCTGGCTGGCTAGCAGGGCTCACTAGAAGCAGTCCTTTCTTGGTGGGCATAGGCACAGTCAGGGGAAATGTGCCCCCTGAGGTCCCTGATACCGTGGCTGTAGTGGGGACCGGGGGCTTGAGCGGGCGGGGAGGCTTCTGAATAGGTAGGACCTCGCCCTAGTGACAGCCAATGGTGACTGTGCATGTGGGACACATTCACGGGGAGTCGGAGAGTTGACGCTACCGTGACCACTTTGCAGACAACAACAACAACAACAAAAAGACAAAGAAAAGAATAAAAAGCAAGAAATGGAAGGCTGGGGTGAGTGTCACTGGTCCAAGGCCAAGAAGCAAGCGGCTGGGGGACAGGAGCGACGGGGAGGAGGCCGGCGAGGGTCAGCACAGGAGAGGGCTCGGCGGGTCACGGCCGCGCGCAGGGCCTGAGTGAGGCTCCCTGTGCGGAAAAGTGGTGGCCCAGGCGGGCATTGTCTACCATGGTCATGGGCAGCAGGGCCAGGTCTGAGTCTCTGTCCCCGGCCTAGGGACCGAGTGAGCATCGGTCAGGGAAGACGCTCTGTTGCACATCCACAACTCCCTCCAGGGATAGCGGCTGCCGGAGAGAGCACAGCACTCCTCGGGAGGCCACCGAGTCCCCTGGGAAGGGTAGAGGCTGGAAGCCCCCGACCTCCAACTGTGGGCCTCCGGCCCCACACTGGCACCTCGGCTTGGGGAGCACCAGCCCTCGCCTCTGCTCACTGCTCGCCTGTCCAGAGCGGGTGGCTATCTTCCCACAAGCCTCCACAGAACTGGGGCGGCCCGGGCTCAAGCCACTGCTCAGAGCAGCCTTAGGAGCCTGGGAGTTGAGCCAGGACCTCATGGCTCTGTTCTTACTCTCAGGACAACCAGCTGCCCCTTCTTCCCAGAGCTTCATATCTGGCCCCAAAGCTAAAACAGGACAAAAGACCACACTCCAGCCCTCCATACTCTAGCTACCACAGGAAAGGCGGGAAGTGGCAGAGGGGACAGGAGGGGAGCAGGTTCCAGTCTAGGCCAGAGAAGCGGAAGACAGGACAAGTGGGATGGGGCAGGGTGGGGACCTTGCTGCTGCACGCACACGCTGCGCTGGAGGCCTTGCCTCTGCCTCCCGGAAGTTGACCTCGTCTGTCCCAGCTGAGTCAGACCCCTTCCCTACTGCGGCATCCCCAGCACCCAACATGGCCTGGTGTCTTCAAAGATCGACGGGAGGGGGGAGCTCAGGGATGCCAGGCACCTAGCCCCCACCTGGCCTGCATGTAGCCTCCCTGGGGGGAGTGGATGCCACCACCTACCGTCTCATCCGTGCAGATGGAGTGCACCTGTGTCCCAAACATCACCGAGGTGAAGATGAGGAAAAGCAGCGCCTCGAAGCACAGCAGGATGAGAAGGATCACCGTGGTGGGCGGGGAGAAGGAGCTGCACTCTGCAAGACAGCGACCGTAGCTTGGGGCTGCGCTGCGGCCAGCCCAACCTGGCTCCGCACCCCACTGAGGTTCTGCCCCAGGCGCCATCCTTGGGGCCAGCATGGCCCTGGGTGGGGACACAGGGCAGCAGCAGCTGACCAGGTTGTTGGGGTTCCTCGGCACCACGGTACCAGGAGCCACCTCTCTACATAGCCACCAGATCCAGAACAGTGAGGGGCAGGGCGAGGGGCACCTGATGGCTCTGGGATGTGAAACCTGGCAGAGGGAAAGCTGACTGCCAGTGCTCGGCCTGGTTATAGTGGGTGTATAGCCCCTTCCCGCAGGGACATCTGTGTCACTGTCACCATGGCCCCAGAGTCTGGGCCATCAGTGGAAGAGCGTGGCCGACAGCAGATGCTTTCAGCATCACCCCAAAGCGGGTGACAGGGGTGCCCAGGTCCCATCAAGCCTTGCTCTGGAGCTTAGCAGCCCTACAGCCAGAGGTACAGCTTGTTCTACGTAGAGGCTCTTTTACCTGAACAAAGTCCACGAGAAACCAGGGCTCTAGTGCTGGGGAGTGGATGCTGTGGGGTAGACAGGGAATGCGCACAGGGAACACGCATGGGCAGCCAGACCCCGGGAGGAATGGTGCTCCCCCAGCACAGGGGAGGGAACAGCACAGCCAGCACTCTCCAGGGCTCCCCCCCAGACTCTGCACTGGGCCTCTGCCCTTGGGGTGGGGAAGTCACAGGTGGGAGGAGCTTAGGGGAGACTAGGCTGGCCTGGGGTGAGCTGAGGGCCATCTCCTCTCTCCAGCTCCCCTGGATCCCATTTCGCAGGCCTTGCCAGGCAGGGCATAGTCTGGGCCAGCAGCCTGGCGGATGGGTGGAGAGCTCTGGTTCCCCAGCATCTGCGTGAGCCCCCGTCCCACTGGCCCCTCACGGGGTGGCCCATTCTTCCTGCTCCTGCTAAGATTGACCTGTCTTGCTGCCCTCAAGCTGCAGGGGCTAGACTTTGTCCTGCTCCCAGCAGCCCGGGTGGTCGGGATGCAGTGGCCAGCAACAGCAGAGCCTGGAGCAAGGGCGGCTCCTGTGATGTGCCTTTCCTGTTCATCAGAGTTTAAGTGCCCACCCCGGGAGGGAAGCGCCCTGCCCTGCCCACCTCGGCTGCCCGAGCCTCTGGTGCAGGGTTTGGGGAAGGCAGCACCCAGAAGGGTGGTGCCACCTCCTGCCAATCACCCAGCTCTCATGAGTTAGCCCTTCACTGTGGACTGTCCCACAGTGGCCGGGAATGAGCAGTGGTGACAGCAGTGGTCACCCATGGGGACAGTGGGATGTGTCCTCAGTCCCCTCCACCTGGAGTCTTGACCAGATGGTGGCTGGGCACCTTGCTACAGCCAAGGCTTGCATGGTGGGCTCTCTTCCTAGCTGGGTGCCCTGGGGATCTGCCTGACCTCTGGGTGTCCTCACCCTGCAGGCTTGCTGTGAGGCAGAAGCAGGGTGCTGCTCTCCTAGGCAGCTGACCATCAGGTTGCCAAGGCCACATCGGGAGTGGACCTTGGCCCTCCTGGGGTGAGTACACATGTTGACTTGCAGAACAGATGCCAACTGGCCGCAGCTCGATGAAGACCCTCAGCTGTGCAGATTGGCAAGAGCCTCAGCCCCCACCTGCCCCAACACAGGCTTCTGCTGGGCCTGGGCAAGAAACCCAGAAGCTGGGCACAGCACAGGAAAGGCAAAGGCCCAATGGGTGGGTGAGGGGTGGGGCAGGAGCCGCCCCCTGCTGAGATGGTGGCCTCATAGGTTCTGGTTAAATTCTATTTCTTACTAGTACACGCTGGGATACATAGTAACTACATACACTGTGGGGAACTGGTCCTTCGCATGTGGTACCTCCTATGAGTACCACTGGGGGGTGACCCCACAGCCAACACTGAGCCTCATCCTCAGCTCATTTTTACTTTCTGAGACAGGGTCTCCCTGAGTCACCAACCTGTCTAGGTTGAGCTTGAGTTTGCAGCCCTTCTGCTTCAGCCTTACAGAGTGCTGGGACTATAGGTGTGCACCACCATCCCCAGCTACACATGGCATCTGGATCAGAACTCTTTGGATTCTGACTGTGAAAGACCGAGCCCAGCAGGAGGTGCCCACCCCAAGGCTGCCTAGCCTAGGTTCTTCCCTTCAGGGTCTGTGCAGCTTTCTGGCTGACCTCCTTCCTCGGCAGCTACGCCTATAAGTAGACACTTCCACAGCAGGAAGAACTGGCCTACGAGCTTCACGGAAACAGGCAATGATCCTATAACCGACCACCACAGATAGCAATGAACACAAACCTCTGCATGCTAGGCAGGTGGTTAAGTGTGTGCTGTCTGCGGGACTAGAATGCAGTGACAGATAGCCCTGTTAAGGCGGGGGTGGAAGAGTCTTGCCAAGCACACTCGAGGCTCCAGCTTCCATCCCCAATGCCACACAGAAGAAACCACACAAGCATTTCACCAGGGGGAGGGGCACTCCCACCTGGCTCCCTGTTGCCTGCGTGGGCGGCAGGCCTGTCCTCTCTGCTGAGTTACTGTATGCTGGCCTGACCATAAGGGGCTGCTCTTTTGCATGCAGGCAGACTCGAGCCTCTGCCTGTCCTGCCTTGTCCAATCCATAGGTTCAAAGGCAATCTAATAAAACAAGGGTGGCCCTGGCACCAAGCGGTGACACAGCATTCTCCCTCCCCGAAGGCCATACCCCACCTCACCGCTGGCGGGTGCCCAGTGTACTCACTCGTCCAGTCTTCTTCGAAGCAGTGCAGGAAGTGGAATCCCACCATGATGAGGGCGTGCAGGGATATGAGCGCTATGTACATCTGCAACGGGAAAGGACACAGCTGGGGCCGAGCCCTGGGTAGCTGCCCTCTGAGGGTGGGGGTGGCTGCACTGCCTCCCTCCACTGCTGGCTCTCTGCACTGGGTGGCACTGGGGTAACCTTCCTGTCTGAGCTCCCGAAGCTCTGGATCTGAGGGCGTTGCAGAGACCATCCTCCTGACTCCTGCCCTGGGGCACAGCAGGGCGTGGTCCTGCTTTGGTCCTGTTTTGGCACTGCTTCCGGCAGGTGCCTGGGGGCTGAGGGTCTCTGTGCTCCAGGGCCAAGCACTTGCTGAGCTGGAGCCTCTGGCAGGGCAGTGGTAGGGGACCGGGCTCCCAGGGGCAGGGTGTGGGGTACTCACTGTAAACAGGACGAAGTACTTCTGGTTGTTCTCGCCCACGCAGTTGTTGACCCATGGACAGTGGTGGTCCATCTTGCGGATGCACCGCTTGCAAACACTGAAAGAACCACAGCGGGCCTTGAGGGGAGCCCCAAGGTGTGAGGGGTGAGGACTGCGGGGACCCCAGCTGTAGCCTGCTCACTGCTGCCGGCGTCAAACCCATGACTAACTGTGTGAGGACACGTGTGATGCCTTCTGTGTCCCCAGCTGCGCGGCTCCGGACCCCCCCATCCCCATGCATCCTTGGTCCCCTCTGGGCAGAGTGTTACAGCTCCCCAGCTCCCTCTCCTCCTGGTGCCCGTTTCCAGGCTTTCAGGTGAATTCTCCAGGGCAGATTGTCATGGGCAGAGGCACAGGGTGGGTATAGTCTAAATGAACAGCAAGCAGTGGCTGTCCCACCAAGAAGCAGGCTAGGTCACACGGGCACTGGCTCCAAGGAGCGTGAGGGCCAGGGCTGGCCTGAAAGATGGCCCCCGAGTTCCTGGGGTTCAGAGAATTGTGGTGGGGGCCTGCTGCAGGGAGGCGCTGCTCCCCAGCATGGGACATAGTAGAGGTGAGGCCGGAGCAGGGGAGGCTCTCCAACGCTGTCTGGCTGTGTCAGACAACGCAAGGAGCACATGGGGACCAGTGTGGTTCCTCTCCCCGGGGAACCTGTCACTTCAGAGAAGCCCTGGACAAGGCCAAGGGAGCACCTGGGTTACACTGCAGGGCCTGCCAGCCCACACCAAGCGTGCCGGGCTGCCTCCCCTATGCTGCTGGGCATGGCCTGGCCACCAGAGGCCCCTTCCCTATCCTTCTGCTCGGGCACCAAAAGCCCAAATGCCTTAGGAATGGTACTTTCTGGTGTCCCTGCCAGCCGGGTCTCCAGGCCTCTCTGTGCTCCACTCATGTTTGTGCTTCTCCTCCTACCATATTCCAGGACTGCAGCCCAGGGACCCACCAGGCTCAGACTCCTGTGCCGCGCAGGACTAGGAGCGGGGACACTGGGCCTCGAGCAGTGCACACAGGTGCTCCTGCTGGGCACCCACAATCAATTCCCACAAAAGGTTCCAGCCTTTGGGCTCGGCCACCACAAACAGACCCAGTCTGCCTTGCATGCGGGGATGTGGGTCCCCAGGTGGCTGGGCCAGCCTGCATGTCATAAAGCAGCGTGGCAGCACACTGACCAGGCAGAACCAGGCTGCCACCACACCCCAGGCTCCTCAGCAGCAGCAGGCACAGGCAGGGAGGGAAGGAGCCACTGTGTGCCCCACTCCTCTCTGCAAAGCCTCTGGGAACCCAGTGTGCACCCTGTCCACTGAGGACTTCACTGGAGAGCCCGAAGCTGCAGGCATCTAGATTCGGACCTTCAAGAGGCATAGCACATGGGACAGCGCTGGACTCCAATATCTGCCTCACCAACCTCCTGGCCAGAGCCCGCTCCCCCATGCAGCTGGCAGGGGAAGACCAGGCTGATGTCCATCTTGGGGCCAGTGCTAGTCACTGGCCCCTGCTCATGCTCCCAAGCCTGCCTGAAGTGGGTGACAGGGCAGGAAGCAGGGAGCAAGGGGCCAGTAGCCAGGGCTGGGTGGGGCCAGGGGCCGGTATGTCACGGTGCTGGGGATGGCACCCTCCTTGTGAGGTGACCATGGAGGCCATGCAGAAAGGCCACCTCTCACTCGGGTCTCTCGTGCTACCCAAATGCCCATGAGCCTAACAGCAGCCTCCCTGGTCACACTGGGAAGGGGACCTGGGGGTGCTCTGTGTCTTGAGCCCAACCTTCAGTCCTCTCAGGATGATGCTGTGCCATGTTCAGTGAAGTAACTAGGGAACCAAAAAGGGCAAACTCGAGGCTGAGGTGATGGGAAGGAGGTTTGGGACTGGGTTCGACCCTGCTGGGCTCTTGGGGAGCTGTGTGGAGGAAGCTTTCTTGCCCTCATTTTGTGTGCCAATTAGGAAAGAAATATCTTTTTGTTTTTTTTTGAGACAGGGTCTCGGTGTGTTGTTCAATTGGCCTAGAACTCACTACGTAGCCCAGGAATCCTCCTGCCTCACCCTCCCAAGTGCTGGGCTGACAGGAGTGCATCACCACACCTGGCTGGCAAAATGATCTTTAAGGCTCTGTCTCCAGATAGCCTTTGTCAGGGAGATGCAAGGTAAAGGAAGCCAGGAGTCTCTGCTGTTACACACACTGCAACCAAGGCCTGTACCAGGTGGGGCTGAAACTCGGGGAACTCAGGGTGCTAACACAGTGGCCAAGCTGGGAAGATTGGAAGTCCTGCTGCCCAGCTGGTACCAGGAGGTGAGCCCGGCCCAGGGTACGCACGTGCGCGGTGGTGCCCATGTGCAGCACAGAGGGCACTCCACGTACCTGCAGTGGTGCGCGCGGTCAGGTTTGATGCTGCAGCACTTGGGACACTTGTACACCACCTGCCCGGGCTTCAGCTGCAAGCTCTCGATGAACTCCTTCGTGGCATTTCCCTTGGGCACCGCTCCCTGCAACGGGGAGAGCTCAGAGCCGGCTGGCGGCTGTGCGCTGTCACCCGAAACAACAAGTCCTTCCTTCCATGCTTGCCGCACACACATGCTCTGTTCACAACGACCCTCATGCTAACTCGGTCCCCTTCTAGAGGCCCCTTGACTGCCCTACAGTTTTGGGATCAGCGCTGAATCTCCTGGCATGCGTGGGTCGCGTTGCCAGGAGCAGCCCTCACAGCCTCACAGCCCAGGGCTGGCCACTCTCCAGGGAGCAAGGAGCATGGGATGCAGGCTGCCCAGGTTCGAGGTTCTGGGCAGTCAAGCAGGTACTCAAGAGCGGCCTTGGGACCCCTGGGGCTGGGATCGATCCACTGAAGCAGCTGCATGCCACAGCGGCTGCAGGTGCTGAAAGCGCATGGAGGAGGACGTTGCCGCCTACACAAAGGAGCCAGAGAGGTTTAAGAAGTTAAAGTTGATCTTCCTCGCCAGTGTGGCGCACCTGCTGCAATCCCAACGCTCAACAGGCCGAGGTGGGAGGGCTGCCAGTGTGAGGGCAGACTATCTCCGAAGTGCACAGAAAACACTGGGGCTGTAGCGCAGTGGGAGTGTTTACTGAGCAACTGTGGGCTCGGGTTCCCTCCCACACAAAAAGTGAGAGGCAGCATGGGTGCTGCAGGCCCATCCCAAGCACACAGACAGTTCTTCCAGGCGGTGCTGCAGGATGAGGACAGCAGCAGATGCAGCACCAGGCAGAGGCAGAAGGGACAGCAGGCACATTTGAGTGACAGACACAAGGACAGGGCAGCCGGGGTGCTGGGCAAGGTCGGCCTTGTCACAGGGGCCCAAGTTGCTGGTGACAGCAGGGCTTGCTTGCATGGGCTATGTGAACTGGGTCAGAGCAGGGTGGACAAAACCCAAGATACTCCGGAGTCACTGACAGCCTAGACGGCGGGAATGAGCCATGGGACACAAAACGAGGACAGGAGTGGGCTTGACGGCAGCAGTGGCACAAGAGAAAAGGGGGGTACCCTTGAACCCTCGAGAGCGCTGGGGGCACACAGTGTGTGTGTGTCCAGCCACGCCCAGGACAAGGTACCCAAGATGGCTGGGAACACAACCTGGAAACCCAAGGGAAGCTGGGGAGTAGCACGTGGGCAGGAGGCGCTGGGGAGCCTGAGGTTATGTTTTTGAAATGTTCTATTAGCTTTTGCAATAAGGAAAAAAACTCATTAATGATGCAAGAAAAAACCTACATAAATCTCAACACGGATTTGCCCCAGGTGAGCTTTCACACTAGAGTGCTACTCCTGTCTTGCCCTGTCTTGTCCGGAGTTGCCTGGGGCCCTGGGTAGCTGGAGAGGAGGAGTGGGGAAAGGTGAGAGTAAGAAGAGAGGGTCTCAGTAAACCCCAGGGGCCCCACTCTTCTCTGGAGAGTGCCAAGTAACTGCATCGGGATAACTGTGTGAAGGTGCTGTGGCACAGCATGCCAAGGACAAACTGCAAAGGGACTTTCCCCAGGAGACCAGCAAAGGGCTCAGCTTTCAGAACAGAGACTGAGCCAGTTCCTTCTCGTCCTGCCAGCCCCAGAGTTTGCTGCAACCTCAGGGCACCGCCTGCACAGGGCCCCCATGTGGAATACACACCCTGCCTGTGGAATCCACAATCCCCAAGAGGTTGCTCAGCCTCCTGAGATGCTCTGGGTAACTCTGCCCCAGGGCTCCCATGCCCTACAGAGTGCTGGGGTCCCCAAGTGCTGCTCTTGGCCTCAGGGCGGGATTAGCCTGGCCTCCCCTCCTCGCCTCAGTGCCATTTCCGAGCCCAAGGGGCCCAGACTGAGCCCCCACAGCTTGTGCACGGAGACAACACATTTCACGCAAGCATACACCGCTCACCTGAATGCTTGGAAACCCTGGGCCAAGACAGTGTCTCTCAACTTGGCACCAGCCAACTGCCCGGGCCTGGCATGGAGCCTGCGGCCCAGGAGCCCATAACAAATCAGAGGCTTTATTGTGGCAGGCACAGCTTTAAATGCTTTGTGACAAGACGGCGTCCTGTCTGCTGATTGGGACAATGAGCCTGTGCAATGTAGTAGAAAGCATGAGAGCCCTCATGTCACAGAGCAGGTGGGCGACTGGAATGGGCGAGCCAGCGACTCCCAAGACAGCACAGTCAGCACGTGGCAAGAACTGGGACCCAGTCCAGGCCATCGGGTCTACAGGCGAGGCCGGCAGCAGAAGGAGGACGCGTCAGCAGGTTCCTAGTAGGTGAGGCCCAGACAATGTTCCATCTACTGCCCACCTGCCCACCATCTACCACACCAAGGTGAAACAGGCCTTGATAAGAATGTCTATTTTAGCCAGCATCTGGGACAGTGACAACATGAAAAGGAATCAACAGAAAAGCAGCAGAGGGGTTCCACAAAACCCCAACAAAAGAAGATTAAATCTAAAGGTGTGCGTGCTGGGGTGGGCGTGGCCTATGGAAGGCCCTGGGTTTGAGCTGGGGCACTGGCGAACAATGGAGATCTCAGTGTGGTTCCCCCCCAGCAGGGCTGGCCCTAGTTCAGGTCCTAGGTTCATCGAAAAAAAAAGAAGAAATGCCAGTGACTTCAAGGACTTGACACTTGTAGCCAAGGATTGCAAAGGGACTGGCATTGGGTCTGGCTCAGGGGCAGGGGCAGGGGCAGGCCCGGGTCCCCTCTGACAGCTGTCCTGGGAGCAAGGCCACCTGTCTCCTCCAGACAGGCAGTGCTGGAGATGCTGACGCAGTCCCTTTGCCTCTGGAGCCTCTGATTGTCTCGAGGATGTCACTGACTGTTGGATTGCAGGTGTGGGCCTCGGGCTAGCACGAGGGAGGCCATGGCGTCTCCGGGGAGGACCCGGCACCGTCCTGAAGCAGGAGATCTGTGTTTGTGTTCTTCCTTTTCTCAAATCTCAGGTTTGAACTCATTTATGAGCTTGAAAGAACTCAGTACCGAGAACAGACTGGTGGTGAAGGTTTGTGTGCTGCAAAGCGGGCACAGGGCTCCGCTGAGTCACCTGGGGCCACAAGAAGCAAGCTGCCCTCACAGACACTGTCCCAGCTCTGAGCGCAGGAGCTCCCAGGATGGAGCCTTAGAAGAGACTGGGGTGAGGGGAAAGCAGAGGAACCTGGGGGCAGGGGAGGAGAGGCCCCAAGCCCACTGGTCTGAGCCCAGGCTGTCTTCAGGGCTGCTTCTCAGGGCAGGTGGCCACCCTGGACCTTGTGCACTCCAGTTCTCAGGGGCAGCATTTCCTGTGAAGGCAGCTTCCACATGCATGGTCATTTCCTTCTGTCCCACTGCCCAGGCTCGTGTGGACCCAAGTTCAGTCGCCTGGGAGAAGCTGCCTGCCTGGCGACCTGCAAAGCTGCTCCGATGCTGTGTTTGGGACCAACATTTCAGAGCTGGCCGTGGTAAGGCGGGAGTTTAGTGGGAGACAGTGTAAGGAGGCCTTTGGTTCTAGTAGCCAGACACAGTGCCTGCACTGTCTGAAGCCCGGTGTACATTTCCTGCAGTAACACAACGTGAACACCTGATACACAAGCATTATATCTTGTGAGGGAGGCCTGGAAGGGGAGTGCCATCTGGGGTCCTGCTGTGGATCTGAGACCTGGGCCCTAACTTGCTCCTTGGAGGCTCCATCTTTGCAGCTGCACCCATTGCACATGCTGGCTTTGGGTGGGAGGACAGAAAGGGCCCAGCCTGAGGCATGTCTGTGGGACACTTCCACTTGCTTCCTGGGCTGGTAGGTATTTGGCAGAGGCTCGTTTTCCAGTCTGGTTCTCTTGGGGCCAGCAGAGTATAGTCGTGAGAAGCTGACTATGTCTGGGACACGGTCTGTGGTTCTCACCCGCTGGGGACTGAAGCCAATGGTGCCCTGGAGTGAGAGCTGCACTCCCCTGCCAGCCGCCCTGCATTACCCTGGGCCAGGGGTCAGTACACTGCCCATGGCCTCTTCCACTGTCTTCAGAGCAGTTGCTTGCAGCCTTCTGCAGCTGCATCAGGTGTGTCTGCTCCGCTGAGCTGACCCCTTCCAGAGCAATAAGACCGCCTGGTTCTCCCGTGGTCACTCCTTTTAGAAAGGAACTGCTCCTTACAAGTGCTGAGTAACCCAATCCTGGGGTCCATTGGCAGAGCCCTAGGGCTCACTACCCTGCAGCAAGAGGGGACCTAGTCCAGTGACAGTCCTATCTCATCTTTTTTGTCCAAAATCCTCAGGGGCTGAAGACCAAGCTTCTACATGCCGAGAGCAGCCGCACTCCTGTGCCTGTCCCTCTGCACAGAGCATGTCTGGCATCCACGGCTCCTGTCCCACCCCCTCCATCAGGCTCAGACAACTCTGCCGAGCTCAGTCTCCTCCCCTGTCCTTCTAATGCGAACCAGGCTCTTCCTGAGCAGACAGAGGGCACACTGAGGGCACGAGACTGCTTAGGGCTTAGCAGAGACCATTCTTAAAAGTCAAACAGATGGCATCCTGCACCCCTGCCACCCCAGCATGGTGGGCATCAGGAAAACCTGTGCATGAATCCTTGACTGAGTTCGTGATCAAGCCAATGCTGCTGGGAACACTCTTAAAGCCTGGAGCCTGGGGGCCTTTGGACCAAGCCTACACGTGTCACTGCCTCCAGGTAACACTGCTTAGGAGGCCTGGAGGGCACATGCATGTGACACGTGGCCCACGAGGCACTGTCTGGGCCTGTCACTGACACAGGACTGAGCTAGCAAGCTGCCTTCAGTGAGGACACCGCACTGCCCACCTAAGCCAGCAGGAAGCCAGCTCTTCGCCAAGGGACAGCCCTGGTGCTCAGGGATCGACATTGGGGTGCCAGGGCTGATGCACCCTCAGCACTTTCCTTTCCTAATTAACCCCACCCACCCCGCACACAGTGAAACAAGGCAGCTGCAGGAGTCTTCACCAACAAGGACACAGCTTTCTCTACATGAGACAACAAGTAGGAGGGAGGAACCGATGCCCGAGGCAGGCATGGTCCCAGTGCCACTGCACAGCCTGCCCTATCAGCTGTCACTGGGCCGATCACCACACTTCCCCACAGAGCTGCCAAGAGACACCCCTGCACCCTGAAACAGGCCAGGCCAGCTTTTCCAGAAGGGCGGAACCTCATCCGGGCAAAGAGCAGATTCCATCCAGCAGTTCCTGGCACTGCAGGTGGCGGTTTTGGGTTGGGCCCACCGGTTCCGGATTCTACACCATTCTGGCCAAAACCCTGCCATGTTCCCGAGCTGCCCATCTGGCTCGTATCCAGGGTGACAAGACTGTATCTTCTTGCTACAGGCTCCCTGCTAGAGATCCCTCACCACAAGCTGCTCTGCCCCAGCCCTGTTCCCATGTTCCCCATTCCTGTGGAACTAGGGCCGAGCAGGAGCCCCGACATACTCACGGGGTCCGTGAGCATCGCCCTGCAGTGTGAGGCCAGGGCCAAAAAGGCCAGCAGGTTGAACACAATTCCGTTGATGATGCTGTACACGTAGTCTCGGGTTGGGACCAGCATGACAAAGAGGACCACAAACTCCGCAAAGAGGACCAGAAACCAGGTGACGATGGCACAGGCGATGCCACAGCCGTCTCGGATAAACCACATGGCTCCCCCAGGCCGTGGGTAGGGCGGCGGCATGCACTTCTCCGGCTGGAGGTACTCCGCTTTCCGCTCAATGTCTCGGAAGTGATGGGTGGGGATGAGCATCATAGGCTACTCTGTCCATCCTGGCATCTGAAAGAGATGCAAAGAGACCTGGGGTCACCTTGTCAGGAGGGACCAGGCCTAATGGGCGAACCTCTGTGGAGTTGGAGCTGCCTTCCCACTCGTGGAGCAGGGACTCCCTGCCTGAACGAACCTCCTGGCTGGCAGAGCGGATGGCACCTTGGTGGGCACAGGGCTCGCCAGGGGCAGCAGCCCTGAGGGAGGTGTGAGACCCAGGTCTGCTGGCGCCCAGGCCTCTGCTGGGCACATTGTGACAGGAAGATGGGGTGGGATGAGTGCGGTCAGGTCACTGCCCTGAGACACGAGACTGGGAGGCTATCAGTGAGGGAATGGGCAGGACGAGGACGGGGAGGGAGCCTGGCCCAGCCAGGCCGCAGCCATCGACGTGGCCACTCCGGGCATTGCCTCAGAGGCTCCTGAGACCTCCGGCCAGCTTCTCAGCTCACTCGTCATAGTGGTTTGGTTTCCCTTCTGGGGACGGGGACTGCCCTGGGCTGCTCCCCAGGCAGGTGACGGGCAGAAGATACAGCAGGCCGGGCGAGGGCCTCCAGACAGTTCCCAGCAGCTGGTGTGGGGCCCACCCTGGCCTCTTCCTCCTCCCACCCTGGGCAGAGGCCAGAGCATCTCTCCAGGGAAGGTGCTTGCTCCTTCGGAAGCGAGGGCCGCACACAGCTTTCGGCCTAACAGTTGCAATGCTGGGCTCTGGGGATGGCAGCGGAGGAACTAAGGATCCAGGAAAGAAGGCAATGGAAGGCGGCCCCAGTGCCTCCTTCTGCTGGGCCACTCTGGGTGCCAACAGTTTTCACAGAGGGAGACAGACAGCTCACATCCCCTGCTGGACGCAGGTGCCACAGTAAAGCCACCTTGGCTCCCCCTGTGGAGCAGGCAAGCAATACTAGGTATCTGGAGACATTGAGTCACAATACAGCAGAGCCAATGACTCCGTGTGCCTTGACTGTGTATGCCACCCCAGAGGGCAAGGGCGCCTCCCGAGGCAGTGCTTCCCCCGCCTCTTTCCTTCTCCCTCTATTCCCCTCGCCTGGACTGAAGACTGGAGGTCAGATAAGACAGGACAAGGCCAGGGGGAGGCCAGGAATGGCCACTCACTAGCATGGACACTCCAGGTCAAAAGCACAGGGCGCCTAGGAGCAGTAGGGAAAGCCAGCTCCTCTGCCCCGCCTGCCAGGCCAGCAGAGGTGACAGTGCCATGTGCCAGGCCAGGGACCGCCAGAGTGACAGAGCCCAAGGGAATGGTGAGCGGCAGGACCAGGGTGCAACAACACAGGCAGGACAGGCATCTCTGGCCGGGGAGATGGTGATTCCTGCTGCCCATCATGCTGACTTTTCTAGCGGGACACCCCTGAGCTCTCCAGAGGACAGTGACCACCCGTATGCATCAAAGACCTGGGTCCACCTTCGGAAGCCGCACCACGGGCCAGCTGGAAACAGTAGCCTAGGAGTCCCAGCCCTGACCTATGCCAGTAAACTCTGAAGGGCTACACTCCCCCGACCTAGAACCAACCCCAGTACATGCCAAGCTGCTCTCCGGCGGGACCTGAGAGCTGCCCTGACAGCCGGCTGGCCTTCAAGCGCAGGCCTGCTCTCGGCCTCTGCTGCTGCTAAGCAGCTGGCGCATCTAACACGAGTGACGTTTCAGCTCCAAGCCAGTCTCGTGCTCCTGGCTCCCGGCCACACCACATGAATACGGGCAGCCTCTGGGGCTTCCGAGTCACAGCGGCAGGAGCTGCATGGTCGGGCTGCAGACCACAAAACCCATGCTCCTTCCCTGCCAAGAGATCCACGTCTGCTGACCTCTGGCCCTGAGCAGTGGCTTCCACCGAAGCAGTTATGCAGCCATCATGGGTCCTGCCTCCCTGCAGATGGGTCGCTGTGACGGGAGGGCCACAGAGTCACTGCTCTGCACCAAGACTTCTCCTTGGGGCAGTTGTCTTCCCCAGTGCTAGGTCCCCTATCAAGCTGTCCTTCAACTGTCACAAAGATGTGGCCTTATGAGTGAGTGATCATTGAAAATAAATCTACGACTCCCCCTTGGATGGGTTAAAATGTGCTCACGGTGCCCTCAGAGTGACTGCATCTCACCCGCCAGCACCATCCACTCCTGGCTGTTCACAGGTCCAGACGTGACTACGATAGGAGTTCTGGCTCCTGCGTGTTATTTTGCTGAGGAGTGAGCCCTTCCAGATGGACAGAGGGGGTGGGGAAAGCAGGAGAGGCTGCTCCTACCACCAGCGCAATGATCCACGAGGACTCAGCCATTCCCGGGAACACACATCACTGGACTGCATTCGCTTAGGACACCCTGCGGCTACAGAGGCCCCAGTTCTCTCCTGCTCCAAGCCCTGCCCCCTGCCATCTCCTTTGTGCAGTTCTTTGCCTTCTTCCCCTGTCACTGGCCACTGTCACCTCTGTGTCTGCAGCCGCCCTCCTCGGGGACACTGTGTACTACGGTGCTGCTCCAGGGTGCTGGAAAAGCTGTTGCCAGGAAGCCTTGCCTGACGGCTCTGTGCAGCAAAGGTACCATTTCAGGGGGGCCTCAAGGGTGCCCAGCAGTGCCTGGAACTCCAGGCTGACTCCTGCCAAGGGGGCAGAGGGTCCAGAGGTGCCGCTCCCATCCCCTCCTGGCAAATAACAGCTGGCGACCTGGGAAAGGCCCGGAAAGGGGGCCCCAAGAGTGGAGTGCCAAGTGTTACTGAGGACACCTCTGCCCTACACTTGAGAGTTTCAAAACATGTCAGCTGAAACCACCTGCTCTGAGAAGGTTGCTTCATTCTGGCCTCCCAAGAGGTGGCCATACATGCAAGGAATGTGGGTGGAACCCACTTGTGGGGAGCTGAGTACTGGTTCCCACAACCAAAGGGCAGATACAGGCCCTCTTGTTGCTATGTGGAGCCCAGGATGCCCATCTTGGGACTGGGGGGGGCGGTCGGGGCAGCTCTGCCAAAGAGCCAGCTTCCCATGGGCCATGAGCGGCTGACAGTTCAGGTTGTGGATGGGCCTGCAGCCCTGACCTGGCCTGCCTGGCCCTCTCCCACTGACTTCCTCCTGCTGGCCTTGTCCTGTAGCCTGGTCCCTGGCAGTAGTGTGCGCTCAGGTCGCCATCTGGAGCGAACACAGTCCTATCAGACAGCAACGCCAGAACCCAGGGGCTAGCAAACATCACTGTGCCAAGCAGGAAACGACTCCCAAGTGAGATGACAGCCTGCGGGGGAAATGCTTGGGAAGGGAGGGCAGGGGCCTGGCAGGGAAAGGGGTGCTGCGGAGGCTCTGTGGGGAAGCAGTTGGAAAGGTGCAGAAGTGCTGCCTCAGAAAGCGGGAGAGATCCTGGTGAGCAGGACACATCCTCGGACACTGAAAGACAGTCGCGAGGGGATCATATCCCCACAGTGGCAGAGCCACTCTGCCAGTGACAGGCAAATCAGATGAGAGCTGAGAGCGGAGTCCGTGAGCCCTAAGTCCCATTTGGGGGTGCTGGGTTTCCTGCTGTAAGGAGCTGCCAGGTTTCCAGGGATCAACAATGGTGCTTACTTTGTAATTTGAATTATAGTTACCCATCTTGTACTTTTTTTGCTAATCTTTTATGGCATGAAAAAGTACTGGCTCTTAAGTGTTAGCGATCTACATTCAAAGAACTGACTGTGCACACCTGACAGAAGAGTTCACTGAGACCCAGAGAGGCAGAGGGCCCAGTGGGCTTTGGGTAAGGAAGTGACTGGAGAAAAGGATAGACAGTGCCCGAGCTTTGAGGCTCCCTACAGTTAGGGATCTGGGGTTTTTTTGAGACAGGGTCTTGCCCTACAATTCTGGCTGGCTTGGAACTCACTAGCACTCACTGCATAGCCCAGGTTGGCCAAGTCATGTCGGTCCTCCTGCCTCAGCCTCCTGAGTGCTGGATTATGGGCCTGTGCCGCTGCACTCTGCCTAGAGTTAGTGATCCTGAAGAGATGTGTGAGTTCCACTGCGGGTGGGGCCTGAGGAAATCAGCTACAGCTCCTTCCCAGAATTTCAGAAGCCCAAGCCAAGAAGTGACTGAAACGAGCGTTAATTTGCTTTCGAGTCCTGAGCAGCACAGGTACCCTACATTACATGTGACTGGACGTGCTCGGCTCCCCTTGCTTGGGCAGAGAGATACAGAGGCACCCAGTGGAGAGGGCCCAAGGACCCGAGCCCCAGGCACTGGGCAGCCCTGAGCTCCTCCCGCCGCTGCCGCCCATCAGCAGGCTGCCCAGTGCCGCCCCTCGGGGCCAGCCAGAGTGCCTGCGGTTAACCATTGCTGGTTGGATTCGGGGCCGATGGCTATAAATCTACCACTCGGGGGAACACCGGACCCACAGTCCATGCTTTTAGGTGCAGGCGCCAAAGGCTCGACTGACGCGCAGGACACAAAGACTCCAGCTGGAGCCCCCAGGCAGGGCTGCTCTCGGTCCAGCTTCCAGCAAGCCTGAGCTCATGGCTTTCACCCACGAACCTGGCCAAGGCCCGAGTGGCTTGGCTCAGACCCTGGATGTGCGTCAGGCCCCCTGGGAGCCGCATTCCCATCATGCTCGTCACACTGGGGCACACTTTCCTCATGTTCCACACATGCAGCAGGCCTGGGACTGTAGAGCTGGAAGGGGAATCAACCCAAACAAGAAGCCCTATGAGCTGAAACTCAAAATCAAACGAGCGTATCTTGGCATCTATACAAGCGCGGCTGCTTCAGCTTTTGGGTCACTGTAAGCAGGAGCTTCCCAACATGAAAAACTCTCAGCAGCCAGTGGCCATTCTACGCCGAGCAGAGTTTGGGGCAGGCCAAACTTGTTTCACGTGAACATGTAGAATTTTAAGTAATCTTGTAAGGCTGGGACAGTTCAAGCCCAGGCCTTCCTGAGGTGGTCACTCACAGTGTCAACTCAAGGAGGGAGATCCTCATTAGGTGTGACATTAACTTCCTGGTTTAAATTGTATTGATTTAGAATGTGGTGTTTGGCCCAGAGTGGTGGTGCACACCT